TGTTTAAGATAAGTTGAACATGAATGGCTACTTTCGATGGCTAATTTTAATAGTTGACTTACTACTCCTATTTGTTCAAATAAACTGGAAAAAGAATGTAGCTGGAGTCTGTGGCACTACACCAGAATGTGAAGTACAGAGCTACAAATCCTGTCCCAAAAGCCTACAAACAGACACTGTGCAACAATATCTGTTCATTAAGTAACTTTACATAGATATGGGGAAAAAAACTGTTTTAGAGCACCATGACTCCAACACACCTTGGATAGTAACCAGGTGGCTAGCCTTATCCACATGAAATAATCCTGGTAAACTCAACCAGGAACTAGGATTGCCCTACAGATAAGAATTACCCATCACACTTTCAAAGGTACATTTCTCTTGGGTGACCTGACCCTGCTTTCAGTTCAAACACCACTACAGATCTTCTTATTACTGATTCATTCATTGCTGTTCCAGATTGCAATGTGGGGCCTGCTCTTGGTGGAGTCACGCTATAAATAAGTCTCCCTCACGACCTGGATTGAAGTTGTAAAAACGTCAAAGCCTATGTGTGACAAAAAATCAAGAACTACTAAAGGCTGGAGTCAGCAAGCTCAGAAAATACACCTTCCTTACACTTATCCATACCATTCAGTTTTGTCCTTAACTATTTTAAAACTAGTAATACCTTGGTAATCTTATTTGATTCAGTAAGGACGTAAGCATTCAAATATGAAATTCTGAGCCACTTCTTACAATGGCAAGGGGTTTGATATAATTACTGCAAGGTACTAGACTGCTTTACGCCACATTTACAGTTCCTATCCTGAATGCAAACAAATCTCTGACATGCTAAATCAGGACATGCGGGCATTAACCTTAAAGTATGAAACACAGAACCGCTGGGAAAGAGCTCATTCAAAAGCTTTTGAAAGCACACAATTTCTCAGAGGTTTCTACAGTTTCTGAATGAATACATAGTCAATGAATAAGGAATATTTAAAACCAGCATCATTTCATACTACCTAGGTCTGTTTAGATGAAGTAGGAGGAAATGACTGATCAAGATCTTCTGAAATGATCAGTTGAACTGACAGGCTGTACTTACAGCATTAAGGTTAGCTGGCTCTACAATGCAGTCATATTTTGCCACAAGATAATGTGCCACAACATTGCCAATATCCTCATATCAGAATGGAATCTCCTGGACGTCCATTCCTGGCTCTGAACAAACAGAAGACACAGGGTCTATTGCAAGCTATCTGCTAAATGCCATTGATAATTGCTTGCAGTAAGTTCATCTGCTGTGTTCACATTACACAAATACCATTCACTTTTCACATTACTCTATACCCACTGTGCTAACTTCCTCATCCACTGTTTGCTTTGATGCTAATTAAAAAGGCTGTGAAAAATTCTGAAACATTGAACAAGGTGAATGGCACAATGTTGTCTTAGCAACTCACTATGATGAATACCCTACTTTCTGTCTTCTTTGAACAGGTAGAGATACCAACTTAAGAAACTGTCAGATGTTTTTCATTTTCATCATATAGTTTCTCATTTTCTGGATTTTTTCAATTTCATTTCTCCCTTTAAAAAACAAGTACATCATTGCATACACATCTTCACTTAATTAGATTTTAGCAAAACATATTAACCATATAATGCAGAGCTTGCAAAAAAAATCAATTATGACAACAAAAGGCTACTTACGTGACTTATAAGGAAATATCTCTGGGCTTTTACACAAAGGTCTGCATTTAACCTTTATAAAGGAGGTCTTCATCAAACATTATTTTATGGTAACATCAAAACACTCATCTCCTTTACTGCCTTACATTACAGAACTCACCGACAACACAATTTATCTTTTAAAGGCATACATTTTTTTCAAGATTAAAAAAGGGGTTTAAGGAGATGACTCATTTTTAATTATAAATGTCCAATCTCAGAACCCATTATTTCCTACATTCATGATGTGCCTTTAAAAAGAACTGTCTCAAAGAACCTCGACATTTTATGGATTCAAAGTCTGTACACCATTTTGCTTTGTTCACCTGCAATGACTTACCACTGTGTAGGCTTCTCTGTTCCCACAATGATTTACATTTATATAGCATTTCTAAACTAAACAATGGATTCCTAACAGCCTTGCAATAATACTTCTGCCAAACTAATCATTTCTCTATATTTTATAGTCACACAAGAGACACGAGTTCTGTACCTAGCTGTTTATTTACCAACTGAACAGAGGGAGAAAAGAGAAAAAAAAAGTAAGACCAGAACTCATACATACTCTTGCACAGAAATGAAGTGAGCCAAAAAAGGTCTGTATGCAAGATATTCAAGATATATCTTTTACCTGATGCTGTGATTCATGTCTAATAACCACAGACTCTGTTCCACATTCCTGGTAAACTCCTGATATACTAAATGAATATTTTACGCATTCAGGTATTTGCTAAGGAAGAAGTCAATAACCTATATTAGGCAACAGAAGAACAAAGGAGGACCCAATTGTAATCTACCAGATGTACTTAAGGAAATAAGACATGTAATTCATAAGCCATTGATGCCACTCCTCCAACAGTCATTCAAAATCACTAATGTAGTGCCAGTGCCCATCGATACAAAAGTGAATACATGCATTACAGAGAAATAGGTCTGGAATCCTTTACATGTCAGGTTATGAAAACAATCCGTAAACAAATTAATAGAGGATCACCTATATGGAAACTGAATCCTGGGGATCACTTTTGCGAAAAAGTAGATCCTGCTCAACTTACTTGTTAGATCTCTTCAAACAAGCAACAATAGTAACTGACAAACAGAGTATACAACAGCATGTTTATACTTTCACAAGAACATCATTCTTCATAAAAGATTAATTCTCAAACTACAGGCTGTAGCATATTTGAAAAAATGCATGTTTGGATTGAGAATTAGTTTATAGAAACAGTACATATAAGGGGTGAATACTCCAACTGGGTGATGCAATTAGTGCAACTCCAAAGGGGTCTGTGTTAGGACCACTACTCTTTCTGACTTATATCAATGATCTAAATTCTAGTATAGTTGGCACACTTGTCAAGTTTGAAGATGATACCAAAACAAGAGGATAAAAAATGACTATAGAAGCTGCAACTAAAATTAAAAAAAAATTGGAAATTGAACAGACACCAAGAAGATTAATGTGGACAAGTGCAGTGCATTACAAGCAGTTACCAAAAACTTAAATTGAAAATACAAAATAGGAAATGCTGAGCTTTAAGAGGCTACTTATGAAAAAGACTTTGGTTAATTTGACACATCATTTATATATTCTAGACAATGTAAAAATCAATAACAAAAGGTAATATGTTAAGATATGTAGCTAAAAATGTAAACTTTTGTAAAATGTATGTTGTTACCGAGATTTATTAACCCGCTTGAGAATCTGGGAATGCAGTTTCCCTTTAAAAAACAAACTGCAGATGTGGGTAATTATTATGTATGATGTATCTGAAAATGCCTCCTTGAATTCTTAGGTGAGAATTTGTCTCTGCTAGAAGGCCTGGAAAGTGAAAGGATAGTGTCAGCAATCATAAGCAATGTCTTGCTGCTGCTCATTTTAATTACAGTGATCTACCGGTTCAGGACAAGCTACACACTACTGAAAGCTTGGGAAACTAATTAAAATGGAAAAAAGAAAACCATAAATCATCACAAAATGATTAGTGTCTAAACCTCTTATGTAAGTCCTCCCTTAAAATACAGAAAAGTAATCAGCATTAAAATAATCATCAACAGCTGCAATGAGCCCTCCCACCAGGAGCACACTCCAAAATGATGTTTCACAGAGCAGTTAATACGTATCCATTTCTGCCATGATTGTATTTGAATGAATGACCTTTTAACATTTGCTCAAAGAAAAATATGAATGCTGGCCTGTAATTACAAGCACTCTCAAAATCATCACTTTATATGCTGAAATTGTCACCCAAGAACAATGCAACATCACTGACGTGTACATCCTTGCCAACACTAGAGAAAGAAAAAGAACTACATAAATTCTGGCCATTCAAATAAAGCATTTAATTTCTGCTCACAGCCATAAAACAATTTATGAATTAAGAGCAGAAGTCCTGCTAAAACCATACAACATGAATATGCAAGGTTCTGCATTTTTTCATCTTGTGGCATCCTTTAATTTTGGCAGATTCTGCTTCCCAGTTAAAACTCGAATAGTCTGCTAATCAAGAAACAAGAGTGAGATGCTTTTCACTTGAAATCCTAGCTGCTGAGTGTTTTTCTGCTCACTAGTCCGAGAGACTACTTGACTTTCATTTCACTCCCACAGCGAACCGTTTCTTGAATGACACTTTTTTCGTCCAGTTGTTGAACAAAACAGCAACTCTTTGCAGTTAAATGGAGATGTAGTTTACACAAATTACAATATTGAAAATAATTATAGTTAACGATGGCCCAGAGGCTTTTCCTACATTGGGATCAAGACAAGACGCCATGATTGCTGTAAGATAAACATGAAAATGCTCAATATTTCATTACAGTATGTCACTGTAAAAGATATCCTTCTAGTTGACATCATGGTCCTTTCAAAAGGCTATACTTCTGCTGCATAAAGCACTTCAAGGACAGTCTTTGGACTGAAGGAATGAAAGGCATACAGGAATAGGACTAGCAAGTATATACAGATATTTGAAAGAGTAGCTACAATGCTGAAACTCGGAGATAATCTGCTCAATTCACATGCCATTTTGTCAATGCAAGCTCTAGCCATAAAAGGCCCTGCTTAAATCTAATTGTTTTTGTTTCTGTTAGGCTTCACAGTGCAGCAAAAAAGAACAAATGGTAGATAAACCTCAAGAAGAATTAAAAAATGTAAACTGACACCAAAGCTGCACCTTCCAGCAACAGTAAATCCTAATGCCACTCCCTGCAGCCACCATGTCAGCACAACTCCTGCCAATAGACCTGGGGCTCATCAATGGTCATTATTAACAAGAGACACTCACCTTTGGGTTTCCACACTGCTCACACTTGATGTATTTTGCTGCAAAAACAAGAGAAACATATCACCTATTCTATCACTTCCAAAGCCAGTCCTCTGTGGGCTGCAGTTCTGTAACTTGTGACTTTGTGGAACAATTAGTTTTTGATTTGAAAGCAAATCAATCGTAACAAAATGAATGATAATGGAATGCGGAGGTTTGCACAGTAAGATTTGTGAGGGTAAACATGTCAAGGATAACAAGGTATACAAATAATCTGTCATTTCTATACCATTATATTATTCACAAAATTGTTTATATTCACTGCTTGTTGTGGTATAACAAAGACCAGTAAAAGTTAATAAAACTAAATAAATAGGCATTATTTAGAAACTGTTTAATAGCATAGTAGTGAAAGTCATGGTCTTAACCTATTCCTCAGCAGATATTCTGTAACAAGAGTTTGTTAAAAAAAGTTAACTATGACTCAGCTAATGAAAGATCTGGATGTACTGAAAAAGTGCATTGAAACTGGTGTATAAGAGGATAGCAATCACAACACTTTGATAAATGAGCAGGCGTATGGTTAAGTACAGACATTTAAACTCTTTTCTTCTAGTTTTAGGGGAGATGATTGTGCTCCAAGCTGTAAAGAGCAGATTATCATCCCTCAGATACTCCAAAATACTATACATAACGCAGATCACCCAACACTCCAGTTTAACACCACAGGGCAAGATGGCTATCCTTCACTCACGTTTCTGTTCGAGGTTGAAGTTCTTGTTGGGATTGCGAGCTTTCTTCTTCTGCTTGTTCTTGGACAGGAACTCGGAGCTACCCTCAGTGACCTCCAAAGCTCTCTTTACACACACAGACTTTGCCAGTGCTGTAGACTTCCCATTTTCACACTGCACATCCTTAGGCCTGGAGGATTGGAAAAGAGCTGCATTTTAATACAATGGTGTTTGGAATAGAAATGGTGCGATTCACAGTTTCGATTTCCCAAAATACAGAAGGTTCATAACCCAAAACAGCAGTCTTTCCAATGGTAATGACAAGGTCCTAACTTTGCCCATATACAAATACTGCCACTCACATAAACCCATCAGAGTGAAGAAGCAAATACCCCCTTTATGAACAACACCCTGCAAAGACAGATTAGGTTTCACCTTTTTAGACACGAGATTTTACTGAATTATATAAAGATCACATTTCACTTCACAATTTAGAGTTTCATCACATCTAAATAAAAAAAAAACTTAAAATGCATTTAAATGATCTTTTCTTATCCATAAATTGTGATTTAACTCCTACTGTCAGTAAATATGAACAACAAAGAACATATGCATAACCCATATGTAAAGTATAGGGAAAGAAAGAGAAACGTGCACAAACAGCCCTAAAATACCCACTGGTGAAAACATTCACCATTGACACAGACCTCCTGCTAAAGAAGTGCTAAAAATAAGTGAAAATAACAGCTCTTTCCTGAAATGATTAAAATTGTAGGAAGTCTACCGGTGTCTAAAATGGATAGGAAGCAATTACAAAAAACACAAACATTATCTGATTAAATGAAACACCACAAGAATGATCTTTTCCCATTTAGTTAGAAAAATCACATCCTTCCATAAAACCTTCATACTGTATCTATCTTTGTGGACATCATTATTGTTCTTTTAATCATTTTTTCTTTGTAAAGTCTTATTCCTTAACACATCTTTAACTGATCAAATCAAATACTGTTCCAGGGGTGTGCTTGGTCACTGATTAAAAAGGTGAAACTCTGCTGAGCTTAACTGAGAGATCAGAAGTGATATTCAGCACCAGCAATCATCAAAATATTAATCCTCACCTTCAATATATATGAAAATTGATTTTCTCATTTTAAATTCGTAAACTGAAAGAAATTCACTCATTTATTTAGACGGTGCACTAGAAAAATATATTTTAAATTTTCCCTGCAGTTCATCTCATTAGGTAAAGATGTCACACAAACTGATTAATTGGATGAAGAGGAAATAAATCTGATTGGCTGGGGATAGTTTATCTGTGTAAATAAAGAAGAGAGAAATGCTTTAATATCGATTCCTTGTGCAGTTTTCCTAAAGGAGATCAAGGCCTTTAAAGATTTGTCCAGGAACTGAATCAATCTGAAACTCAGTCTAAACTGGATTACAGTCAACAGCCCAGTATCAGAATACCTGCATTTTGTGCAAAGAAATCCCACTAACAAGAAAGCAGGATCCTGACAAAATCTAAAATATGATTTGCTTGCCCACCACAAATTTCAAATCAAAGTGAGGACAGCAGATTTTTGTTGGCCAGAGGCCTCTTCTCACTACCCAAAAATGTACACGAACTCCCACAAGGACTAAAGGATTGCAAAGGGGCTTGTGAGGAGCTCAAATAGTGAAGCTCCTCACTTGTAGGACAGTGTTCTATGGCTCAGATATTAGTCTTAATCATTTCAGTAACTGACTGTGACCAGAGCACTGGAAAAACAGTGACGCCAAGACGTGTCTGGAGTCTGCAGGCCATCAATGAGAGATGCACTACTCCTCCAGTCAGTGACAGCTCTCCTCTTAAGAGCTTCGGGACTTGAAGCAAGTGGAAAAATTAATGCACGTATTGAGAGGAGCATGTTGGCTCTCAAGTGAATAATTAAATGCAATTGGCTTGAACCCAGGTTTGAGCTTGCTCCATCTGGGTTGAAGAGCTCAGACTAGTCCAAGACCACTTGCAGCAGCAATTTGATTTCCCCTAGTTCTCCGATTCTAGCACTTACCAGACTCAGCCTTGTTTAGCAAGATCAGGCTAGAAGGTGGTAACACTGCTATTAACTACAGATTTTATACTGTGTAATTTTAGCACCCTTCTTTCTAAGAAGTAACAGGAATATTATTTTGTGAGATAGATCTGGTAATGTCCCAACTACCAATATATTTCACAGTAAATACACTAAATAGGTAAGGTAAAAGCAATAAAACTGACATTTGGCATCTGGATGTAAACAGTTTTTCTTTCTAAAGTTTCCTTTCCTGAAAAAAAATAAAAATAAACTACACCATTGTAATATATTCAAAAGTACTGTAGTTCACCTTCTGCAAAGAAGATACAAAAGGATCACAATGTGCTTCAACATGTGTAAAATAGTCAAATAGAACCTAATGAAAATCAAATTTCTTCCAAAACCTTATTTTTCCAACTAGTGCACTTAGTGTGATCCCTGAAGCTCTTCACATGAGAACAGCATTTGCCGTTTTCTAATTTTATTGATTCTGCATCCACATTTTGTTCTCTCTCAGACACATTCATCTGCTCACTGAAACTTACAATTGTTTTCAGGAAATAGCAAGAACATTTTGGTCTGAAGGAATAATCCTTGAATATCACAATTTGCTTCTACTCTAGTCTGTACTAGACTGCAACAGGGACAGGGAAGAGAACTGATCAGAAGAACTAATTTTGAGCTTCGGCACGCAGTGACAATGTCACAACAGCCTGGCTGAACCTTCGTACTCTGGAAAGAAAACGCTACTTAGGCTATGCAGATCTTTCTGCTTTTTAAGACAGAAAATAATCATGTAATCTGTCATAAACTCTTCCATCGCATCAGGAGCAGAACAACAATTTGTGAAACCACCTCTGGCTGTTCTGAGGAAACACCACATATGGCGTTACATTACTACATATAGACAGGTCATTGCTTCTCAAACGGAAGTGATGAATGACGTCCATAAAATCGCTGCAAACTGTCCAAGGAACATTTCTGTACAGCAGCGTGTCACAGCCCCACAAACAGTTATCGAAGAATGCCATTCATTAAAAGCTGATGAAAGAGAATCAATGTCATTTCAGGTTCTCTTGACGTTTCAAAGAGGAGAAAGAAATGAAAATGCTTGCTACAAAGTAGTCATAAGCTTTAGAAAAATACGAATGCATTTATAAGCTTTCATCACATGTAAGCTACAGTCAGGGTGATTAGCTGCTTTTACCAGCACTTCATATATTTTAATGCCTTTAACTCTTTTGTATTAATACATTTTGAATTTATAAATACAAACATATGCACAGGCAGCATTACACTTCAAAATATAAGAATATAGCTACTATTTTAGACTAGATGAAGTGTTTTATAAACCTTCACTAAATGAAGGCACATGACTGAATATCTGCATAGTGCTTAGTAAATAAGCTGACTAAGATGACTTGAAGCATTAACACGCAATGCAATAAATGAGTAAAAAAAGATTAATATCTCACTGTAAGAGCATGGAAAACATTTATTGATGGAAATAAATAAAACATAAGAATGGATGTCTTTCACAGTCTTTGCTGTTTTTTTGTACCTAAACTTAATTTTTCCATGAAGAGCCATGACATTGTTTTAAACAACCTACAATGCAAACAGTGTCCTCCAACATTTGCTTGGAAATGCACTAGAAAATGAAAATGTGGAAAAAAAACAAATTTGTTTACCCACTGCAGTCAAGTCCCTATTTTTTGCCAGCTATATTATGCCATTAGTTTTACAGCAGCCATCTTTTTTCGTTTTTATTTTATTTGTAAAAATAACTGCATTTCACCGAGCTAGAAAAAGTATTTTAGGTTTCCATGATTAAAAACCGAGACTGACAGCACTTGAGATATCAGGGTTTTCTAAATACCAGGAAAAAAAAACCTTGAAGTTTCTGATGGACCATGATTGTAGTGGCCTCTTGCCGTGACTTAAATAGCTGTACAGGGGGTTCCCTGGAGAAGAAGCAGTTTGAAGACTCTCCACTTGCAATAGAAGGTGAAGGACAGGAGAGTTCAATGCACGGACTAAACTGACCATTTGGAATTAGTTCAAATGTGGATCAGAACCTAGGCAACAAAAACATTGGATTCACTGGCATTTTTGAGTAGAAAATGTTAACTTTTTCATGGACAAAAAGCAGAACAATAACTACTCTTCCAGTCAATATAAAAGTGTTAGTGACTGAGTGGGGCTGATATTATAGAAATAAACACGCACAAACTGTCTCAGAACAATCCCAGACCAGAAATTGCACTTCCAAAAAAAAAAAAACTGATGTTGAAGCTCACTTAACCAAACATATGTGAAATCCCTTCAGGTATTTATTTCAGCAGGATAAATCCCTTGCAATGACCCACAGTAGAACTGTGGAGTAGCGACATTCTCACCCGGGTCTGACGTACGGCTGGCAGATCCAATGAGGGAATAGGAGCCCGCCTGCAGGCTTCTCTCCTTCAACCTGATTGGCTAGTTCCTCCTAGATAAATGGAAGTAATCATCTTAACTCTTAAAACAAATATAAGCTTAATAAGACCCCCCTAGATCTAAACACTATAAAGTATAGATCTAACCAGTTTCACTACGTAATGACCAATTATGCCCATTAGTTCTTGTACTAGACGCAGTTGATACCTTATTTCCTCTCTAACCATAGATCTAAGGCCAAATCATGTTTATAGCCATCTCTAGAGATTCCCAGAAAACAGTCACACAGAAGCAGTAAGCATATGAAAGTAAAAAAAAAAAGTTAAGCCTAAAAGTTAATATAGCAACAGGATATTAATTTAGCAGTGATTATGTTGCAGGTAACCTGGTAGTTAGTGCTTGTAACTCTTTGGCCCTGGGTCTGACTCCGCACTTTTTACTGTTTGCATATTTCATCCATCCTTCTCCAGTTTACACTCACCATCCAAAAACATGCTGGCTGAGGTAACTGGTCTAAATAGTCCCTGTGTGTTTGTGTGTGCGTGCCCTATGATACACTGGCATCTAGGGCATGGCCTCACCCTGTGCTACTGGGACAGGCTCCAGGTTTCCAACCCTTTCCAGGAAAAATAAACCTCACAAGTGCCAACAGGCTTTCTGATTACACATGGGCAATGTTTATTGCATGTATTTTTTGTAACTAAAGCTTAATTTCACATGTAAAATTGTGAAATTAATTATGTTATCACAGTGATCAAGCAAATACAGCTTTTATGTGCTACATAATGCATTATGGAATATATTGCAACTAATTTAATTGTACATTGAATAAAGGGCCCTAAGCCCATAAGGTACCTGGCATCGTTTCTTCAGCTCTTGGCTGACTTGCGCCATTCCAGCGATGGTTTTGACCTTTGCTAACTCTTCTCGAAGCTCCTGATGGATTTGCAGCCTGTGAGGACAGGAAAACCCTCGTCACTTATCCAATGAATGCACTTGCATTCTGGAGACAGAAAAACACCTTTTTTCACACTTTTGTAATCTTATATCTCAAATGGTTCTGTAATGCATGTGAAAATGGAGCTCTTTGAAAATGCTATATGGATTGACTTTACTAAGCCGCATGGTCAAGTCCCATTTCTTAAATGCCAAGTCCCCATTTAGTGTGAGCTCACAGGACAGTATGTTTCTCTGATCTGAAAAACCTGATCTGAAATACAATATAAAGATAGAATAAGAGGAGAAGAGTCTGTCTAGCTCTTCTGGCTGCTAGCAATGAATCCAAGGATTTCAGATGAACATTTCTTGAAAGCCAGATTAATCAGCTTCATGGTGTGGTAGCTTGTACCAAACCCATACAGTCTTAATACTTACAGGAGCAACTCGAAGAGGACCTAAAGATAAAGATGGGAAAACCCCACATAAGGATACAAAAAGGATACATCCCAAGAAGTATTTCCACCTTATGCGTGACTACATATATGGAGCAAAACTTCAAGCTGTCTACATATGCTGTGCTGTGCATATTTGTAAGAAAGCACTTAGTTAAAAAAAACAAAAACAGGAATGCTTAAAAGCAACCTAATTATTGAAGCTACATTATTTTCCAGAATGGGTTTTCTGATATAGGCTTAGAATAATAATAATAATAATAATGACTGATTTGACTGACATTTCAAACTGAAGAACAGCTGTAGCTCTCATTAAGTAATGAAAATGAATGAAAATTGTCAGCCACAGAGGAAACAAATTTGCAAAGCTGTTTTACAATTAAAATGGTAATTGTCACTTGATTGGCAAATAGTAACATTGCATATGATAATCAATGCATAGATCCTCAAACAGTCAACACTTAACTCTTAGAAAACCTTGGTCACAATGGTTATTTAGGGCAGTATTTCCAAACTGTGACACATTTGTTTTAGTAAATGACTTGTGTGGCACACACCATCCACACACCTATGACAACACAATCTCCACAATTCTGCAACACACCTGTTCATGTCTGGTGGCACACTGGTTGACTCATACTGGTTTGGAACAACTATAGTATCTCTAAAGTAACTGCTTGCTTAGAAAAAACAAAGAAATACAATGTGCAAGCTGACACATCAGGAAATGCACACCAGGATGCTGCCAACAAACTTTTGAACAGCACTGCGCTCTTGCATCTGTGCAACACAGCAGAATGTCAGGGTGCTTACGTGTGGTGCCACAGTTTGAAGAGGTGGGCACGCACGTATGATAGGGAGCAGGGGTGCTGGTGGACCACCTCCAGGTACTCCTCAGCAATCTCCCACACCGGGGGGCTGCGGCCCTCAAACAGAGCAGGGTTGTGCAGATTGCCCTCTGCAGAAGCAAAGGAGAGAGCTGTGAATCTAGCAGCCATGGTCTCACAGTACCCGGGGCCCAGACCCATCACCACACCAACAAACCCGACAAGAAAACCTGCAGAACAGGCTCAAAGCCCGCTGCCAGTCTTCAGACTTCAGGCAGTTTCCGTGGCATTTTATCAACAATACTCATACAGCAAACTGCCAATCTTCAAACAGCAGCTATAAAAAAGCAAGGAGATAAACTAGCATTAGCAGGGTTTTTAGTAATGTTTTAGGTCTGGCACTCAAATAGATTTTAAAACTACTGTTGAACAAATTAACCTAATATTGTTATCATTAGAATATTCATCTACCAAACTACAGCTGCAACACCATCCTTGTCAATTTTAAATTGTGAGAATGCATTTTTAAAAAAATGTTTTCGGGGGAAAATGTTCAAGAACTGAATTACTTTGGAGTTATCTATTTTAAATCAGAGAAAACCAATCCCACAGCTGAGACTGTTTACTTTCATGTGTTCGTTTATTACCTTCAAACCGTATGAGCAAATTAAGAGCATAAGTCTTTTCTGCCTGTAATAGCCTTTTAATGGCACATTTTTCATTTCTCAGTCAGGACAATGAAATTAACGTTATCAGAAATGCCATCTAAGGTGCTAAGCTTATCTGATGTGTTTCACTCCAGCTGAATTGAAGCAGTGTTTGTCCAAAGTGCATCTATAAAAGATCCGGAGTAGGAGTGCCCCCTACCGGCAGACACAAACTGTACAGGTCAAATACGTTCAAAACTATTTACCTTATCTCTCTTTTACAAGGAACCAAAACATGGTGAGAGAAAATAAATCTTCACTTTGCAGCTCACAGAGTCTTGGAGGCATCATCTGTAGCTACTTTTCATGTGGGAAAATCTTTTCTTCAAAAGCCACATTTTCGCTAGTCTTTTTAAAGATTTTGCTGGGCTCTTAAGATTTCAGGTTAAAACACAGATTTAACTATTTTACACATCTGAAAATGACTTCCTCAAATAACAAAAAAAATGCCGGGCAGATTCAATTCCCCATTAGCTTGAGAAAATATACATCTAAAATTATACAGGAATTAATTCATGATTTTCAGTTTTTATTCAACGGTGGTATAGTCTTATAGTCTGTCTTGGCATCAAGGGTTCTTCAATAAATTCATGCACTTGAACTGCACAGGCCACAGAGAACACAAACAATAAAGCACAAAATGTCAGAAAATGCATACATGGTGGACTGCATGTGTCCTCTTATTTTTGTTTACCCAGCATCCTGAAAACCATAATCACAATAGGAAATTCAATTGTTATATGTTAAGGTTGAACTACATGTTTAACAAACTGGAACCAATAAGGTTTCCCCGTATAGTTTATGTTTCTGGTTAAGATGGCATTAGACAATGCACTTGAGTTTCAGGACAAAGTGTACTACACTACTCAAATCAGGATATAATACTAACTAATGTTTATTAGGTGTTTTTACTGTAAATATATTGATGAAACAACAGCAACAGCAACCTGGGACTTTCGCTCATGAATCACAGGCCCAAGTTATTTTGGAATAAAGTCAGCAGATCAAGACACTAAGCATCAATGGCACTACAACGTGTTACACCTCCACTGCACTTTATAAGTGCAGACTCATACTCCTTACAAAAGCATCACCTACCTGCAATCATGACCCCCTCCACTCCAGTCTCCTCAATACACTGGTGAACATCACTCAGGTACTGGATGTTACCATTTGCAAACATAGGGATGCCCACAGCCTTCCTGCGCCAGGGAGAATTACACAGAATACATAGCTTAGGCATTTCATACTGAATGCACTAACGATACACTGGCCTAGAATTGGAGGTATTTACATCCTAAATATAACCTTCTGCTTTTTATAGAGATCATACATTAGAAATCTGATAAGACAAGAAGCGTGCTGCTAGGTTTGTACAACTGAAGTTGCTTCCTAGTTCACTGCATGCGTGTCTTCATGTTCATGATTTATCGTTTCTTCACAATATGAAAGCGCTGAATTTTACCGGACAGCCTTAATGTGCTCCCAGCTAGCCACTCCAGTCAAGGCCCCCTTCTGCTCTTTGGTGCGACCGTGTACCGTCAGCAGCTGCGATACAAATATTACACACATTTTAGAGGATTTGCAGGGGAGGTTACTGCAAGAGTTTGAAAGTCTCCTCGACAGAATAAATGATTCAATGTTGTTGTGTTTATTTACACCTAGGCTAGAGAAGATTACTATTCAGTTCTTAATAGGTGTGCATGGATGCATGTGTAACATTAAAACTGATTCCGTTTGAAACTTAATTGCACTTTAAGCTTGTTTTATTAAAAACATTGATCCATCTTCTAACCACTACTTCCAACCTAGAGTTTTAGTTAGAAAATGGAGGGATGTTTTTAATAAAACAAATGTATAGCCTGAACTATGATCACCATAAGGTCAGATATTAGACAAAATACTTGGCAAACAGCTGAATATTGGACACTATCCCAAAGTTTTTACATTGTAGCTACCCAAACCTGTTAATGTATTGTTCATGCTGAACTACTGGGAAAAATCTTGTGTGTCTGCCCTCAATTAATAATTTTGCCCGAGAATCCACAGGGATCATGACATTGTCTTTGTGCTTCTTAATGACTTGGGGGGTAAAACTGTAAAGACCGATTCCACTTTGTATCTTCAATGACACCAGTTACCTGAGGTTAGGCTAAAATACCTAAGCCGATTTTGGAGAGTTCAAAAGCTAGCCAGCGCTTATTGATTAGATACAAAAGTAGGCATGACAGTGAGATCAGAACAAACCCCTGTTTTCAGTCTTCCTTGTAAATGAGTGGTAGATAGTGGTGAGGTATTTGGATACACAATATTGGAACAAATTATAAAAAGGACAATTTCTATTCAGCCTTCTGAAATTATACCTATGACATACTGACTATTGATAATAGCTCTGCCAATTGAATAGGACACAACTAATAGCAGTGATATTATGTGCTTCCTCATGTGTTACCTGGCATCCAGCCTCTTCCAGCATTTTGGCATATTTTACAGTTTTATCAATCTCTGGGAAGACACGGATTTTACATGTGATGGGCACTGAAATTTTCTCGTTGGCCATTGAGACTGTGGAAAGATCAGATAAAGATGATGTCTGCTGTGTGGATTACCACATTTTAGAAAAAACCTGACTTGCATCAGTTTTAATTTAAAACAAAATACAGACCTTGCTATGAACATCAATCATCTAAAAACTACAACATTATACATATTTACAACACAGCAAAGCAAAATGTCCATCTTGGAAATAATTATATACAGAACACATTTTTACACAGTTTAAGAAAACTACTAAAAGGCAGTATACTTAACTAGAAAGAAATATAATTAACAGATTATAAAACAGAAGATTTACTTCCTCTCCTTTTTTTCACTGACCTAAAACATATTGCTTTACTAATAAAAAAGAGGAAAAAAATAGTAACTCACTCATTTTATGGAGAAGGTCCCACTCTTCCTGCAGAAAGGCACCATAATGACCTAAAAGAGAAGAAGCTGTATTTGTCAACCAGCTGGATTGAATATAAGTCTGATACAAGAGTTTACTGATCATGAAGGATTGCAGACAAATTACAACAGACTACAAAAGCAAATCTATTCTACTTGGATGAGCTAATCACAGAGCAGGGAAGAGACAGAAAGTGCAGGCATCCACTGGAGGGATTCATGTTGTTTATTTTAGCAGATTACTATAAATTTGTGTATACGGTAAAGCAATATGCGACCTGGTGGTATGCAAATGTGTCTATTTACAATAGTTCTCTAAAGAAAAGCTAGTCTGAAAATGATAAATTTGCCCCCTGGCCTCTGGAAAGCAGGGAACTGCAGCACCTCTCTTAGCGATCATCTGTGGGCAGCCAAGGTTGAGGTCAATGGCATCACAGTAGTCCTGAGCCAACAGAGCTGCCTGGACAAACACTTCTGGGTCGTTTGCACAAAACTGGGAAAAAAAAAACACGAAAAAAACAAGCCGTGAAAATGACACAAGAAATAGCAAAGAACTTATCACCAGCAGAAACATAAGGGTCATCTCAAACGGGTTATGATGAAAGAAGCTGTTTGCAATGAACCTGTCATGATCCCTCTGTTCAGTCCAGAAGTACAGATTGTACGAAGACGCTTTACGGAAACAGCGATACACACAAAGTAATCATTTTATCAGCCAACAGCAGCACTGCCCAACGGGATGCAATACCGACCTGTGCAATGAGAGGCCGGTCCTCAGGACATGCCTCATTGTACAGGTTCTCTCTGCGGTAGTTGGCATCTCGGACAAACACCTGGGCATGCAGCATGGGGGTGTAACACAGCTGGGCCCCATGCCTGCGGCTCAGCAGTCTCCAGGCCAGCTCGCTCTGGTCAACCATGGGGGCCACTATATAGCGAGCTCCCTTCAGAGTGGTCTTCCAGAACTCAAATCCCTGAAGCTTTGGCATGGCGGCAACCTACAGACAGGGTGGGCAGGGGAGTAGAGACGGGGGTACCAAAAAAAAAAAGAGCGTTCACGTTTAGGTAATAATTTCCATCATCTGCATACAAAACAGGAATGAAAGAACAAAGCAGTAATAGACCCCCACAATGATGTCAAGCGTCAATAACAATAAATACAGCCCAATGCATATTTCAGAAGTCACTGCTCAGCAGAAACCTAAATTGTCAATAATGGCTCCTGCGCAGAACGAAGCTTGCAGTGCTGTTCTCTACACCACACCACCCCTCCAATCACCGGCAGCTCAGGAAAAGGGACGAGCAGTGAGACAGACGTAGGACTTTTCCCAACAGCGCATGTTTAAGGCAAAGGCGTGCATGGTCCAAAACTCAATGCAGCAAATATGTTTTTTAAAAAAACTTGGTATAACTTGGTATGGAAAAATGACATGCTGATGTCGAATTATAAGATTAACAGGTTGGAAGAATTCAGGGTCTCTCTCGTTTGGAGTGCAATGAATTTTGCTAGTTTAAAACCTTACCTTTACCGTTCGCTTCCCTTATCAAATACTGAAGGATTAGGACCAATTCTAATATCTCTCCTTTACATTCACGAGGGTTGGTGTAAAGAACAGGAAGAGCACAACTTATTTCCCAAACTTCTTATCGATTCAAAACATCAGTATTTTACAAGCCTGATACATCAATGTATCAACGCTTTTACTGTGCATGAATTCAACAAAACACACGCAAAAGCCTCCGTGCTTCTTTATTAAAAGTCGTAGAGTGTGCAACTGTGACAACTGAGATTGGATGCCTAGTAGAAAAAATTGCGTATTTTCTGCTACAATTAATATCTGAGACAAACCGGGGGTAGCTACTATTATAACTTTGAAGAGCATAAGTTACCTAAGGTTTCCATCAGAAGTCAGGTCACAGTCACATCACTGTTCATTTGGGTAATGTTGTATATCTCAACATCAATGTATGCATAACGAACACAGAACACAGTGATTTCGTAAATAACCACCTATGTAAGAGTTATTTATTCATGTTAATATTTATCTCAAACGAACTTCGCAGCATGGTGTGTTTAATGTAGAAACGTTGTTGGCCAAAACACATGCAAGGCGAACCAATCAGCAATGTCTTGTCTGAAATCTGTCTAGCAGCTAAATGCGGCAGAATTCAAATATGAAAATTATATTATTTCACAACGTTTTATAAAAACAACACTGAGATTTCCAAGGAAACCCCGACAAAGAGAACAGGGTGCAATATCGAAAAGGCAGACGCACAGTAGTTCGCCACGCAAGTTAACTCACAATATAAAAAAAAAAAGTTCGGGTGATTTAACCAGCTGTTCGACCAGAACAAACACCATCGCAGATTGTAAGCCTTACGACCCTAACAACGTTTCACGTTTTAAAAAAAACATGTTTCGCAAGTTCAATCATTACACAGAGTTCAGTACACCCTCGTTGATGCACAGCAACTCGGCCAGGTTTGGGACACTACATAATACTATTACTGTCCCAAATTACCCCACAGCCTCTACATTTAGCGATATACTATTTAATCGGATAATACAACTGCGGTGTAACTGCCTAAACCAAATATATATAAAAAAAATTATCTCAGACTTACCAATAACTGAGCTTTCCCCCACTGCAGCAGCCCAAGGAACTTGAGTTGTGAGTCCTTCTGGGTGTCACCTCCTTTCCCCTCCGTGTTCTTTTGGAAACTACGGTGTAACCTACAATTCCCGCCGACAGGAAGCAGGTGCAGTAGTGCCTAAAATTTCTTGGGTTCGACAACAGTCCGATTTCATTGAGTGGAAAACAGTGAATTTGATAAATATATCATATTTGAATACATGCATTCAGTTATTATAGACTATATGTTTATTGATGTTAATTAAAAGGTAGTAGTGGTTAGACCTCCGAACTCCAGGAAGATCAAGATTGACTCAGTACAATGCTCATCTGTGTAAATAAAAGGGATAATAACGTCGGACGAAAAATGTAATACTTTTTAAAAAATAACTGTTTTGGTTTGTCTAAAGCATAGTGGTATATATTAGACGTTTTTGCTTACAGTATCTTTACTTAAAAGAGGTAAACGAGAAATTAGGTCAGAACATAGATTTCTATATATAAACAGTGTCAAACTACTATCAAGATTTCATGCCTGTAGTTATTTGTTTTTGAAACCAAATCTTCTAAATGTCTGAAATATTTCAGTTTTCTTTCACAAAGCAGATGGTTTTACAGTACACTGAAATAATTCTAAAACCAGTCAAACCTACTTTGCCTAAAGGCATCTTTAGCTTTGTGTGGAAAATCACAATGATATTGCAAGCAGATTTGAAGGGTATAAACCAGAGATATATGTCGGTAATTCATTACCAGTAATGGGAACTTGTCATTTGTGAGTAGCGGATTCAGTACTTATAGTGTATGAGAATTTCAGAAATTTAGTTTTCATCACCTGTATGTTATTTTTTATTTGAACTATTCTTACAACTGTACTAAATGCTGTATGTTCTATTAGTCATCATAATCATTAATCATAATAATAATAATAATAATAATAATAATAATAATAATAATAATAATACAATTATTTTAAAACAGACACAGGAAGAAGCAGAAGGTTTTCAGAAGTCTTGAGAGTTATGTAATGTTAGTTTCTCCTGAAACTGGCTTCAAGGTTGGGTAACCAAGGAAGGAAAAGTACTCCATTGGCCTTTTAAGGTTCTCCAAAAATGTACACACCACATGATAAAAATCGATTGTAAAAGGTTCATGACTAGAAAGAGAGAATAAATTGTATGAATGAAAGAAAACATTCATTATAAAAAAAGGCAAAATGCCATTAATAAATCTCAAACTGACACCACATTAGTATATAAGTTAAAAAATGTTAATAAATACCATTAAAGACATCATGTTTTTTGTCTGTTTTGTCTGAATTTTTGCTGGTCCAAAACAATCCATAAACAACATATCTGCAAATTACAGTGTAGTTACATATTGTATATGAAACAGCGATACTTTGCTGACTGCCCTATCTTTCTTACAACAGAAGAAGGCTCCACAGCCAAAACGTTGTGTTTTCTTTTTTCTCTTTTCAGTATGGAATAAACCTATCACTTGTTCCTATTACAGAACAATGTAAATACCTTTTCTCCAGGATTCATTTTTAGAAATATTTGCTTCTTTCTTATAATGAAACCAAACCAAAACTCTCACCTACATTCAGAATAAGAATTACACTATTGACTGTTACACCTGTCATAATGATATATTGTACCGTTTCACCTTTTTACTTGAATATAAAAGAAATAGCATGAATGTAAAATTACATTAACAGCTTTAGCTATTGTCCTCTTGTTTTGCACCAGTATACAGAAGACTGTAATTTTGTATTTTTCAAGGATTTTGTAAGTATTATGGGTAATTTTATATTGGGTTAGGGTGGTATGGATGTGCGGCAGTTATTTCTGCTTCTTCATAGCTCTTGGAGCCTGGCTTGACACATTTTCTGTAGTTGCTCTCTGCATGGGTTTTGCCTGTGAACTCTGGTTTCAGTCCACATTCCAAAGATACAACGCGCTGGCTATGTTAATCACTCAATTGCACCAGTTTTGCTTGTGTGGACATGTGTGTGCCCTGTGTTGGACTGGCATTCTGGGCGTGGTCCTGGCTTGTTCCCTGTGCTTCCAAAATAGGCCATCACACTTACAGTACCAGGAAAAAGGATCTTCTGAGATGGATGGATTGTTAAGGCCACCTATGTTATTGTTGGCTAATTAATATTTAATTATTGATTTTTTTCTGTATTGCAGCCCTCATTGACTAGTTTTCCTTTTTAGGAGAGTTTTTATATCTCAAAGACGAAGACGAAAACAAAAAGAAACATCCAGAAATCTTTATGCCCCTAATTAGTGGTAGTGTAAACCATTAGCACAGTGTTCTACAGTGTTCACTCTCTCCTTTTTACACATCTTGCCTTTAAATAATTTACACTCATAATAAAGACACAGAAGCAAAAAGAGTTAGCGAGATCTATTTACTAGAACAATAAATACTTGAGAAATTACAGCACAGAATTAAAAAATAACGATAAAAGTAAAAAATAAAACCTAGAGGAATGATCCTTTGTTCCTCTTCCTTGACACTGCAAACAATCACAGCTTTAAATTACAAACCATCTGATTCTTCACTGACTTCACTTCGCTGAAGTCTCCAAATCAGATCTGCCTGGTTCTTGTTGGTCCTATCTCCGTGTTTAGTGGGGGGGATATTTCCTCTTTTGCATCGCTGTAGGTCATTGTTAGAGAAAGTAGGTGCATTGGGACAGTACTACAGTATGTTTCCTATCTTCTCAGCTACATATTTACTTAAAGAGTGCCTTTAGTTAAAACTTTGAGTTGCTACAACTGAACTGCCTATTCATGAACTGTCTGTTCTCAGGTGTGGGTCAGTCAACTTTCCAGACTCAGCAGGACACAGTGTAAATAAAGATTAGTGCACAAATATGTTCTGTAATATCCCTTTGAGGAGTTTCTCATTTACCATTAAAGTTTTTTTCTACAAAAGAATACCAATGCCATCTCTAAAAATAACTTAGAACTGAACCTTTACGATTCCTGCTTTTCAAACGTATGGTATTTTTGTCCTACTATTTCAGGAATGATAAAGCATTTTCCTTAATACTGATAATTAAAGGAAACAAAAACAAAATTGCTCATAGGTTTGTTAAATGTTAGGCTATAGTAGAATAGTTATACTGAACAGCAGAATAATCAATGACGGTTTTCTAGGTTTGTTAAACCAGTCTCTAAACAATGTAAACAAATCGGCCAACACTGTACAGGATTAAACAGAACACAGAACCCTTTTTGGCCTTCCTAAAGATATAACCACACAGAGAAAGTAATGCAGTATATTGTTGCACTGTTGCAAAATATCACATTGCCTCGCATTCAGCCACTCCTAACAGGGTGTTAAGAAAATGAGCAGCAATTTCTATTAGTCACAAAAAATAAAAGAAAATTAATCAGTGACTTTACTTTATCATGAATTCAGGAACAAGTCATTTCTATTTTAAAAAACAGATTTAACTAAAAAAATATATTGTTTCAGCTAATAGCAATACTCAGATTATTTTATGAGATTCTCATATTTATCAGAAGCATCTAGAATAATAAACATAATATAAACTTGGCCATTGATGTCAAAAGATTCTAAGTCATTCCACTGTTTTTGAAATGATTAATTTTGGGTATGTTTCAGATTTAACTCCTGTAGTGGCAGTGCTGCAATGGACTGTAACTTTCTCGTATGGAAATAATACCCTGATCAACAGCCCTATTCGAGTTCTGCACTGACACTGAGACAGTTGTCCCCTTAAGAGGCAAAGCGATCAACGCACAATTCAGAGAGCGCCTACAACAATTCTTGCTTGAATAAAGAAACATTTAATGCAAAAAAGCAGTATTTTAATACTGGTATCTTAAAATCACTATAATATAGTTACATTACACAAGAAGCACTGTGCCGGAATCTATATACAGATCATCTATGTATGAAGATATTTTTTGGTGTAATGTAGTGAAGTGCACCTTGCACACTAAGTCTGCATCATCAGGGCTGGGTTGTACATTTGCACATTAAATGCTCATACATGCCATGTTTTGTGTATCTCTTATTACTAACTTCGTACTTCTTTATAGTATTCTTTCTAAAGTACTTAAATATGACAATGGGAAAAATGCCCCTTAGCAGACCATTTAAAAAAAACAGGACCTTTTTTTTTCTTTGCGAGGCTGTTGAACCTAGTTGTTATGACTAGACTAGTTATGGCTAGACTTGATGGCACCAAGCCAGGCAAATGCACACAATGAAGGTAGTAAAATATGGGTGCCAGTAGTAGAAATGCACAGAGATGTATTTTACTAAGCTTTTGCTGCAGTGCAAAATTGGATAACAAATTTGGGACCAAAAAATCCATATTCATAGGATAAGCAAGTTTAACCAAGAAAAAAACATTTTTTGGGGTTGGACAGGCCACAATCTAATTAGATCCAGTCCTTTAGCACGGCTTAATGTACTAGGAGGCTGTAAAAATCTTTAAACTTGCCACCCTATCAATAAAGATAGTGACCCTTGTGAGGCAAGGGGTAGCAGTTCTCTCACTGCTCTACCCTGCAGAGTGGAAACTCAGGCGGGAGGTGGGAGTGGGGGTGGAGGTGGGGGGTGATCTGCATGGTGTGGGTCTAGCCCTCCCTGGCGCTGACACGGGGCTCTGCCAGAGAGCTGTGGATTATGCCGGTGATGGAGTCCGCTCCTTCTCCCTCCAGGAAGGTGCGGTGGTCGCCCTCGATGACGTGGACAGACACTTTGCCGTCACACACCTGTGAACGACAGGACAGGACAGGACAGTGCTTAGACATGCAGCCTTGGACTTCACACATCAATTTCTATATGCACCAGTACAATGATCCAGTCTCTGCACAGTTCTGCACTGTACACTGTTGCGTACGCTTTGCCTTTCAAGCACACACACACACTTCAACAGATGGTCTGGCTAATATTTGAAACTCCTTATGGGAAAATCCATAAGCACGTCTAAGACTTTTCTTAATAACAGGACAGCCTTTGTACTACAATTTTGTGCAGAGTAGAGAATAATGCCCTGTCCCCTGGTGAAATAGACGGTGAATAGCTCTCACCTCATGCAGCCGGTAGTCCTCTCCCAGCCCTTCCTCGTACTCGCTGCTTGTCTTGGCCCTCAGCAGGGTGATGTTGCCATGGTACTTGGTGACTGGGACGTACTGGTCGGCTGCCTTCAGCTTGTAGTAGAAGGCAGAGGCAGCAAAGCGCAGGGAATCCCTGCTCATGCTCTTGTGGCTGGCCGTGATCAGGTCCACTGCAGCGTTCACGCGGGCCTCGAGGTCCGACAGAGGGAGCAAGGTCTCCAGAAGCTGGAGGAGAGTGCGACACGAGCAGATGAGGGAGGTTCTGTACAGAGGCTGGGCCTCAGTGTGGGTACTGATATACAGCAGCATCAGAAAGAAAAGAGGAAGGCAGACAGTCTTATATTCAGGTCTCCTGTCCCTAAAACTTGGACTCTTCTGACTTGATTGAGGATATCTTGCTTACTTTCTTTATAAGCGTGTTTCCTTTATTCATTATGGATTCAGATGCTCAATTCATATGGTACTTTCAGGTCTGAATGCTGAATGGCCCTTACCTTGTTGTACTCAGAACCGGTGAACTGCTGAATGAAGGCGCAGAGAGCCTCTGTCTCAGCCTGTGACTCGCTGCCTGGGGTCAGCTTTGCGCGGTAACTCTGCACAGGAGACAACGACAAGCTGAAGTCTGATCTCCTGCCGAGTTCAGCCAGTGGGTTTTGTGTGTAACATTTCTGGATGAGATCCATTTACCTCCTTCAAGCTGGTTTTATCAATTGTATCTTTGTCAAATTCAATTGTGTTCTCTGTTGCCGTGTTAGAACTTCTGAATGTTTTTCTGTTGTGACTGTGTGCTGATATTGAGCACTGCCTCTGAAGAGATTTAGAGTTTTGTGTTGTAAGGATCACTGAACACTAATTAAAAAAATACACATATGTTGCTGTCCTGCATCTGAGCAACCTGTTTATTCACTTCTGTGCATCCTGGATGCCTAGACTTTTCCAAAAATTCTACTACAGCCACTGTAGTACAGGCAAGACAGACAACAGCGTATGTGATACAGAGACAGGATGGCACGTGGTGGAGTGGTGGTGCTAAAAGGAAATGACAAGAGAGTATGTTACCGTGAGCCATGTGACTGATTCTGGCGAGCCACGTACTGTAGTCAAATCTTTCACGTTCGACACCTATTTTCTTCCATTGATTTTTTCATGTGCTATCAAATTCGCATTGCAGAAGGTTTACAGTACCTAACTTAATCATTTCAGCATTTTTTACCTAATAGCCTTAAAAAACTGCGTATTTGCAGCCGTCTGCTTTTCGAATGACTTTTGGTACATTGTAAGAATAGCTCATCGGTTCTGGCCCAGTGCTGACAGAGCGAAGTAATGTCATTAACATGCTGTGTCTTTGCGTGATCGGCCTGGTAAGGTGTACAACGGTGCTAGCAGACTCCCTTGGAGTAACATGGCCCCTGGGATGCCGGGCTAGGGTGCAGGGAGGAGAAGAGAGGGCCGCAGGGCAGGCCTTACCTGAGTGTATGCTGCCACATAGGAGTGGGAGCCGTCAAAGAGGAAGAGGTACTCCACGGGCTTCTGGGCAGCCTGCAGCTGGGAGCACATCTCGAAGGCCACGCAAGCACCGAAAGAGTACCCAGCGATACGGTAGGGCCCTTCCGGCTGCATCTGCCGCACACACTCCACATAGTATGCGGCCAGGCTTTGGATGCTGTCCAAGGGAGCAGCTGAGGAAGGAGGTCGGTATCAAAACGTTAACTGCTAATTTTTTCACTTTTACCAACCCTCATACAAGTACCCGTCTCTCACCGGACCGCGAAGCAGGGTGACAGTGTACAACACAAACCGGGAGGTAATGCCTTTCGCGTAACTGACTTGACACTGTGGTCAGTGGACAGTGGAGAGTGGCCGGGGCGTGCCTACCTTTGGTACACTGCAGGCCATAGCAGGGCACGCTGAGCTTGGCCGTGAGGGTGCGGAAAGCAGCGATGGAGCCCTCTATGGGGTGAATCAGGAAGAGCGGGCGCTCGGTGCTCTGCACCTCGTTAAGGCGTGCGACAGTGGGGCCGTCGGGGTTCACCAGCAGCAGACTGAGGTCTGTCTCTGTCAGGGCTCCTGCTCCAGACTTCTTCAGAGGAAGGGGCCGAGACTCTGCACGGGAGACAGAGGCTCAGCTCAGAGGCATGGTTCATCTTCCTGTTTTTTCTTATGTTTTCTAGTCATTATTATGCAGTACTTGTGTTTCTCTAGCTTTATGTGAACTTAAACCTAGTATTAAAGCCTGTATCTTCTTCCTTCCTGTAACTGGTGAACAGCACAAAGAATTACATTTTCCTGTGTGTTCTCTTGCGATCAAACTGGTTTGATAGGTAGAATCCCTGACCAGATAGAAGTACCATCAAAACCTTAGGTTGTACAGTATGGTTTGGAAAGCGGAACTCCTTTATGACACTTTTATTAACTCTTCTAGCCCTAGCTCTGAGGGCGCTCTCCACTCACCCTCAGCACCACCCTGTTTGCAGGACAGCTCCCGCAGCTTGTTGATGGTCAGCTGGCGGATCTCCCTCATCGCCATGACGATGTCGTAGTCCCGCTCCAGGGTCTGTCGCACCTCCACACCCATCAGCGAGTCCAGGCCCAAGTCTGCCAGCGAAGCATCCGCATTCAGACTGCTCACGTCACGCACGCCTGGGGGGGGGGGACAGGATATGGTGAGAGGGAAAAGAGTAGAGCACTGGGGTTCTTCTTCACTCACTCAGCCCCATGCCTTAGAAACCAACAGGGCTCTTTGAGTCTTCAATTCATGAAAAAACTGAGTGGTATTCACTTCGGTCATACCCAGTGATATGGAACTTTCTGTATTTGTGAGCTTTCTTTTTTCTGAAGACACTTTTCGGTGTCGCTGAAGGACAATTGAAAGGTTCTAGAACCGTAACGTTCTATAACCTGGGATGTTTCGAGAGTAAGAAATGTCCCACAACCAAAACATAGAATAGATAGGCTTTGTTAAATACAGTACATTTTTCTCTGTGTTCCTAAAAAACAAATTCCCATTCTCAGAAAAAGAAAAAGATACAAAAGGTTACTGTGTTTTGTATTGGATCTTTGCTACAGAGCTCTAAGTTTGAGAGATAAATTACTGGAGAACATGACTGGCATTTGCCAATTTCGGTAAGCGTGACAGTTCTGAGAGACTGGAATGATGGAGGCAGGAAACAGCCTTGGAAAAGGTCAGAGAGCAGCAGTGGCATCTCAGCATTTGCATTTAAATTGAATGAAGTGCTCCAGATTCTGTAGCTTTAGCTGACTGTAATTAAGGACCAGGGAGTAGGGTTCAGAAGTTTTGATATCCTGGATACGTTTCTATGTGTGCGCAAGTGGATGAGGAATGGTGTGATAAGACATCTGAAGGATATGTCTCCAGTGCTGTTAAATAAGAAATATTTTTTAGCCTTTTAGAGTTTGCAACAGGAAAATATGCCATTAAGCACTTCATCTAAAGTCTACTTGCAGATTTGGCAGTGGAAGAAGTGTTACTGCCTACGGTTTTTCCTATAGAGTGTAGTTTCATATGAAGACAGCATAAATCATCCTCATTTCTTCAGTGGCAGTATATTTTTGGTTAAAGGTGTACAGGAGCAGATTTTGAAAAACACTTATTGTAGAGAAACATAATATACAAAGTGTTAAAAAGTGTCATTTTAATAGTACCTCTAACTTTCATTGGTTTACTTTATGATACTGTAAAGCGGAGACATTGTATTGAAGGAAGGGGAACCACTTTTATTATCAATATAAATGTGGATACATGTGTTTTATTCTTTTCCAAACAGAAACAAATAGTGAATCCGGTGTTCAATGGATTGAAACACAGTTATAGAAGGTGTATTGACATTTTATGTCCTGAGTCAGGGATATGAAAAAGTAATATTTGATTAGTTATTTGAATCAAGTTGGCATGAAAATCATACTTCATGTGACTATCAAAATCAATGTCAAACCATGATATTTTACTCTGTGGCTATGAATGTCCTTTGTCCCCAGTCCCAGTCCTGCAGGTTTTATATTAATCTTGAAATCATAAATCATTAAACACCACATTTGCCCAAATATTAGACAACCTTGGGTTTAAGGTGACTGTACTTTTCATAAAGAGAAATGAAAAAAAAAAAACACAAAAACTATCAATAGCAAACAGATAAGACAACTTTACTAATGAAATGGGAAAGAAAAATTATTTCCCCAGTTTTCTGATCCAGTAGGTTATCTGCCTCAGAGTAGGTTATCTGCCCAATGATTTAGATGTGCTTTCATGTCTCAGCTCACAGCAGCAAATCCTACAGTCACTTGCAAGGAGGAGGTGCTGACTCCTTCAACACGCCCAGCTTCAAGTATTTCCTCTTTAACTTGTCACAGCCTATGCAGTCTGGTGCAGGAGCTTCAGCTTTAATTTGTCCCTCACTGACAGCACAGAAAGCCCAGTGACATTTTCGATCAGAGATCTCAACTTGCACTCAGGAGGAGCACCACAAGTGCCTGAGCCACTTGGAAGTCCTAAATATGCCTTTTTGCAACAGCCTTGACTTGACTTCAGTCAATTTTGAAGACATATTTGCTTGAAAAAAACATCACCTTATATTTGGACTAATATGGCAACAAATGGTAATTCTGCACATCAACAGAAGCACTCATTTTGTTATTTTTAATGGCCAGGAGTTGGCCATCCCTGAAATACGAGATGAGGCGCTTACCCAGAATATGTGCCACGGCCTCCACCAGGTCCCTTTGGCCAGCGCCCTCGCTCTTGGCCGTCACAGCCCTCTCTGCCAGCACGAAGCTGGACATCACTGGGCGGGGCTGGTTCAGGAAGCGGTCCAGCACCTCCATGCAGGAGCTCATCCTCTGCGGCAGCGTCCCGCCAATGACGGCGTCGTTCCCACCCATGGTCTCCAGGACCACGCCCACGTCCCCGATGGCGCCCCACTGCACCGCCAGCCCGGGCAGCCCGTCGTGCCTCCGCTGCTCGCAGATCCGCTCCATGGTGGAGTTGGCGAAGCCGTAGTTGCTCTGCCCGGCGTTCCCGCGCCCACAGCTCACCGAGGAGAAGACCACGAAGTAGCTCAGCTCCGGGCACTGCTCTCGGGTCACCCTGTTAAAGGCCAACACGTGCCACACGTTTTAGTCTAAATATGTAAACAGCAGCATTAAGAATCTATTCTAGTCAAAAGAAATTGTGAGTTTGGTAAAAATGCTTGGATGCTTGGATGGAACTCAATTTTTACCTGTCCAGGTGGATGGTACCATTGTATTTTGGTTTGTTAACGTCTTGGAAGTGATGGGGAGTCAGGTTCTCCAACATGCCGTCTTTTAGGACCTACAGGGAAGGAAAAAACATAGAGCCTGACCAACAAACCAGATTTCTGCAGAAATTGATCCGCCAAGCAGTGTTGCCCTTGCAGCTGAGTTGGATTAATACGTCGATTAAGCCCAGAGGTAGTTTTCCCTAGTGCTAGAAAAGGTTCATCATAATGACTAATCATCCACAGAGAACTGAAACTTCCACTTACCATGGCAAGATGGAAGATGCCACCCACGGGTCCCAGCCTGGCAGCCTCTGTGATGAGGCGCTGAGTCCCCTCCAGGGTGCTCACATCACTGGTGGACACCAGCACCTGAACGCCCATTCCCTGCCACTCGCGCACCCGCTTGGCCTGGTAACCTGAGAAAAGTAAAACCAGAACTCTTCTTACCCTGCTCTGGGCACACACATTTCACGATACAGACAACAATCTCTCAGAGCCTAGTCAGTGTGTATACCTCCTCTAATTGTTGCCATTCTCCTACTATTTGTAGGATTACACGATTAATCTTACATCCAAAAACTTGGTGGAAAGTTATTTAGCGATGAAAAGATACAGTTGCACGCTCACCATTGCGGATTCCAGATCGTGATGTCAGCACCAGTTTGCGTGCTCCCCGCTCAGTCAGCCAATGAGCAAGCTCCAGACCAAAGCCGCCCAGCCCACCAGTGATGATGTAAGAATGAGAGGCGGGGCAGGATGTGCGGCAGATGGCTGGGAGGGAGAGGGGGGCGGAGTCTACACCAGGCCCGTTTTCTTCAGCGCGCACCTGACAACACAACAAGAACCGTGAGCAGCCAAGCACTGTACAAAAACAGGTTTTCATCTTTAACACATTCATTCATTTTCACTGCTAGATCATTTCTGTTTTTGCACACACCCGAGCTTTCTCTAAGATTTTTAGACCAAAAGGATATCCAACCTGCAGGGCCATATTATTTAACCATGACACGTAGCAGTCAAGACCTGTACTGTACTATGTATATATGCAGCTCAGATGTTATTCATAACCAGCACAAAATCTGACATAAGGGTGAGATATAGTGCATATTTTAACTGAGTTATTTAGTTTTAGGACATTAAGTCTTAAACAATAGTTTTAAATAAAAACCACAATGTCTAGAAATCAAGAGATGGTGGTTTCCGAGTCTGTGCTGTTTAAGAGTTTAAATGTGTCTGCAAGCACAGCAGGTTACAAGGCTAAGGGAATGAAGAAGGGGCTTGGACTGACCTGCAGCAGGACCTTGCCGATGTGCTTGCCCTGGGCCATGTAGCGGAAGGCCTCCTCCACCTGGTTCCTCTCGAAGACAGTGGTGCGCAGGGGCTGCACCACCCCGGTCCTGATGCCCTCCTGCAGCAGCTGGGACACCTCCTCCCACTCACGGTTGCCCTCCTCAAACAGCGCGTCCAACAGGATGCCGTGGAACGCCACGTTTTTCAGGAACAGAGCCATGCCTGCCTCAAATACAGCAATGACGATGCATAAAAGCTGACCCATGGAACCAGTTCAGTAGTGTCTGAACCCTGTGCATCTTTAGCCTTGTAGTATGGAAGTCTACTGGGGGAGGATGGGAAAAGATTTTGTTTTTGATAGGTGTTTTCAGTGTTTTGCTTCTGGTAGTATCCATACTGCATATTCTCCTCAAGGGGGTGCTCTAATGCCCAGCTGCAGTGCAGCATGCACACAAAGTACAGTAAGAAAGTCATTCTGGGGAGAAACAATACAGTGTTTCTTATAGAGTAATGATATTCTGTACTGGATTCTCACTAAAATTTAAGAAGTGAATTCAGATCATGCTCTAGTGTTCCAAATGTTCTATGAAGTAGTCAGTTACTTTACTTTTGGTCAATGAATTAGCTTCTAAATGTGCAACTGAAAACACTGTTACCAAATAGTGTTCTCGCTGGAAATTAAGTCAGCGCTCTAAGCTTCTTGAGAAGGCCAGAATAATGGAGTCTGCGGGTTTATTATCATTACTTCTTATCAACCGCTGTGTCGGCTGTGCTCACCAAGAGGGGTGTTGTTGGAGAGGTCGTATTTCCCGATCTCCAGGAATCTGCCATGTCGGGCGAGGCAGCGCAGGCTGGCTTGTAGCTTCTCTTCTGCCAGAGAGTTCAGCACCACGTCCACTCCTGTGACAGTAAAACAGGCATGGCTTCAGTCACAGCACCGATGCACTGCACCGTTATATCTGTAGAGTGAGTGCTAATGATGGGGAAAAAAATCTGTCGCCTTGAAACCCCTTATCAAGAACTCCTCCAGAGGATTCACTGCTGAGACTACTCAGCAAAAATGTTATTTGTATGTGTTATTGTTACATTGTTAATTACTCCATATTCTGAAAACTGAAAACTGTGAAATTTTAACAGAAATGACTGTCTCTTGTAAATTTACAATTTCTTGCAACCCCTCTCTGGGAACACCTACGTTCTTGATTGTTTGATGCTGTCAGAGGAAAGTATGAACAACGTTTTTACCTTAGAAATTAGGAAGGGAATTGTTATTGTTAATAGTATAATACCGTTGTTTGTATTATTTTCTACTTTAACTTTTGTTTGATTTATTGAAAAACTCTTTTCAATTTTTAATGAAATCATGTTACATAATTCTCAGAAATGTTCAAAGTTCTGAGATTTGGGAAACATGGCCTAATTAAAAAGTGATTTGAACAGATTTTGAGTTGATTTTGTTGTTCTTCTAGAACAACACATCTTATTCCCTTCTGTGTGAGGAATGACCTGTCCGAGCTCACCCTTGCCCTGTGTGTGCTGCAGCACGTGCTGCTCGAAGGAGGCGTCTCTGGAGTTGGCGAAGCAGTCTGGCCCCAGCTGAGGAAAGCGCTCCTGCAGATAAGCCCGCTTCTCTGCTGAGCCTGTTGAGGCACAAATCCAAGATATTGTCATCACCCATTTACACAACCCGCACAAGGCAGAGACACACACCGCTGCAAGAGCTGAGCGTTAAAAAGCCAGGTGGTAACCTCCTCCCCACCCCCTCATAGCTGTCTAACAGCTACATTACTATACTAGCTTACAAACTTATTAGCTATCCTATTGTTGTAAGTAATCAAAACTATCCTCAATAAGACGTTACTTGACCACAACAAAGATATACAGTAGATATATTTGTGAAAGATATAGGTTACCCATGATGCTACCCAAAGAAGAGCTTTGTGCTTAAAAAATGTTGCTTTTTGCTCATTTCTGTATGCATCCACATATCATTGTCTTCCTTTTGCTGTTCAGGCCCTGTGCTTAGCTGGTTCTTTGTTTGCTAATGGAAAACCTACCACCTCCTTCACCTCCTTGGAGAGTTTGCAAAAATGCCTCCTTGTTAAAGTCAGTCAAATGCCATTGCAATGAAACTACTCTCTTTAAACAGCTTCTTTGGGGGCCGTCTCACTGAGCACCTTGTGCGCACGGATGGCAGCAGACAGTGCCCGCTGACTCACCCACAGTGGTGAAGACCCTGCACCGCTGGCTCAACGCGATTGCAATGGCTGCCTGGCCCACGCCCCCCGAGCCGGAATGAACGAGCACGCTCTCCCCGCTGCGCAGCCGCCCACGGACCACCAGGGCGTAGTAGGCTGTGGCATAAACAACCGGCACTGAGGCTGCCTCTTCCAGAGACCTGCGGGGCACAGAACAGTCACCTGCTGGGCTCTCACACCAACACAACATACGTCCGTCCCGTTTTAGTCCAGCTCTTGCAAACGTCCAGCCAGAGACCACTTCAATCCCCCTGGAGTACAAACTAATAGGCTCATTCTCCATTTAATAAGTTTTAAAAAAGAATTCATGGCATTTTATGACATACAGTAACTTCATAGTAAAAGTATAACGTAAATGTAAATGTTTTGCATTCCTTAATCAGTGTTTAATTGAAGCCTGATAAAATAACCTGTAAAGCAGTGTTATTGTCATTCCACATACGTAAATAACACAGGTCATCTCACACATTTTCCAATGCTTGTCAGTTCTATTCATGCTCTCTTTAGCAGTCTGCTTCCACCACTCCGCCTCTCTAAAGAGTAGTGACTCTGATTACACACCAGCTGGAGGGCACTTCCCACAGAAAGTGCTTGTCTGCATCCACGCAGGTGGCAAGGCCTTTGGCCGGCAGCAGCCCCATCACCCGCCTCCCGCTGGGGTCACGTCCTGAGAATTCCATTCCCAGCATGCACTGCTGCAAAGCCAGGTCCCCTGCAAGCAAGCAGCGGAGTGTCAAGGCAGCGTCAGAACAGGAACGTAGGCTTTCTCCTTGCTAGCAATCTTTTTTAATTTCGCTCAAATTGTAGGATTTGTCTAGGTGTCAAGGGCTTTCAATAACCTTTTCTCAAATGCTCAACTATCATTAAAGCTATTTAACGCATTCCCACTGTCTATACATATATACGTTTGTGTGACATCTGAGAAAAAGATGCAAGGATAATGAGGACACTGACGTTCTCACAGTATCAAAATGATAGCTTTTGCTTTTCTTTCGCACTCAAGCAGGGAATGTACAGGATTTACCTGGGATGGCATCGGGAGGTAGCTTGCCGGTAGCCAGCATGATGTCTCGGAAGTTGAGCGAGGCATAGTAGACACGACAGAGCTGGACATTGGGGTTGGTGGCTGTGAAGTGGCGCAGCGGTGAGACGATCCAGCGTAGCGAGGACAGGTCTCCTCGAGTTAGCACATTAACATAAGCCTGCTCCGTCCACTCCTCACTGAGCTCTGGAGGGGGACACACAGAGATATCAAGAAGTCATCTGACTGAGTGAAACAATGTGACAGTGACAGGTAGCTTGGCTCACTGGATAAGAAGTTCTCCATCTCTAATTAAGAAGGAGACATACTACTGCTCACTGACAATATCTAGGGCCATTATCCCAGAATGACTGTGTTTGGAGCTTCAAGGCTCACCTTGCTGAATGAGATTATGCCTGAAAGTCCCCCACTGTCCGTCCCGATAGACATTCATGGTGAGGTCTCGCTGAAGTATGACCTGCATATCTTTGTGGGTGGGGCAGAGCACGGGGGCAGCTGAGGAAGCTTCCAGGTTTGATACAAATGCACACCTAGTGAATATAAGGGCACACACATGACATCAGCTACCAGGTAGGTAAGTCTGTAGGATCTTGGTCTGCGAAGAACACAAATGCATCAGAAGGGTTACAAATGTGAGGAGGCTTTTTGGTCCTTATAGCTTAGAACTTGTTTGCATGCCAGTAGAAAATTGATCTAAGGATATCTCAGAGTGCTCTCAGAGATATCTCAGAGGTCAGGCTGTCAACTTTAACAACATGGCTGGGAAAAAGATGTTTTACAAAACATTTGCATTTACAGTGGTTATGGATTTGGAACACAGAGATTCATAACCTATGCAATGAAATCATATTTTTAGATATATTATCTGTAGATATATTATATTGCCATAATGTAAATGCTTCACAAGCTGAAGCACACCACACAGGAAGTGTAGTAGTAGATCCTACAATAGTGGTAGTAGATCCTATTTTGTACATATCCACTCAGGAGATAAAGTGCCCTCACCGTATCCGCTGGCCTCCTGGCTCCTGTCTCAGGCAGTTCACCATGCCAACAACCCCCTTGTTTCCCGTCTCTGCAGTGAGCCAGACAGGACTGTCCGATGGCTCAGCTAAGGTGGACTGAGAGAGAAAGGGGAGAAAAGTGTCAGAACCCTGCACAGAATCTGAGAGTTTACCCAAATTTACCCAAAAAATACCGTTTAGCTTAACAATTTGCATTTGTTTAATTTTAAAGAAGGGGGATTTTACAGGTCACAATTTACCCTTTCAGTAGTTTGGTCAAACCCTAATTAAGGCAGGGTGGAGGTACTATATAATTTGCGCAATGAGTTTTACTGGATTAGCTCTTCTGGCTGTGAAGAACAACAGCCTTTTAATGATAGGTGAGTCAGGGATGCGAAATGAAAAGCAAAAACAACTGGAAGTGCAATATTTTTATAGGTAGGATGAAATGGGTGAGATTAGGGTGTGACCTACCCCCAGATTTTTCAGTTTCAGTTAAATTACCTAAATATTTTGAATTTCCTGAAACATCTTATATGGTTGGGAACCAATACAAGTATTAAACAGCATATCTCTAGAACAGCTATTCATGGAATCCAGATAAAAGCTAAACATCAAATTCATATAAGAATAATCAAATTGTTATTTCACCTTTATTCTCTGCTTGCACTTGAAGTACTGGAATACTGTACAATACAATACCAGACAATACAGCTTCACAGCATCAGCAGTGTCTTTATGTCCCCCCAAAGCCTCACCTTCAGACTCTCCACCCACTGGTAGTCTGTCCCGTCAACTGACAGGAAAATGGGCGCCTTTGTGGGGGTCTGCCGACGACACAGGAAGAGGGCGGAGCCATAGAAGGACCTCCTGATGAGAACTGTGTTGAGCGACGCCTGGCTGAGAACCTCTTCCCACTCCGCCTGTGAGGATAACTTCTGTTATCAACAGCCTCCATCTGATTTTGAGTCATTCACAACCTACGCCAGTTTTATAACCCTGAAAAAGGGGTGGTGCTTTCCTCAAGGCATGGAATCGTACCCCTGACATCATGGTAAATACCTGGAACAAACTTGGCCTGCCTAAAACTGGCTCAACTGTAATTAGGAATAAGGGCTCCCTTCTGACTGTAAAATAAACCATTTTTAATACATAATTCTAACTGTTAATTAATTTTAAATTAATTAATCGTTATATGAGTCATTTCATGTTTAAGAAAGTTTTCCCAATCCTTCTCTAAACCTTTTTTTTTGTGGCCTATCTTTTCTCTGCGTGTCTCTAACTTTCTAGTGATACTCTTAACATCTAGGCAACTTATACTTGTCCACTGTAAATTACTGGGCCCAAAATGTGCCCACATTGTTGAAGTATTCAACATTTTTTAAGTAGCACAATGAAGAAAAACATAAAACAAATCCAATAGTGATTCCTAGTATACTGAAACAGCTGTGCCAGCGTTCATAACACACAGACTGTGTCATGACTGGATTTAGGACTATGTAGGACAGTCAAGGGGATAGCAATGGTGCTGTACCTGTGACAACAGACCCTGCTGGCTGTTCTGGGTGGTGAGGAAGGAAACGGTTTCTCCCAGTGTGTCTCCTTTCAGCAGGACATGCAGCAGCACAAATCCTCCCTCCTTGGCGGCCGAGGCCAGGTTACGCACCATGTCAGCGGGACAGGGCGGGGGGCTGGCACAGCAGTTGCAGAGCACCAGGTCCATTCCACCCATGTTCCCAGGGGCCGGGCCCTTGTGAGGGTCCCACTGGCCCACCGAGACCCCCAGCTCCTCCAGTGAAGGTGCATGGGAGGCCAGGAGGTCGGAGGTGGAGTCGCTGGCAGTGTAGTCCAGCTGTAGCAGGGGTTGGATGTTCAGGAGTGGAACAGCCCGGGGAAACAGCAGCCCATCACTGCACAGGGCCTGCAGGAAGGAAGTCAACCACATATATAAGAACAACACCAAAACAACCTTCCTCTTTGGGTCAACGATCCAAGAAGCCCAGTTGTTCCCAGCTATGAAGTGTTTTCCAAATCCCAGAGCCCTTTGAGAAAAGCTCCTCCAATTTTCTGTCCAGTTTTCCGTACATCTGATCTTAATTTCTGCTTGTCATCTGGTCTTAGTTCCTATGTGGAGACTGAAGTTGCTTTTTAAAGTTGATTTTGCTGATCCCTGGTAGGATTTAACTGAGTATGAATTTTATCTTAACATGCTGGATATGTTTTCGTTCAATTGTTCACAAAATACAACATTGCGGTAAAAAAGATATAACGTAACCAGAAGTTATTTTATATATTTTAGTCTACACAATTTAGTCAAAACCTCTGCTGGCCTTTTCAATATAAACTGTTATTAAGTTTTGGTTGTGCGAAAAGACATCAAATGTATCATTATTATCATTTATTTCACATTAAAACACGATAACAATAAGTGAAGAGGTAAACTGTCACTAGCAGCCAATATGAAGTGTTCATACTTCATATTAACTTCACTTGACCCTCTCTACACACCTACAGTATAAAGCTAAAAGTCTGCTCTGAGGACCATTCAGGATAAACATAGGCTTGAAACAGAATGGCAGATGTGGAACTGAAGTCCATCAAAGAACTGTCTTTCTGCAGAGAGCAGGAAGGTGGAGTCGCCTTTCACTTTGAGTAGAACAATGCAAAACATCACTTCTAGAAAGCACACGATTCTTAGTGTCACTAGAGATTTAGGATTTAAATGGTCAATTTTAATCACATTGCTTGGGAAATTACACTGCTCCTCGTCTGAGTTGTACAATCTTACATAGCCTATCCGTGAGAAGGAGTGGTCCCCACCTCCAGCACTCGGAGCTTGCCAGGAGTGGAGTTCTCCAGGACTGTGTCCAGGCAGTAGCGCAGGGCCGCAGAGTCGAGCAATCCGCCGAGCAGGGGGTCCTGGAGAAGGCACTCCCTCTCCTTCTGTACCGTCAGCTCCAGCTCGGAGTGCAGGTTCCCGTTCAGCTCCAGCCCACAAAGCACCGACAGCAGGCGTAGGAGCCCCTTGCCCGAGTCCGAGTCTGAAGGCTGACCTTCTGTCACCTCCTCCAGCCCGGGGATGGAAAGTTTCACACCCTGCTGCACCAGCTTCCTCTGCAGCCTCTGGATCAGCCCTGCATCACAGAAGCAACAGCATTGGCCCTGGCCTGGATATGCTCTATGTAGAGCAAAGGTCCTACTCCCAGTGCTATGGACAAACGCACTAAGCATGGATGAGTAAAGTCTGTTTCCCACCCCAGTGCTATAGATATCTCAGGCTTTCCTCACCTCTGCAGCGCTGCAGCTCTTCACCGAGCTTCTGGCTATCCCTTAGGCACTCTGTCTCCACGTACGGCACGAAGCCAAACTCCTCCAGGATTGGGGGGCTGTGTTGCTGTTGGCGACGAGGTGCCACTGTGGCGTGGAGGCCACAGATCTGGACTCCACCTGCCACAATGTTGTCCAGGCAGCGGTTAACAGTGACATCCACAGCTGTGAAGAAAAGGGAAGGAAGGAGATGATGAAACATGGACAGGAACTGTGGGGTTCATTCACTGCAATGGAATAGTAACACCTATTGATCACAATTTACTCTTCTGGCCTTTATGCACTCTTCATATTTACTTAACAACTCCATCAGTGCTTTCCTAAAACTCTTAAAGTGCAATTCTTCCAATATATCAAACGTCTATAGCATGTGTTACAGTAAAGCATTAGATAAAGCAATAAACATCACTTGTCCATTAAAGTGTACAATCAGCCACTGAATGGTCCAAAGCACATCTTTGGACAGGCATCACAAATTTGCATCCATTTTTGAACACCTGAACCCACATGGCATGGACTTGCCTTTCTTGTCCTCTCCATAGTCCCTCACTCTTTCCTCGTGCAGTACAGGATCCACACACACCGAGCGGATACGCGTGGGGAGGCGCAGGCTGCGCCCAGACAGTCCCACCACAATCATCTGCAGCATGGTGTCCAGAAACGTCACCCAGTTCCCAGCCCACTGCAGCTTTCCACTGTCCCCTGCACCACAGAGACAAATGCCAATGACGTTTTTGTCACAAGATCAGCAAATCCCGATAAAAGACAACGGGATATGAACATTACATATGATTGTACAGTAGCATTAAAACTAAGGCTTGTTGATTTAACTATACAGGGATATTAATGAAACTACTGTCAGAGATTTATCATTTGGTCAATTATCTCCTGACATAAGTATTAACACTGCCAGGAAAGGTATCTGTATAACAATGCATCATGTCCCCACTTCTGATTTCAAGACTGATACAACAGTTTCCATTGATCTGGTTCGCAGACAAGCACTGCACCACAGAATATTGCAACAGTGCTGGCAGCGACTGATCTCTCATTGCACGGCAGCTGCGCTCAGCGTGACCTCAGATCTTACCAGAGTTATTGGACTCCAGAATGCCCTGGAACGTTTTGCCGTAATCGTAGCCCCGCAGGCGCAGCTCTTTGTAGATGTCGCTCGCTGTCAGCCGCAGCTTGGGGTCGCTCTCTCCTACTTCGCAGGGCGTAGCCATTTGGGATCGGAAGGCATTCAAGGCATTCTCCTCCAGAAGACTCACTTTGCCTGGGACAAGAGATGGCACAACAAGAGCCTTAGGCAAGGAAGCCAGAGTACACAGTGCACAAAAAAAAAGGAAATCTCTCAATACCTTTCCTGTACAGAATACGAGATACCCTGAATTATTTCAGCAGTTTCTTTTTGCTCTTTGCATTCCCTTAAACTGAGAACAGAACGAACGGGGAAGTAATGCACACGGCAACTCCAGTCCGCTGGGCCTGATTTCTGCAAGTTTTATGCATATTTGTCAATTAGCACCTAGGGCAGAAATAAAACAGGTGATTTGACTTCATTTCCAAATACGGTAATTAAAGATGTGGTAAAATCCAAAGGATTCATTAGTGCTCAAGGGCTAGTTGTCCATCCCTGACACAGAGCTTGCAGGAGTTGCACATAAACATTTTGATTTAGACATAAGCACAAATGTTAATTTTAGTTAGTTACTAAGATACACTATATAATAGATGCTATTGGTTCCAATTGCATTTTTAATGCCACTCAATACATAAGTAACAGGATATTTCTTCAGATGACAGTGGCTGAGGATGTATTCACACTAAAAGTTTGATTTAATTGCCCTTCTCTAGTAATACAAGACTGAATACAGATTTTAGCTGATACTGTTACTGCCAGGAAGGCTTTGCAGGTGTACTACTGACCTGCCCCATTTATAAAAGAGTCTTCCAACAATACAAATTCTTGCAAACCAATGTGCTGGTTCAGTGCTGAACATGAAGCATGGTTTTACTTCATCATCAGAGACAACCCACACAACATAGGGTAAAATGAATCCAGTTTTAATTTGAACACCAATAACAAATTGTTATAACACCAACGGCAATATAGAAAAATTCTGTTTGCTTACCACTGACTGCCAGGTTGCCATTCTCAGACACCTCAAACTTGTTGGAGGCAGGCATGAGGCGAACTTCCAGCTGCACTGAGCCTGAGGAAACCAAAACATCACAGCATGGTGATCAGAATTCCTGAGGGAACCAACACTGAGGTCACACAAATAAAGAATGCAGAACGTTCCTGAAGTGCCCATTCAAATGTTTCCTTTAAAAAGGTTTTGAGAGGTCCCCCTTTTCCGAAGAATGCAGAGCAACAATCTATGATTCAAGAAATGGACTGTATGCGCTCTAGTTCTAGTACATTCTAGGTAAGTTATGTATATGGTACTTGTTTCAGGACTGTGTGTAAGAGTTTTGGGAGGAAAAGAGACTTCTCACATGTTTGTTTGTTTTTTCTGTCTCATTTGATTTAATAGTCTCTGTTTCAGATAGTGTTTTCACTCTCTTCTCATTCAGGACTCTGTCACCTGCTGGTCTCTCTTTTGTAAGCCATGTTTGTAAGCATGAGGCTTGCTCATATCTGAGGTCAGACTCTGCCTCTGGCTCAGGTGACCGTACAGGGCAGTCTCTCACCTGTCTTGGGCAGGATGGTGGCCCTGTGAATGGTGACATCCTCGAAGATCACGGGGGTCTGCTCCATCACTGACCCCAGGCTGCGCATCAGTGTCCTCCAGGCCAGCACCAGGTACCCAGTGGCTGGGTACAGAACCCGCCCATCAATGCAGTGCCCAGTCATGTAGTAGTCTGGGGATTCAGGGCTCATGTCTACAAAGGAGAGAACAAGAGAATAATATTGTAACATTCTTATGCAGGCTTGATCAGTTTTTCAGGTTCTGTGAGCGATAAGTAATTAAAAACATCAAATGAGAGGACACCTGACAAGTTTCCTAATTTGTTTCAGAACACAGTGATCCATAGTACACCGTCATTGCGTCTGGAATACGTTGACCTTTTACTTATTGAAAACAAACTCAACAAACGTCACTCAAAAACAGGTGTCACAGAATGCAAACCATTGAAGGAGGAACAGGCTGTGATTAATTAAGTTGTATAAGTGGCCAAGATTGTGTAAATGTATGCCTCTCCCCAGTTTTCAACTTCAAGTTTTCTAATGTAGGCAGTGGGGCAGGGACCAATAAACAACAATTTAAGAACACACTGGCCGTTCAGACATGAAGCAATTGCCACACCCTAGGTACTGACGCATGGACTTGTGAGGGGTTGCTGAGCCAGTCTAAACCAGGCCTTCGGCAGAGGGGGGGAGCAGGAAGCAAACAAAGAAGTGACTCTGTTTGTATTTGCTAGGTGGTGTAGTTGTACAGGAATAATTCTTTTTTGAGGGGTCACCTTACTGTGACCCAAGCTGATAAAATTACATTTTGGCTCATGCACAATTGATTTTAATTTGTAGTCCACATTATCTATACTAACAGGAACACAGTATTCTTTTTATACACCTCGATTTCTGCTGTTTTGCATGATTTTGCCTATACAACATTCGGATGTGTAAGTTTTGTTGCAATGAAAAGTAAATTGTCATCTAAGTATTCAAAAAAGTATTTGGTTCTCACCAATGTTATAGACTGTGGCTGAGGTGGAGCCACCGGAGCCAGTGGGGAAGTCTTCAACACTCGGGACGTCCCAGACCTGTGAGTGGTCCCAAACGATGTGGGGGGAGATCAGGGGGGTTCCCGTGGGGACTGGATACTCCACAGGAGGGTACAGCTTGTTACTGTCCACGTTGATCCTGGAGGGCATAGAACGGCACTCAGAGGAGATCCCCAAACTGGCAGAGTTGGCAACTATTAGTGCAGCAAATTATGTAGGCCAAGCAGAGTAGGCACATAAATAATAAGTAGGTAAATAGCACAGACTATTGTTGTACACTCTTACCCACTTTCAAAAACAGTCTATAATTAACATATCCGAGTGGCTATGCGTCTAACTAGAATAAACTCTAAATGAACAACAAAAATGTACATAGTGTACTGTAAATTGTACTGATTTCTGATTAATCCTCCATACATTCCCCTCACTAGACCTAAAGGCTATGGCTGCGGTCACTCTGGAACACTAGAGGAAAGTCATTCTCTTCTCTTGATCACACACCCATAGTCTAACTGTCCCTGAATTCGTGGGGCACATTTACCCATTCATGTAGATCTTGCCGATGTGCGTGAGGAAGAACTCCAGGTTGTTGGCATGGCCTCTCTTCATCAAGGGCAAGATGGAGCAGGTGGGCTTCAGGCTCCTCTTCAGGATGGCCTGCAGGGAGAGCCAGTGAGAGGTCAGCCAGGCATACAGGGGAATAGAACATTCCCATTTCTGACCAGCTGTGGCAGGAACCAGACTCATGTGGCTTGCATACTGGCTGCTTGGCCTCTGCATGACATTGACTCCAACTCTATGTTCTCAGGCACTCCAAATATTTTTGAGCATATTATTGTTATTATTGTAATCGCATTTTACTTTGTTCCTGTGGAGACTACCACAGCATTCCATCACTTATTGTTACATATCTGTTACGTCTTGTCCCAGACTCTACAGCCAACGTGATCTCACTGTTGGTTAATGAGTCAATTTATTTGTTGTTTAATGAAATCAGAATCATAATTAACTGACATTTGATCTTAAATGGTGTCTGCACAAGACCACTACCAACAAGCAAACTGAACACAGGATATATAATTATTTTAGAAATTGACTGATTTTTAATTAGAGATCATGAACAAAACTCAGCAAAAAACACTATCAATGCAAAGCTTCTAGCAAAATAATGATACGCTCTGCTAAGAATAATAAAATTAATCTGGGTGAATCATATTCATGGAGATTCTGTTTTACAGGACATTGAAGAGACTGTAAATTACTTCATTAGCAACACATGTCCTCCTTTAAGTCTCATTAATGTCTTTGCTGTTTCTTAACATTAATGAAGGAAATAGGAGGGCAGAGATATGCTTTGTTAATATGAATAAGATGAGATTCACAATTAAATCTGAAACGTTTACTCCAATGCTATATTACAATATCGTCACTCAGTTTCAATCATATTACTATAAGATTCAAACAGAAATGAGTGAACAATTCAGGTTATAACTTTAACACAACAGCAAACAAAAGATGCTGAAATTATTTTTTAAGGTATTACATACACAGTTATATTAATTTATCACATACAATAACTAGTTTTCGGACATGTCAGTGATAACATCTGAAGTTACTGAACACTCATTATCTTCAAGAATTATCTTCAAACTTAAAACTTAAAATATTGGAGACACAGTAGGAATAGTAGATAAGGGGATGAGCCACATTTTCAGACATTTTCCAGCTTCCCTGACCTTGACACACAAGAGCACTTGTTCCTGTTATCTGTCTTCTTACAGTACTCCTTTATTCTTCCTCACTCAAGTCATTCATCTGTACCACGCAGTCCAGTTCAACCCTCTGGCTGCTCTACCTTCCTGAAACTCTTCAGTGTACACCCGCAATTGAACATATGCAATTCTTAATTCCTAATTGCAATGAATATCTTTCGTACCTGCTCCCATAGGAGCTCTCGATTACGTACCCAAAACACCATGGCAACTGGCCAAGGCTCTGCTCAATGCCAATTGGAGCTCATTGTTGTGACAACGTGATCTGGCAGGAGATTGATTCCACCTGCGCGCAATTAACCCATCACTTAACTTTAACCAGCAGGATACCTCAGACCAGCCTTGAGTTGGCTTGCTTCCTTTGACCACACTTGTGGATTTCCCTTTGTGCTTTTGCTCTGTGACTGCCCGGCTTGCAACCCTGATTCATTTTCAACAATGGCTTTGAACTGTGTTTCTCAGACTGCTTGCTTCACGGATCCGCCCGCCTGCTTTAGTCAGCCCGCTCGCCTGTCTTTGTCCACACCTGGATTCAGCCCAGTGCTTCAGACCACTACACTCTGCACACCGCACTCAGATAGGTTAGCGCAGCTGTATTACAATACCAGGATGAACCACTTTGTATTTCAATGATGGGAGGGTCAGCCGTCTCATATCTACAAGAGTGTGTACGGGTCTCACCTGCAGCAGGGCATGTGGGGCAATCTCCACGACCACAGCGTTGTCCGGCACGAGGCTCAGGCCTTCCTGGAAGAGCACGGGGCTCACCAGGTTGTTGACATGGTACTCGGCAGAGGAGTACTGGGCCAGGGGGCTACCCCAGTCCTGCTGGGGGATGGAGGTGCTGATCCAGCGGGGGGTGCGAGGCTTGGGGTCCACGATCACCTGCATGGGGAGGAGGGGAGGAGAGGAGGTCAAGCTTCGGCAAAGCCTCTAAAACTTCTCCAGGTTTAGAGTCAGCCCACAGACCTCAGGAACTAGTCTTCATCCAACTGGCCGCTGAGACGCCTTTGTCATAGTCTAAAAATACTGTAATGACACCTTTACTTCCATATCAAGTCTGCGGTTAAGTGCCGGCAACTTGAACCTGCAGTTACTTTGTGTCTCAGAGGAGTGCTTTCACAGATAAGAACATAGGAACAGTTCCAAACGAGATGAGGGCATGTGACCCATCTAGTCTGTTTGGAAGTTAGTAATTAATTGATCCAAGGATCTCATCCAGCCATATTAAGCATTCTAGGTTTTAAATGCACTTACAGTACATGCTGGGTTGACTTTGTCAATGCCCTTGAGGATTTTTAATATTTGTGTCTAACAGTTACAGGGTTAAGGCCTGACTCCAATGCAAAATCAACAGTAACAAAAAACAGCATTGTAGTATGGGTAATCTATTATACCTATGATATTTTATATAAAAACCATGATAGATTTTCTTAATCAAACTGAACAGTCTACATTATATGAACATATTAAATTCTTTAGTAAAATTGGAAAGATATCTGTTTTGCCAAAGCTATGTTTGGCTGACGTCCTATGGCTGGCACGCCCTCTGTGGTGTTGACATGAAACAAACTGAACCACGAATCGCCCTACGTTAGCGTGTTCCTGCAACACGATCACCTCTTACCTTCTTGAGCGCCTCGAGCAGGGAAGGCGCGATGGCGGCCATGTAATAGGAGTGAAAGGCCACTCCAGCGCTGCGCACCTCTTTGGCGAATACTCCACTCTCCTTCAGCTGGGCCACAAACGTGCTCACCTCCTCCTGCTCAAACCAAAGGTAAAGCCCAGAGAGCTCAGCAAACCACTTCACATTAAGGACCCCAAATCCCATTTAAGTCATGAAGACCGTAAGTACATTATGCATAATGTATAATGTGTAAATGTATAATGCATAAGCATTATACATTAGGTAGGTAGCTGCGTCAGCATGCGTAGGCTGCAAAGGAACAAATAATAGGTTTATTACATGCTGAAAACGAAACGTCGTGTTTTCTCTCTTCTTTTTTTCAGCATGGAATAAACCTATTACTTGTTCCTTTGCAGCATTATACTTTTGTATGTAAGTTATTTGCACTGAAAAAGCTCAGATCTGCCATCCATTTTTATCCAACAGACATCCAAACTTTGTCAAACTAAAGCTTATTTTCTGTGATAACTCCCTGAATATATGAGGTCAGAGTGATTTGCATGTGTATTGTTATGTAATCTTTGTGTATTGGAGTCACAATGCTGAATGAATAAAAATCTTAAAGAAGCATTAAAACCCAAGGACAACAATTATACATTTTTTCCTTCAAATACACATTTTAGATTTCACATTTTCTAATAACAATGTGTATTGCATTTGGAGTAATATACAACTGAGCCTTTCAGGAGCCGCTGATTATGGGGGTGTGCTGTTGTTACCTGTGGTCCAGAGATGGTAACAGTGTCTTCTGCATTATGACAGGCAGGGACCACCCCCTGAGGGCACTGTGCTTTACACTCCTCCCACGTCAGCCCTGCGGTGAAACACACCAACACTGTCTACATACTGTACCAACACATCTTATTCTAACCCATCACTCCAAGCTTTTTTGCCCCAGGTTTACTTTTTGTTTTCATCTGGGGTATTTTGAAGGTCACCAATATTTTTAAACATTTTTAAATGTTCCTCTTTTGCTTCTAATCCCAGCTTCAGAGTTACAAACAAGAGGAGGTCGTTGGGTCCATCTAGCCTGTTTTGTACCTATAATTGGGTTAAGGATCTACTTGAAAAAATCCAGGGTATCAGCTTTATTAATATGGCTGCTAGGATTGTCATATAATCCCACAACCCCTTGCCACATATACACTATAGAAGAAATAAATTGTTTTGAAACGTTTTAAAAGAATGAGAAATTCTAGACTTTTTCCATGTAAGAGCTTGCAATCTGTTTTGTTCTGAAAGATTCCTACAGATACTGACATGTTTATGAGTTTCTATTCTAGATAGCACACTGCTAGAGCTTTATTAAAAAACCCTTCAATTGTGCCACCATCCTGTACAACTAGAGCTTGAAATCTGAGACTGCGTCTTACCAACAGCAGCCATGCCCCCAGGAGGGAGGTTGGCCTCCTTGATACTCTTCCCTCTCCAGTAGGCGGCCAGAATTGCCTCGCCGTGGCTTAGAGATCCGTCTGCATATCCGCACGCTAGCTCTCCCACTGAGTGTCCCACAATGCCATCTGGCTGCAGCCCCATCTTGTCAAGCATGTCAATCTGAGCGATCTGGGGAGCAGACAGCACTCTCTTTGAACATCTCCAGGAATGCAGAAACGTCTTTACAGCAGTCATAACCTCATCGTAGCAGGACCATGCAATGTTCAGGCTCCCAGATCCACACTTCAGCACTCTCATGCCATGTTTTCTCACTCCATCTAGTCGCCTACCCAGAATCAACTAAGGGAATTATTGCATTCTTTACATACAGTACAATGAATTTTACCCCCAAAACGTTTCTGAGAAAAAATACAAACTGAGGGTATTAGCCCCTCTGCAGAACCGGGGCTGGTAAATGTATGAGCTTATATACTACCTGCAAATCCCTGTCATCCCACCCCACTCTGCCCTGTGCTGCTCCTAACCTGGATGGCTGCGAGCCCTACGAAGGCGTGCACGGTGTCCTCGAACGTGGACTCATCCGCCTCCATCAGGAGCTTGGACACGCACAGGCCTGTGTCCTGCAGGGCCACGTCCGAGCGCAGGATGGACTCCCGGAACTCCTGCAGCTGCATCAGACTGCGGCCCATCCCTGCCCACTGCGTGCCCATCCCTGCACATGCAAACACAAACACACGCAGAGCGCTCAGACAGTATCATGATTCTGTGAAGGAGTATGTCAAGCAGTGTATGAAATACTATTGTAGTCATGTTTATTCATAGAGAAGATCTTGCAAAATATTTAGCACATGTATACACCACCGTTGTTGGTGTACCTCTACTCCATCTCAATGGCAACACTCACCTGAGCAGATGTACCACAGAGGCCTGGGCGTGGCCTGGGCTTGCTGGATCTCCATGATGTCCGCCTGGCTGCCAACCAAAGCGTAGCCTCTGCAAGGCATGCTAGCAGTGGGTACGCCCGACACCTCGTTTAACATGCTCAGGAAGCTGGCATTGCCTCTGTGTCCCTTAGCCTTCTGAATGAACGTGCTCACTGCCTCCTCCGTCCGTCCGCAGGCCTGTACCAGCCAGGGCACTTCGGGGGCCGGCAGGGGGCGAGGTTGGGAGGGTGCACCAGGGGGCCGCAAGATCACATGTACATTGGAGCCCCCAAAGCCAAAGGAGTTGATGCCCACAATGCCCCCCTTAATGGGCAGAGGCTCAGAGACCACGCGGACCCTGCCATCGGTGAGAGCTGGTATGTCGGGGTTGGGGGTGTTATAATGGATGTTGGGCGCCCACACACCATGCTCTAGGGACAGAATAACCTGAGCAAGAAGACAGAGAGGAGGAGATATAAGTTAGCAAACCCTTTGACATTTACTGATTTACATTTTTTAAAATAAAAAATGGCTGTGTTTTCTGTGCACTGCATTTTGTATAGATGTTGGAACATAGATTGAGAACCATCATTTCAATTAAGAGAAAACATTACCCATATGGCTAAGGCACTTATTTTATTTAGTTGCAAGCAAGATATCAGACTAGAATGGATCTAGTATCTTTATCATCTATAGGAAACCTGAAAATTCGTGCATGAACCAGGTTCCTTAAACGACTGAGGTTTTTAGCGACCATTTGCCAGCATGCTCCCACTTACCTTGGCCAGAGCTGCTAGGCCTGAGGCGGGCTCAGGGTGGCCCATGTTCGATTTGGTGGAGCCAATCAACAGGGGCTCGCGCTCTGATTGGCAGAAAACGCTGACAATCCCATTGACTTCCTGTGGATCGCCGACCTGGAAGTGATGTTTTAATTGTCAAAACCTGGACGTGCTGGCGACCGTTCAGCTGTGCAGTCTGGACAGACATTCTGTTTTCATTTGCAACGTGAGTGCGTGTAGGGACTACTGCAGCTGTCCTTGATTTAAGTCAGTTTATGTTAGCAGTTCATTGATCTGTTATCTGTGAGAAATCACATCTGTGTCCATGTCCAGAGGCCCTTACATGGCTGTGGTTGATGCTTGTGGTTGTTGCACGCACTGTACTCCTCACTGTGAATATTTGTATCTGGCTTGTGCAGGCAGAGAGCTGCAGTATTGTAGCTCACCTTAGTGCCAGTGCCATGGGCCTCCACATACTCCACCTCTTCGGGAGGGATCTGTGCCTCTTGGTAGAGAGCACGCACCAGGCGCTGTTGCATCTCTCCAGAGGGGAACGTCACACCTGAAAGGGGGAAAAAGTAAAGAGGATGCGTTGTTGGGAAGCAACACGTGTACAATACGGTCCACAGTACAGTACGGACCTCAAGACAAGAAAATCTACACATTACCTCTCCCATTCTTGTCATTATGGCACTGGAAGAACGAGACAAAACCTGTCATCCAGACTGTTCACATTAAAGCTGTCCAAGTGTTATTACTCTACTTGAGCGCAATTTAGATAGAAGGTTTTGCACCTCCAATGATAAACAACAATGAATAATTCTCTGCATCTGTATAGCGCTGTTCATCCCGCTAGAAGATTTCACTGCTTGCAGTGATGGATGTCAGACACATGCTTCCTGCCACTTGGAGAGTCTTCTCTTTTGACTAAGGTGTACATAATATTTTGGTCAGTAATTGTAATTACAGATCCAGCACATAGGTCATTTAAGAGACCTATTTTGGGGTGTTTTTTACGGTAACTCATAATAACTAGAGTCAAAGGAGTTAATGCCTACATTGTAAAAAGACTGCCAAAGCTGTTTTTGCACAATGTTCTCCTCTGCAGAACTCATGCAGCTTCATTTTATGGAAGAGAAATGAGACAAGCCAAAATATTCTTTAAATATTCTTTGGCGATTTTTGATCATCTTCCATTACTGTAAATATTTAATGTGTCCTGACAGCGAAGATGGTGTGACAGGCCATCATTCAAAATCTCCAGTCATTTGTACTGACAACTGATCATGTTCTCACCATGACAGGTTAAGGGTCATAATTGAAGAAACTGTTATCTGTGGTTACAAAAGCCTAGTTAATGGGATCTCAACAGGTTTCTCTTAACAGTGTGCCAAAATGCAGGTAACAAATGTGCTGACAATAAGGCTTAATGATACCAGGAACCAAGCCACTGTATCACTGTGCAATGTAACAAATGGCATTAAAATGTGGTTAAAGGTTATGGTATAATATTAACCCAGCAGAAGACAGCAATATTTTTTATAGCAGTCAGGGACACAAAAATAGAAATCACTTTGAACCTAGAATCACAAATGTTAACTAAGTTGCTGGTAATATAACTGATTTCAAAGAAAGCAAAAATCATGTTTTTTTTTAATTTAATGGTTTTCTGAAAATTAAGGCATCTTGAATCAGGATGTTTACTACAGTATATGCCAGATAGATTTAAAAAAGCTTGGAAATCGTGTACACTTTTTAGTCACATGGGCCTGAATGCTACCACCTTTATTACACACATACTGTACAATCAAGGGATCTTTTGTTCGCTGAATACATAGTATTTGCAAAGCAGTCAAACTCCTAGGCACTTACTCAACATATCATAGTGATAACTCAGGTTATCATAGTGTTAAATGGACTGAGAGTCTGTGACTCCCACCCTGAGTGGGATGTTGGTCTGTCGCCAGGATTACCTACATTTCTGGTCTCCACATACTGAGCTACAGGTGGATTAGAGCATCTGGGGTAAAGATTCTTCCCCAAGATGTTACAACAGCAGTGTCTGCAGCACGGACTTAAACCCACAGCCTGTCTGTTTTGAGTTTAAAAGTAACCCGTTACTTTTTAATGTCCTCTACATAGTACAAACAGCTCAAACATTCAGATCAATAACCTGACTATTACTGAATTCAAAGTATATCATAGTAAGAGGACACACCATAAAATGTACAGCATCAAGCACAGTACAAATAATTTGCAATTTGGAAAGGGTATGATTATCCCCTTCTCATCATTCACAACATTTAAAGGCAAGAAAGCAAGAAAGTGAATGTAGACTCATTGTATCATCATTGTATATGAAGGAATAAAGAGCATGTGTGACTACAACTACATTGCCCAGACTGCAGAGGGCAAAAACCTGTTGAATGAATCACAAGATAGAAGGAGCATATGCACAGGCAGAGGTCATTGAAGGATAAACACAGATCACTGTTAGGAACTGAGAGTGTGACGGAGTGCTCTTCCATAGTCCAGAGCTCAGTCTATAAACAGCATTAATCTACAGTAACATCAGGGTGACTGTTTACAGCCCTGTCCAGGCTCTGGAGCCTCTATCCCTGCATTCCCAAAACCATGTTGATAAATATAGCCTGAGAATGGGGTAAGTGTTACAGAGGTGACTAGGGGAAAGGCTGCATGCCCAATCACGTAGTGTAAATTACTCAATCTAAAGCATTGCTCCTGGTTATGTCACTGTCTCAGGGCTCCTTACTGCTCAGAAGATCAGCTGATTTGACTTCAGAGAATAGGGTCTACGGCGCAGTACCTTGCTCCTTATAGCCGTCTGTGTTGTTGCCTGCGTTGAGCACTGTGGCGTACACCCGCCTGGCCATGGACCTCTTAGTCAGCAGGACAGCCACAGCGGCCTCTGAGCGGCAGTACCCATCCCCTGGGAAGCAGAAGCAAGTGGTTGGCACTTCAAGAATCCTGTTGTGTGATAGCAGGGTTTTTGCCATATATCTTTTCCTTGCAGGGCTGAGCTCTATAGCTGGTATAGAACACCATTACTTCACCTTGAAGGGGGTTATGCAAAGGAGTCTGACAGAATAGTGTGAAAGAGCATAGAGAGGTATTAAGACTTGCCACAGGGCACAGTTACGCTGGAGATGTTATTAAGTAAGAGACACTATTCTGCATGAGAAGACGAGCTCTTAACATGAATATGACAGTGCAGTGTGTTGAAGTTCACATCTCAGTGTCAACACAGCTGAATGGACTCTGAAATTCTCAGGAATAGATATGGACGTAAAGCCATTTTGGATTCTGTAATCAAAATACTTGTCTGTTGTTCTTAATATTCCCCGCCCTGCACATGTGTAATAAAATAGCTTGTTCAGAGATTAAGATTATCGAGAATTCCTCCACTTGTCCATCTTAGGTGCTACAGTATGTACAGTTTCACATGTCTCCCTGCTCCACGGGGCCATACCTGAAGCATCGAAGGACTTGCACGTGCCTCCAGGACTCAGCATGCCCAGCTTCATGAACTGCACCGAGGTGTTTGGCTTGAGCAGGAGGTTGACTCCTCCCACCAGGGCGGAGTCGCAGCGGCCATGGCGAATGGCATGAAAGGCGTTCTCCAGGGCCAGGAGACTGGAAGAGCAGGCTGTGTCAATGGCGGTGCTGGGGCCTGTGGGGCACGCAGACACACATGGGACAAACTGAGCAACTGACTCGACAGAAAGCGAGAGACACTACACTGAACAACTGAGAAGAAACAGCTGAGATATGACACTACCCAAGGTACTCCCCGAGTAATAGCCTCACAAAAGACTGAAAGAATTACAGGACATTGCAGATGTTTTAACACATACTGCAACACCACCAGTTACTTTAGGTAAAGCACAGATTATATACACACACTAGGAAGGCCTAAAACATCTGAGCGTGGAATAGCAGTACATGTCTCTGATTTTGCAGTTCTATAAAGTCTGTGCTGAAAATATTTAACATTCAGAGCACAGTATTTAAAATTAAGTTTATTTAATCTTAGGAAAAATCTGGAACTTTCCAGTCTATGACAAACCATGACTCAATATACTACATGTCTCAGAATTAAGTTTTATACTTTTGTTGAAAAAGTTCTTCATTATTAATAAAAAATGATTGTTGTTATAGATACTTTATGACTGCCGTGATACCAAAATAAAGAATGTACTTTACTCTTGCTTGTGTAAATTGTAGTTTATGACTGAAAAACAAAAACAACTGGAAAGGAAAAAGAATAATTTACAGACTCTCCCTACTCTCTGAAGGCCAATATATCAAACAACGCTCCGGATACAGTAGCTACATAGCAACTTAAATGGCAGCTGGGAAGTACAGCTTCACTCAGTCCTACCATTGAAGTCAAAGAAGTAGGAGAGGCGATTGGCGAACATGGCACGCTGACAGCCTGTCATGCTGTATCCCAGCAGCTCCTCGGGGTCCCGACTGAAGGCCTCTGCAGCCTCAGAACCGCTGACACCGATGTACACCCCTGTATTAGAGCCACGCATGGACACTGGGTTTATTCCTGAGAGGAGAAAGAACGACACGGTTATTAGCACACACAGGGCCACAGTGGACCACCTGTATGAGTGTGTTAGGTCCTGGACGTGAAACCCAGACTGTCTGTTAAAAGCTCTGCTGTCCAGTAGAACTTACTTTAAACTCCCAAGTGCGCTTGAAAAGTACCAGAGTCTGTTCGGTCCCTTGAGCTGAGGATGCACACTCAGGATCGTCACTCCTTACAGTTGGCTAACGGCCTGGTTCTGAACTAAATTACTTGATATCTAGAGTATGGGGCTCAACAAGCACTCCAAGCGAGCACTTTTAATGGTGCACCCCCTTGAGAGCCACCATTATTTTGAAAGTTTTAACACTGAAAACCTTGAAGCTCAAATACTCAAACACACACAGTCTGTTGTTCTTAATATTCCCCACAGTTCTGCACTGACATGAGAGCCTAGAGCTGTGTGTGGGTCTCTGTCAGCACTGACTCACCTCCATCTACTATGGCTTCATATGAGATCTCCAACATCACCCTGAGCTGGGGGTCCATAGTGTGGGCTTGTTTGGGGTGAACACCGAAAAACGAGGCATCGAATTTGTTGATCTCTTTAAGCTTTCCATTCCTTTGGGGCAGACCATACAGTCCTGAGAAGGAAGCACAGTGATCCAGGATGAAGAGGGTATGGAAAAAAAGAGTGATGTCTTTGCACTGTTCAAGGAAAATTCATTATGTATGTAATAGTATGAGTGTGTAAAAAACTCAGGTCTAAACCGATTACAGTAAGTGAAGTATCTGTATCAATACCACAGTATATTCTTGTCCTCTTTTGGACTTTTAGAGCTACTGTACTTCCTGATGACCTACAGAAGTGTTCACAAATGAGAGTGTCACTGTAGGCCAACTCCTAACCGGTTGTTTGACAAATATTCACATTACTAAGAAATAAAAACTATTCATTATTACATAATTAGAACTGTACATCAGCATTTTCTATTAGGATTCTTAGGCCTTACAGGATTTTCTTCAGTGTAGAAATGCAGTGTATATTTGTTATAAAACAATTACAAAACAAGACATAATTTTTCATGAATTTGTTTTCAAGGGCGTGAATGCATTTATAGCCAACAGTACTTTTACGGGAAATGTTTGGAAAATAAATTAGGCCTACCTTTAATTAGAATTTTAAGTAATTTGCACATTTATTTTTTTTTAAAATGTCAATTAAAAACAACCACTATGGTCCTGTCTCACCAGGGTCTTCACAAACTGGTGGCAGTCAAGAAATATCAGTTATAGCAGATCCAGTCACAGACACAGACTTAATATTCTTGACCTCACCTGGTTTCCACCTCCTGTCATCTTCTGTCACCATGTCCACCCCATTGAAGAGGTTCTCCCAGAATTCCTGAAGGTTGTTAGACTCAGGGAGTCTTCCTGAAATCCCAGCTATTACAATGTCCTCCATGATACGAGTGTCTCTGTTATGAGGAACAAGTATGTAAGATAAGACAACAGAAATACCCCACACAGGGATATTCAAAATAGTAAAGCCTCAACAATACCAGAGAGGATGCAAAATTCATTTTGACCACTTTCTATTGATATGGATTAAATATTACATTACATCCATTACATACCCAGCAGCCATATCACTCTGCAACTCACAACTGACAGCCCACTGAAGCTCAGCAGGTGTGAGGCTGGTCAGTACCTGGATGGGAGACCTCCTGGGAAAAACTAAGGTTTCTGCTGGAAGAGGTGTTAGTGGGGCCAGCAGGGGGTGCTCACCCTGCGGTCCATGTGGGTCCTAATGCCCCAGTATAGTGATGGGGACACTATACTGTAAACAGGCGCCGTCCTTCGGATTAGATGTAAAACCGAGGTCCTGACTCTGTGGTCATTAAAAAATCCCAGGGCATTTCTTGAAAACAGAAGGGGTGTACCCCCGGTGTCCTGGCCAAATTTCCCCTTGGCACTCACCAGTCATGGCCTCCTAATAATCCCCCTCTATGAATTGGCTTCATTACTCTGCTCTCCTCCCCACTGATAGCTGATGTGTGGTGAGCGTTCTGGCGCACTATGGCTGCTGTCACATCATCCAGGTAGGGCTGCACATTGGTGGTGGTGGAGGGGATCCCCATTACCTAAATTATCGCTAAATAAGTGTAAGCAATTATTATTATCCTAATATTTTGCAATTGGGGTATCATTGGTAATACTATATACATATATATGTGAGAAATATCTCATAAAAAGGCAAAGTAGTTTTCATTATGCTGTTGAATGTAATGGCTTTAACATGCACTGTTCATTTCTCCCTGTTTTCCTTTAAAGGAAAATATGCTAAAATCAGAGGTACTCTGGACCCAAAGTGCACATTTTGAATTTGTTTGACTTGTCCATTGGTTAACAGACAAACAGGTAAATTTAAACAAAGTGGAAGGAAATTATCCGTAATACTGATTACAAAGATCATAAAATCTACAGTAGCTTCCAAAGGGGCAAATAAAGCAGGCAGCTACACCGAGCAATTTCTGTGACATATCTGGAATTTCTTTTACAGTAATAAAGACCACGTAAATTCAAGGACTAAATACTTTACCGATAAATATAGCTTTATTTGCTCAATGCCAGAAAAGCCTTTTTGACGGTTTCCGGGCAGATTACTGTTCTGTATTTCATTTAGTTCATTTCAGAGTCATCCCTTATTGATCGGACACTTGAGGTTACTTTCCAAGCTGGACAAGACCTCAAGCACTGGCAAGACCTCAGCTTTCTTCTCAGTTCTCTCTGTTCTGCAGCTTTGCCTCCCAGACTGCTTGACTGCAGCCTATGCTTACTTTGGGATTCAGCTAATGAACGCAGGAATAACAAGACTCCTTCTGTTCTGCACTTCCTAAGGGCGTAATTGAAGTCTGATTTCAAAAGAGCTAAACTTCCACAATGAATTTGCGCCTGAGAGGAGTTAGCTCAGAGCCACCAACGCCCTCAAAGAATACCAGCCTACCAACAGTTATTAGCACCCCAGGGGTAAGTGGAAAGGCACAGCCACCTCTCTGTGTGGCCCTGTGTGCTGGATTGGCCAGTGGATTGCCAAGTACCAAACTGAATCAAAAGCCTTTCTTTGATCTGTCCATCGCCCTGCTAGTTGGGCAGGGCAGTATTTGGGCGGGTTCCCTGTGTGATTCCTACCTGATCTGCACACTAATCTGCATTAGTGGCTGTGCACATACTGTAGTACTACACTCAGAACACTTTCAATCTGCATGCTTGTTCCTTTATTCTCAACAGTAGGCTTTAAGCAACTATAAAACTTACCCTACATACAGGCATTTTATCCATCCATTTTCTAACTGCAATTCAGACTCCAATTCAGAGTCGTGGGGAAGCCTATCCCAGTAAGCAAAGGACAGAAGGCAGGGTACACCCTGGACAAGACAACAATCTATCACAGGGAAGACACACAAACATAGACACACACACTCAAACCTAGGGCCAATCGAGAAGAGTAAGGATTGTATTAGATTTGAGATGGCTGAATGAAGCGTTACTGTACAGATCTGTAAATCAGAAGTACCAAAGTGGCGTGAAAGTACCCAGTACTGTACGTACTACAGACTCCTCACACTTGCACGGGCCCAAGGTGTATTAGCAGCTTTTCTTCTTCAGCACGTGCCAGGCCAGCGAGGCTGCACGGAGCCATGTCTCTGCGACTCACATGTCTGCACCTACTGCTGCCAGAGTTGGAGCAGCATGTGGGTGGGTCACTTGCAGCTCTGGCACAGGTTGTTTAGTTGTTCACGGATGAGTTATTATCCTACCTTCTGTTTCCGTGGTAACCCGTGCTGAGGAGGAGGGCGGAGAGGCGCCGGGCAGGTTCTCACATGTAAAGACCCATGCGTGTGAGCAGGTGGAGGGAAGAGTGAAGACATGCACAATGGGAGCTATCCCATGCGCCCTCACTCCAGTAAAACAGTTCAGTGTGTCAGAAGCTCAGCGATAAGCTGACTATACTAAGTGAGCTACCTAGCTATCTACTGTACGTCATCCTGTGTCGACTACAGGACTTTTAGAGCTACTGTATGTCACAAAAACCTACAGAAATGTAAACAAACTAGAATCTTCTTTTAAAAAATCTTTAGAAAACAATCCTAATTGTATTATTAGCCTGCAATATATCACGTTCAGATCAAGGGGCCACTGTGAATTGCTCTGGGTGAATCTACTTTACCATAGAGAAGCGGTCAGGATGGTCAGGAGGGCTTTCGGTGTAAAATCTCAAATGGCACAGGGCTGAAAACAGGAGCGCTTGCATAACCATGTCGGTGACATAGAAACAACATTCAGATCCTTGCAGCAGCAGGTACAGTAAATACAGCCACCTGCACCACCGCTAGACAAGCCTGGTTCAGTGAAAGCAAAATGAAAGAGAGAATGGGTGCTATTCCACTGTAAAGGCATACAGTATTTATCTTATCCACTCCATCTTACTGATTTTTAATCAAACTGATTGCACTGCATCCATGTCCGGTGAGTCTAAAGATGAAACTAGTTCTCCCACTCCTGTCATCCTTCACAGAACCCCACAAATCACAAATCCCAGGAAACCTTGCGGAAAGAACAGACAATACTTCATCTCCATTATCTTTAAGGAAGTGCTGCAACTAGTACAGTACATGCTGAGCTTTTAAAAGCATTTAACCGGATTTCAAGACAGTGGATTTAATCTACCTGACCCAGATCTCAGTGGCCACCAGTCCCTATAGATCACTTAATCTATAAATGTCCTCTTTAAGCAAGTGCGTTTCTCTCTGTCCCAGTAATATGAATGAACTACAATTGCATGCTAACTCATTATACTGTATATCATCCCATACTGTATATAATTCTTTATATAACTCATCTCATATATCAGTAAGACTAAAGATATCAGCAGGAGGGTCCATTTCCTAATTCTTTATTAAAACAGGCCTTTTTTTCTGAATATGACTAAGAATCACCTTAACATAACACAGCAAAGCAGGAATTGCTAATACTTAAAAGCTTAGGCTCAAAACACTCAATAATGGAGCAGAACCAATCTGATAGCAATTAAACTAAAATTGCACATCAATCCATATAAATTTGACTTAGATTTTAGCTTTGATGATGACAGATCAGACAAAGGAATAAGAATCCTTCCTTGGTGTTAGGTTCCCTCCCAACATGGTGTTCTGAAGGTCCTGATGTTTTTTATTTCTGTGCCTTCGTTTTATGGTACTATTTTCAGTAAAATCACAAGACAATGTTAAAGATGCCCTCTGTGCCATTATGATCATATATGACTATATATTTAACTATATACAGTAATCGGATCTACAGGAAATGTTATACTTGGCTGTGATTTAATTAAAAGAATTACACTGACAATTTATCAACACAAGCCATGTGTGCACTACATTCACCACCTGCCGAATTCCACACAGAACCCTTCAATATCCTCACTGATCAAGATCATCCTGGCGATAAGCTCCCTTCAGAGAGAAGGCCAAGCACCTCAGCTTGGAAGTCAAGATCATTGTGGAAACCTGAGGTGCAGCATGTTCAAAAAGAGTAACTCCAGATCAACACCTTACTCCCTTAAGCTTAATATAAGAATAAAGGCTGTGAGCAGTATTGTAGAGCCAGTACTGAGTGATCCCCAGGGGCTATAAAATATAAAAAGCCAAAGTGAAAATATCAAAGTCACCTCTGCATTTAAATTAGGGTCCTGACATGTCTGCATCATCACACCACCCAGAGCTACACAATGAAGAGATAGCACATCTACTGAAAACAGTACTTACTGGGTGAGTCTTTAAAGCATTTAGGAGATGATTTTTTTATTTTCATTTTTATGATTTTTTTATATCATTAATAACAGTAAGAAGCAACTGCTATACATTTGCCAGATAAACAAATATAAAACCTGGATTTACACCGAGACTACATGATACACAGCAAATAAAAGCACTAAAGGTTATATAAATATAGGTTTTCTTTTCAAACTCGTACTGGGCATGAAATAAAACTTTAAAAGAGCTTATTTATGGGCATTCTGATAGAGTTTAAAGACATGACACATCTGAAGTTCAGCTGAAAGTCAAGTGGCCATGTCATCTGTAGATAACTCTGATAGCAAAACCTAGGCTGGATAAATTTTAATTAAGAATAAGCCGAAGCCTGAAAAAAAGACTTCTTCAAATTCTTATGATGGGAGAACAAAACATGAAGACTTTTCCAGATCACAGAGGAAACCACAGACTCCACACATATTGCTCAGAATATAAATCGAGCAATGTGAATACTGCAGCACAAAACAACATGAACATCACATTAAATATAAACACAGAATTAAAATTCTCTGGTTGTACTTGAGCTACACCTGGTGAGACAATAGCGTTCACATTTTTTAATTTATATAAACATAATTTATACAGTTTTTTAAAGTTATGTCAGGTTTTGGTTCATAGTCACTATAGCCTCAAACTGGTCAAGTCTCAACTAGACCCTGTATGTCACAGTTATGGACTGTGTAACTGTTCTGTACACTGTACAGGGATGTACTGTATATGGTTCCATACTGTCCTCTGAATAAAGAGGGACCCCCTGTTCCTGGTTTTAAATAAACTTCCCCACAGTTTCGCGCTGTGTCCCCTGGTTCTGTTGCGTTGTTTCTCCTGAAGAAGTCTGCTGGGTTGTCCTTCTCAAAGATTTTGAGAGCACTGAAATTAGATTTTGTATCTGGGCCCCACTTATTCTTTTGTGTTCGAGACTAGAAAGTTTCTGTAAGTGTAGGACATTCCCTTAAGCCCCAGACGTTATTTGGTTACTCTTCTGTGGACGTATTCCACAGCACCAATATATTTTCTACCACTGTCCTGGCCCCTGAGGACCACAATTGACTAACGTTTTGCTAAATGTAATCAGAGACTATAAAGAAATCTATCTATATTGCCACACTAGGTAAAGTATTGCACCAACAGGTGTCAGATCCTAAACTCAGATGAATTTAAATATTTGTCAGTTGCAGAAGAAATAGCAGTTCTTTGGAATCCTACTTTTAGGTTCACTGATAATGGAAGCACCTCAGAACCTCTAAGAGATACAATGACAGCAATTCTTTATTTCCATTATCCTTTCCAAACAGAATAAAATCCAAACAAGTAAAACAGTCTTCCACTCATAACAGACACCTTCCATGATTTCAATTAAGTTTAATTTTCCACTGCATGGAAATTACAATAATTAAAATGATTAATGCATTGATGTTTTTAAAAAAACTGCAGAAACAGCACATTGCCTTTTAGGTATCTCGTTGCATGTGCGTCCTGAATTTTAGCGAAGTCTCCTGATCTCCATAGGCTTTTCAAACTATCATACTGCAGCAACATCACTATGAACTCTCCAGGTCACCCTCTAGTCTAGAACAACCTTAAATTTGCAAAACATGATGTATGATTCTCTAATTGACGACGGATTATTTCGCAAACGCAGACTCCGCTGTACCACTGGGTACCCGCTTATCTGCTTAAACAAACAGCACCTGCTACGGATGGTGACAGAAAGTGACTCCATTTTGTGAAATCCATTCATTGAGATAAAGCAGTGCTTGAACTCTTCGTCTGAGGCCATGTTCAATCAAGTTTGCTTTTTTTCCTTCTCCCCTTCAAAAACTGATACTACTGAAAATCAGGTATTTGCAGAAATGCGGAAATACTAAAAGACGCATAATGCATTTTTGCTAGCAGTATCGACCGGCAACAAAAAAGTGCTGTCTTTTCATTCTGACCAGTCACCAGCCATTTTATGACGTCAGTCTCTCGAAATTTTTTATCACCGATATTTAAAAAAAATAAGAGTGGTTATTCGGAAAAGATTGCGATTTGTCATATTATGCTTGATGTACTTTGACGTGCATTCTTGCGCCTTGTATGTGAAATGGAATAATGTTGCATTTAAAAATTTAAATCTTACGTCCTCGTACTATTTAGTTTTTAAAAAAGCATCTCAGTCTGCCCTCGTATATTCCTCGGTCACTTCGGGAACTGGGCTTGCTGTTTCGCAGTGACTGACCTGGATGCGCTGAAGGCATTACTGTAGCTCGGCCTTCTCCACTGCGCCGCATTGACTACGCACATTATGCTTCTTGCCAAATTGATGTAATGCGCTCCAACACATCGCGTTTCTCTAAACCCTTCCTTTATTCTTTACTAGAGATTACAATGCAAATTCATCTGTCCCGCACTTAATTTGAACTCTCCGTTTGATATAAAGGAAGAAGGGGTTCTTTTCATCATTCCTTCTTCTCTAATGCAATTGAACATAGTCAGCCATCTCGTGTCATCGGTTTAGTGCAAGGAGTTAAAAGTTAGGTATTGTGCAGTCTCTCAGGAGTGAAGTCTCAAATGTATCGCCATTACAGGCAATTTCGGAATCTGTTATCACCATTACTACACCATTGAACAATTTAATTCCGTTTCAGGTCAATCCATTATGAACACAGAATATGTAAGCGTTTGATCTAGTCATCATAAGCATCGCCTATGTGACAATGTCCAAACGAGCAGTATTTTCTGGTTTTATTTCCATCAAAAACACAGTATTCCTTCAGCTGTTACCAAACCTCTCTTGTAGCATCTGATCACATCCATTACACCCCATGCCTTTAATCACTCCAGTGAGTCGACATTTTTAAAACACACCCCATAAATAAAATAAATGTGTTTTATATAAGGACAATAAATAGTGCTTCTTGCTAGAACGCAGATAATGCGCCTATACTATCGCAGAACCGATAATGAATGGAGATAACAGCACATACCTGTAATAACCCGAACGTATTTGCTGCGTATCTTCAGAGCTCATATAAAAAAGTATTTTATTCGATTTACTTCTGCACCTGAGCCCTATCTGCTTTATAATCCGTGGTTTTAACAGTTTCCAGTTTACAGTAAGTGCCGGACAACGCTCGATCTTACAGTTCCCTGCCTGCCTACCCTCTCAATTTCTCTCGGTTCTTTGATTCTCTTTCCCTACTTCATTTAAATGTCTGACATGCTCGGTGGCCACGCCACATGGGCTGACAGCTTGGCTTTGCAATACAGTCCAATGAGAAAGAAGGCAGGGCTCCCAGACACAGAAAGTAATGGGGTGATTTCCAAACACTCAGATTGCGAATTCACAAGAAAAAAAAAACGTCCTCTCGCACAACTCAGACACGGGGTTACAAAAGTTCAACTACAGCAAAAGAGCAGCCCTCGCCCCTTGTGTGGGTACCGTGGCACCCAACGCCAAGCTCGTTGCAAGACTGCGCCAGGTTAGGTCATCATTGCTGGAGACTGTAATACAGTACTGTACAGTGTCCTCAGCATCCATTTCCAAATGGACCTGGCAACAGAAGCCAGAAATTATCTGGATTACAATAACGTACTTCGTTTTATTAATTTTTTAAACATTATTGGTTTTGACAAAAGGGCGATGCAGTCGATTGTTTAAAACACGCTTTCCACTCAATGCCGGCGACAGTAGATTAATTTTATGGTTCACTTCCAAATCATCCGTAATATATTCGATCTTTTTCTACTTCTTCATCTCGGCGTTACTTTTAGCAAACAGCGTGCATTGCGCAGGAATATGTCAGACACATGTACGGATGTATTAAGTAAAATAGGCTTTTACTTGGATCAATATGAACAGGGAAAGTGACACAAATAGATACTAAGATTTGACGTCCTACTTATTTTTAATTATTAAAAATATATAATTGTATTATATTTTTAATTATATTAAAAATAAGTGTTGTCAGTGTAATCAGTGACGGGACACGAGTAAGGGAATCATACGATTTTCACAAACGTTTAAAATCAGTCATGTAAAATACTATAATTTCGTACTGTTCTCTTTTCACTGGATCAATTCAAATGAATCAGTATTTTGTAGTAATAAAATAGCCTTATAGGTTTGTGGATATATACTATAGAGAGGATCGAAATAAGTTAATGACGTGGAGCCCCTGACGATGAGCACTGTAATTGGGAGACGGAACTGAAGGTGTAAATGGTACACGTCATTGCAGCTGCTTATACGTAGTTTACTTTGGTTGTATTGATCACATTTCTGAAGATTCTGATCACTGTAAATTAAATATGGGTTAATCAAAAGCCTGATTGCCCCTCTAAGGTGTATTAATAATAGTCAATGTTGTTATAATAGTAGAAAAGACTAGTGGAGGCTTTGAGTAAATAGCTGATGCTCAAAACATATGTACATTCTAATTGAGAATTGTGTCTTAAGACTGTTGCACAACAGCGTTTAGACAGTATACAATAAGAATTGTACTTTCATATGAGTTTGTTGTCTTGGGGAAGACTACTTTAGGTGCCTCATGCATTACTGCTGTCTTCCTTAATTTAACGGTAGTGGATCAAAGTCCCAAACACTTGAGATCACATCACTGGCAGTCAAAGAGCACAGAAAGGGTCAATTGTGTTAAAGGCTTTTGATTTCAGGTATTGAAAAGATCTGGTCAGAAGCTTTGCTCCTGCACGTGGCAGTAGTGCAGAAACTCTACAGCATGTAGATCAGTCCTGCTTAATTCAGCCAATCACTGCTCTGTGGTTGCCCCTGTATAATGAGAAAATTGTGTTCCCCCTCCTCCTCTCATTCACTCAAATGAGGTTTTTTCTCATTTGCTTCTGCCTAGTAAACTTCAAGTCCTATTCTAAAATAACTATTCTTATTTCAGTACATCTTAAAAACATCAGTAGGGGACTTGAAAAACATTTCAATATGGACATTTTCATTTTTTCTATTAAAGGACATGTTCACTTGTCTCAGGATTCTTTAAAGTCTCAGGGAGACAATTAAAAACCTTTGTGATGCATAGGCTTCTTTAACCAGATACGTCTGTGTGTAAGAACCTTTTGGCAATATGAAACGGGCATCTGTGAAGTGCTCACAGAGGTTATAATGTTGTAGTAGACGATACCAGCAGAGAGCAGAGGAGGTTAAATGTGGTTAAAGTTCTCTTTGCAAACACTGCTGGTATTGTTGTGACCTTCATCATGATCATTATTGGTTCTAATGGGAAGTGAATGAACTTCAGTGACCGAGAGTGTGTATACTTCTACTGTTGTAACTAGAGATGATCAATAGAACTGCTTTGTGTACCTCCAAAATTCTTAGCATATTCCTGGCCTTACGGTGTGGTTATATATTTTTTGCTCTAGGTTGGGTTTTCTTAGTACTGCTTCCCTTCTATATTTTTTCACAGGTTGAAAGTGAGTTTTCCTATTGAAATGCTACACACTTATATTGAAGTCCAAATGTTACCTTGAAGTACAGACTTTAAGTTCTAAATCTCACACAGTTTCACTTCCGGGAGCATTTGTTCGAGTGGAAGAATAAACGCAATCCGACAGGCTTAAAGTGAACTCGGATGCACATAGAAGAGTACTGCGAAAAGCTGAACAATGAAAAAAGCCCCAAAGCTCTGAGTGCAATTACAGATTAAAGGGAGTCATGACTTTTAAGAAGTATTGCCTTATTCTGTGGGAACACTAACTCATAGGAGTTAAATTAAAAAAGTAATATTTCTTGCTGAAGGAAAAAAAATTGAAATGCAAGCGGTCCCACGAAACAAAGCTATAAATTAGTCTTTGTAAGTGACTGTACATGGCACTACCTCCAACAGTAATATTCTAATGAGACTAAAAGTGGACAAATCATAAGCAAGGGGTGTGTGGCCTAGTCCAATCGCAGTGAATGTGAGGGTGTTGCTAGGCGATAGGGTGATGTGATGACAGTATAGAATAGGAGGAGTTAGTGTCTGTGGAAATTGTGTTGGTGATGTAACCAGGAAAGGCTGTGAATTGAGATTCATTTCAGGTTACTTACCCCGCACTGACTGCAGGCAGAGGGGTTACTATGGTTCAAGTAAAATACAATTCTTGAAAAGAAAGCCTTTATTATTAAAGTATTTTAGTACATTACCCATTTTTGGAAAATCGGATAAAAAACTGGGAAAGCTGCCCCTATTTGAATTTATTTTAAAAGGAAAAATTAATCTATCAAACAAAAGATTTTGTTCATTTGTAATCCAAATTCTAAAGCATTTTGACTAGGGAAGACTGATCATTGGTGTAGTCCATAGAAAACCCAACTGGTGAAGCATTCTGACCAAATGAAAAATGGCTGAAAAACAATGGAATAAACTATTTTCAACATGTACATCAGGTATGAACAAACCCAGGCCAGGAGGCCCACAAGATTTTCACTCCTCATCTCATGGTCTTTGAAACCTGAACTACTAATTCAGATAAAGCCCTTGATCACTAACTTTCTGGATTTTAATTAATAGCTAAAGTAAAAGTACCTGCCCCCAAGAACTGGAGTTGTTCATTCCTAATTTAGTACATTTCTACTATCACTTTAAAAGTCCATTTAGATCTACTGGCGTGAACTGTGCAACAATTTTTAAATACAGTGTATAAAGCATTTAGGTTATGAAGAAATATGTGAATTGCCAAAATAGAAAAAGCAAAACAGTAGGGTTAGACAGGTTATGATTTAAATTTGTAGAAATTCTAATTCACAATGATGAATCTGAAATGCATATAAAATACAATCTTTGAGAATTTCTTAATCAGCGCTGATATTTATTTTACAAGTTATTTTGAAGTAAAAAAGGATATATTAAATATAATACACAATTAAAGCATATGTGTTTTGTTGTAAGAAAGTACTGGCACTAAAATAAGCACAGAAAAAGTCAGGAATTTGAAATCTAACATGGTATTGAGAGAAGTCAGGCCACAGCTCAAAGACCAGTGTGCTGTCAGTTCAAGATTAGCTAACATCATTTGCTTTGGTATAAAGCCCAGTCTCTGCACACAGAAGCTCTAGAGTTTCTGCATACTATTTCAGTCCCTTACAACTCTCAGAAGTACAAACAGAAATCAATCTATTATCCAAAAGACTGTACATAAAAATGAAATTTCTCAACTTCAAATGCTTTATGTAAATTTCACGGATTCCCTATTTTTTCTTAATCGTTCAAAACATTTCTGTAATAACTGTTCACCATGATCCTTTCCGAATTTATGGACAGTACAGACTTCTAGATTGCCATTTGATGAGTTGTGAACACAAGACTGTGAAAAACAAATTGTACCACACAGTCTGTACATGTAATTTACAATACAAATATAGTTGTGCTGATGGTGTTGAAATAAATTATATCAATTTCCTTTCAGTCTTTTATGTTGTAATTTCTGATCTTTGGAGTTTTGCTGTGTTGTTTGTGTTTCTGGCTGGGCTCAGATGATTTCCCAGGAGTCTTCCTCGGCTGAAGGTCTGCTCTCTTCCCCTGGACTCTCACAGAATCTTCTAGAACAGGGATGCTGGGTCCTCGGACTGCCTCTTCGGCCCCAGCCACACTCACACCAGGCACTGCAAGGACAAAATCACAAAGGCTAAAGACTAACAGGCTTTTATTAACACTCTGGTCATGAATGCCCTGCTTGTTTTAAATCAAATTTTCTCATTGTCTTATTATGACAGCCCAACAAAAAAGGACCCACTGTGAACTGATCATTTTTTCGAGTCGAATGATCACGTTGCTTGTTATGTCAGCAAAATATCAATACATAGAAAAGTGCTACATGGCGACCAAAGGAAGCAGCATAGTCATCAGCCCTTTTAACTCCTGAGTCCATTTAAGGTGATGTGGATGTTAATAACATAATCTTCATAGAAACTACAGTATATGGAAATACAGTTAAATCTGAAACCAGAAGGCAGTTCTTTCACACAGAGCGCTGTGGGAGAATAGAAAAGGCTACTCAGCCATGCTATTGAAGCTGAAGCCAAAGCATCTTTTAAGAAATGACAGGAGGAGAGCCTTGGATTATGCATGTACTATTAAAAGGGGCTAGAAAAGACGAAGAGCCTCCTCTCACGTCCAGCCTTTCTTATGTTCTGTGCTCCACTATTGATATGGGCAGGCAGAGATGAAGAGACCTTGGGTAGCAGTGTCCTGCTGTTCAATGTATGACTTTTGTGCCTGAACCAGGCTACTAGAACAGAGAGGTGAGATGTGTAAATACAACGCAAACATTGTTGAAACCATTTGCGATAACCTCTAACCAGTTATTGACTACAGCAGACTGCTTTTATCAGCTGCAACCTGAACTTATCTTCAGATCTCTGTACTGTTAATAATAAATATAAAGACACCCCAGTGACATACAGTAGAATTTATATCACAAAAGAAAATGAAGCACTGACGCTGTAAAGCAACATAATAAAATTATAATTCAATAAAGTCTAAAAGCTAAGTCTATCCTATTTGTTTCAGCTAAAAATCCTTTAAACTGATCACATATCATATATCACATATTCTTTTGGAAGCATTAGATCAATTTGAAACTAAAATTAGACTTCCTATATAATACAAAACGCATACTCATTCTTCTGGATTTACTGCAATTCAAATAAAGCATTCTCACAAATAAATGTTTAAAATAATATCACATTCTCAAAGGAATTTAACAATGAGTTGTATTATTCATATAACTTTATTACAAAAACTGCTATAGTATATTGTATATTTGTATTGTACTATAAATAGATGCTATAATTTTAGAATTTACAATACCTTTTCCTTTTATATGCTCCCAACTTGGAATTTACATTTCAACCTGGCCTGAAGCTGCATCACACTGCCATGGGTCATGAGAGGTGCACAGTACCTTCAGCACCTAATAGGTAATCTAGCACTGGCACTGTCTCTCTCACTGGCTCTCACATAAAGACTCTATCACATCTTACCCTGGGAGTCCTTGGACAATTGAACAGGTCCTCTTGAGAAACCCTGGCCGCATCAGGCTATCGGTGACGTCTGGACTGTACAGACCTCGAAGGGTCTCAACTGGCTGAGCTACTCAGGATTCCCTCTAACTCGCATCAAAAATAAATTACTTATTGTTGAATCTTCACAGAATTAAGTCATTAAGATCCTATGTACAAAAAACTTTTCATTTATACTTTTTTGATCATTTGAAAATTTTCCAATTATTTTATTATGCAAAGACTTGGCAACTGGGCAAATACTTTTAATACATGTTTTCAACTCTCTACCAGAGGTACTTTTAAGCATGCCCAGTACTGGTCAAAATTCATACCTTCCTGTGCTGTGCCCTTTTATCTGCTAGGTGTGATGAAGTGTTTCTGATGCTAATCTGGAACATGCTGCCAACATTCCGGTCAGCAATTAAACAATAAGGCAGCTCTGTTTACCAGCCTGACGTCTGTCAATAATGTGGCAATGCCCACTAATACTGTTACAGCACGGACTCAGACAAGACTGCACACTTTATGATCACGCACAGTTACCAAATAACAGCCTGTCATTGCAAAATTCTCTTCGCTTCAAACTGATAAACATAACAATTGTTACTGCAATATATTTTAACTGTCAAATATACATAGACCCTTCACAATGCATGAGAAATTAATTTCCAGTATAAAGTATCAGTTGTATTTTCCAGACATATCACAAGCACAATAAGACATAACATAAGCATTCAGAAGAATGATTCATTCATAACGCTGCGCTTATTCTCTTAAGCACAGTTTTGTTTTTCTCTTCCCTCAGGAAACAATCTGTATATAACAAAAGCAGAATTGTTTGACACAGATGAGGCCAATAAATAGTTTAAACCTTCATATCAATTAGCATGTAAAACAGAATAAGCCCCTTGTACACAGAATGTAGTTGTATAAAAATGTCTGGAAAGGGTAACCGACTTTCAATTGTTTTCCATTAGTTCTCATGAACTATCTCAGTGTCATACCTTTGCTACTGTATGCAGCAAAATACTGGTTTCTGCTAAAGGAAGGGAAATAACACAGAGATGGGAAATATTTCACATATGGATGCAATTTGCCACATAAGACAACTAACAACTATGTGTCATACACAAATCTTCATAATCTATCAAGATTTATTCTTATGACAGTAAACAAATTCACTTGTCCCATTAGTTTCCTAATGGAATAAAACACCACTGTTTATTTCATTTGAAGACTTAATTTTTCAAGTCAGAAATGGTTTGTTTGTTAGCAGGTTGAAATCACAATTTAACAGGGGGGTTAAAATGAAGAAATACACACAGAAAACCATTTCTGCAAACCTTTATGTACATTTCCAAGCATCACAATGAGAATGTAAGAACAATGAGTACGCAGAAACATACTGTATGTTACTTTACCTTCTTGCTCAGCACAGAACCATTAAACGCTAAATGTTTTCTATGTTTTCAGTCAAAGAGCCAAACCATTAATCCATTCTAATAATTATGCTCTAGCAATGTATCACAGCAACAAACGACAAGTAGTGATTAAACTCCCTACAGTTTCTCACTAGCATTCTGTGCAGTAGGTGAGCTGTAAGTCACTAGAGAGAAAACAGCAGTATGTTTTTAAATAATATACAAAGTATGCATAATTAGAAGATACAGGAATCTTTAACTTACGGTGTGAGCTGTCCTTGATTTATGCAGTATAATATGCAAATACCTTACCCTTTCAACAGTACAGCAGAATGACTTAAGTTATTACAACTAATAGGTGAGCTGCCAGAACAGTGAAATACTGTCAAGAGTGAAGAAACACAGCTTTGTAGTATTTCAATATTATCTGCTGGGAATTCCACGCATCTAGAGAATATTTTGTTGATGAAAATATGTTTTCATTCTGATTCTATAAAACAATCAATGATTAACCAGTTTCTCGTTCACATTACAAAAGCCTGATAGCCCTTACCCTGGCTTATGTTAGCTAGTTGAGAAATGTCTCTCAGTGTTCACCAGTCACCTAAAGAGAAAGCTGCTCTGTCTGCCGACTGTGGGCTAAGGCCAGTTCCTCAAATTAGGAAACCTTCGTCCTTGAGCAAATGCCAGGAGCCACAGTGCAAGGGCTTTTTTTCCTTGGCCGTCAGTGCAATTCACAAATGTAGTTTTTTCTGCCAAATGTCTTGCTAAATTATGTCAGAAATTATGAAATCTGATTTATTCCTCTGGAAATTTTAAACAATAACTTTCAGTGTGATTTATGATGCCTGCAATTAAATTATTCAAATGTTGTTTTACAATAGGTACTACAACACATAATCGATATTTCTTGAAAGCAAATATTTTTTCCCCAAGACTGGATTAGGGACTGGAAGCAAAATGATGAAATGTGAATTAGGAATTACATTACCTTTTCTGAACAAGTTAATAGTTTGTAGTTACAGAAACAAATTATGCAAATACATTGTTGATCTTTTTAATGAATATGTGATTTAAAGGAATTCAGTTACAGAAAATGTTTCTTGAAATACACTTTTTTGTAAAAAGGAGGATTTTTTCCCCAACAACAATTACAATAAATCAAAACTTTTAATAATTCAAGTATTTTGGGACATGATTACCTCTTCAAAAATATTCTCCATGTTCTCAGTGCTTGTGGTATGTTACAATAGTTTATTGTGCTATAATATAAGGCAATGGAAGAAAAAAATATTCATCCTATAAAGATTGAAATATACTTGCTTCTCTTGATTTTTTGTATCTATATTCCAATTTGAAGCAATACGGTAATCTTTTAACTCTTAAGATAAATTACTGTACTAAAACATAAATGTTCAAATGACATTCAAACTACCAATATACAGTAGATATATAATTCAATCTAATATAATGAAATCAAAGATCTATGTGAAATGGAAGACATGAGATTATGAGAGATCTTAATGTTCTTCTCTTTGATTGGGAAATACCAGCAGGGATGTCAGCAACTAAAACTGAAGTGATAAACATGGTTAACAACGGCTTCCTTATTCAGTTTGCCAAAACGCTTAACAGAGGGAATGCCTGATTTAATCTGGTGTTTTCAAAAACTCAAGACAGAGGAAAACGGAGGTGAAAGAATCATTAGGGAATTCTGATCATGATATAGTACACTCTGATTTATATTTTGAAACTGTGTATGTCCAAAACAAAGGTTTACAATTTCATCTAAGAGATGTAGAAAGGCATAGCATATAGATGGAATCAGCAAACAGATTAATTCCAACAAAAGCATATTAAAGGTTAGAAAGCTGTGTCCCAAATGAATGAACAAATAAATTAATACTGTAAGTCTTAAATTTAAATTAATGTTATTTTTAAAATAATGCAAGAAAACATATACATTATATTTTATTTCACTTACATATATAAAAAATATTGCTACTTTGGAATCAGTCCACATAAGAAAGAAGAGATACAGTACTATTCTAGGCTCAAAGGAATGTCTTACACTGACTAAAAGAACTTTACCTTTTTGGCTTGGAACAGAGAAGTCTACTAGCAGATCTGATTCCAGTATTTAAAATCCTCAAAGGCATTAACAAAATCGATCCAATGGAATTCCTCAGGATGAACAGAGACATGAACCAGTGGACACTACTGTATGTACAAGTTCAATTAAAACAGGATTACAACTTAACACAAAGGGTTGTGTGAGTCCAGAACATTTTCTACACCCATGCTGTCAGAGACAAGACCTTGGCTTATTTCAAGAAACACATCGATAAGACACTCAGAATAATTAGCTTAAAAAAAAGCTAGATAGGCTAAATGGCCTCCTTTCCTTTGCAAACTTTTTAATGTTCATATGATCCCTTTCTGGTAATGTGAACACCCATAAAGGAGTCAATATTTAACGAAAGCATCATGTGAGAGAAAGAAATATTGTTGTTTAGGACAGGACAGTGGGCTTAAAAAATTATCCCATCTCGGAATGGGAAAACAGTTGGACAGAGCATTCAAAAGGGACTTGAAACAAGTTACATATGGAAAAAGTCTATGAAGGGATTCTGTTTTTGCTCTTGACTAAATTTGATTGCTTATTTATTTTTCCCAATAACTGCTGAATTTTGACATTTTAACCTGTCAATTAAAAATGTTTGATATGTTTATGAAAGGGAGTGAGAGAACAGAAAAGATATTAGGACAGTTACGCCCCCTCACCTACCTCTCTCAAAACCCTCCTGAGGTGTGGAGCCAGAGGAACTCAAGCCTCTGTCCAGCATCTGCCAGACATCTTGCAGAGTACTGTCAGTTCCCAGAGATGATATGAAGAGCTGTGACTGGTCAGAGTGTGGCCTCCCTTCAGGACATGTTTGGCTTGGCTCCACCTGGTGCGGTTTATGTGAATGGCTGGAAGCTGGAGGTGTGTTCTCCTTCCTGCTTCTGACATTGTTCTTAAAATGCGGAGGATTAGCTTTTTTCTAGAAAGGGAAAATTGCACAAATCAAGGAAAACTTATGAGTTCAGAAAAGTGTAAAATAATCACTGGAGGTTTCTCAAAGAGATACCTTCATTACTTTATATACTATGCTATCTTAATCTTGTAGCTGTGAATTTATAATTAAAAACAACTACTGGAAATGTAATCTTACCTCCTTACTGAGGTCAGACTTTGAATGCTGATCCCATGGATTATTAATCCTGATTTTGTCCCCACTTTCACTGTCTGACAAGTTGTAACGTACAACTATAGGGGTCTTTTTATACTGCTCTCGCTGAGCATACTGCAGTTCCTGAGAAAGATGAAGGGGATAAATGAGCAAACAAAGCAAATAATGTGGAAGGCAACAGTACAAAACATTTCCAAAATCTCTTCCATCAGCACCAGTACTGTTCATTTTAAGATATACACCAGAGAAAAATGTTAAAACATAAACCACTATCTTCGTTTTTTTATTCCAAATAAGATTATAATGCATGTTTTTTTCATGCAAACGTGAGTTAAAAAATCTGTTTTGGTTGAATGGTAGTTAACACATTTAATGAACATGAACACAGTGGTTCCTCACGACCCAAACTAGGAATTGTCATTCTCCCAAAGCTAGGACTTTTGTAGTTCAAAGCAAGCTAACATTTTATGTAAAAAATTTAGAAAATCAAGCGACAGTCAACTTTGTTATTACCAGTGAAAGGAAATATTTTTAAGCTAATGCTGGTCATACAATCAAAGCCAATTCTTTCATTCTGCTGCCCCCTACTGGCAGAAAATTCTACTTAATGTTAATAACAGGAACCTAAATAGACACAACGGATTAAGACAACAGCACAACATATCTATATATACTGTAAAGACTTTGCTCTCTATTATCCTGAAAGGGAGTTTTCAGTAGAAAAGACAGTTTTTTAAGAAAAAGTGGCGCACTGTTTGAAGCTTAGGCAAGTTTCAAAACTAAAAGGACTTGAAAATGAAATCCTCAAAAGCTTGTTACTGGCAGACGAGATTTAAAAGTCCACACAATATGTAATTAAAATAAGTCTCCATGCACATCAACCTCCAATAAAAGGGTCTCCTGAGATCATGCTGAAATTTGTCATATAGAATTCTCTACACAGTAATGAAATCCAACATACATTAAGATCAACAGGTTATAAAAACAAGGTTGTAATCAAAGACTAACATACAAAACTCAGACTGGATTTATTAAAGGTAATGTTTTCTATGACAGCCTTCCTCGGCAGAATGCTCAATGTCAGTGGCAAATGAAAGACCTGCAGACTGGTTCACCTGTGTGGTAAGCTGGTACTGGAGCTGCTCAAGAGCAAACAGGCGGTTCTGTGGGTCTTGGGTTGTACTTTTCATGGAGTGAGATTCTGAGACTGAAGGGACGAGAACTTCAGTGGGTTTATTTGTAGAGCTCGGGAACTGATGGCCTGCTCAGAAAAACATTAATCCTTTCATTAAAGATGTTGAAGACATTTGGTGCAATGTTGAAATAATGGAGTGTGGAGCTACATCAGCTGAAAGCTGTCCATGCTGGCACACATGTCAGTTGTGGAGCCTTTCCTTTCTAGATTTTATACTGGCATTATTTTCTTTATCAATTTTAGCTCCAAGAAAAAAATCATTGTGATGATGACTCTGCACAATAAAACTGTTTAATGACTAATGCAAAGAAAAATAATTTGCAAATAAATCAATACTTCTGAACTTAATAATTCAGAAACTCAGCTAAATTTTTGTTTACTAAAACTTCTAAAAATGGGTGTTTAAGATGAACACCAAAATATAATGAAGAAGTATCTACAGTGCTCTGGTATGAGCCATCTATTATTAAATGGAAATGTAAAATTGATGCCATGACAATAGGACGCTATCCAGTGTAGTTAAAATGTCATTACCAGTGGAAACAGATGCAGAAATTATACCACGCAACCTTTTCGTTATGACAAAGTCTTTCTGTATTTGTGTCTCAATTAATTTTACCCTCTAATAAAAATATACAAAAATATAAGATCCAAAACAATAGAATTTATAGGATCAAAAATAATTTCAGCAATACTGAGACTTTGTACACACAAGTGTGAGATGTTGTTATTGCACACCAGAAGGAAGGCGATTTTCCAGATTCTGGGGGTAAATCAACAGTGTGCAGAGCAGGTTTTAAATGACTTCCGGAAGAAGGTGGGCTTTGCATTTCTTCAAAAATCATTCCCCAAATTAAAAGCACAGCTGACGCTTCACAAATTCATCTGTAAATCCTGGATCAAGGCACTGACGTGGAAGACCAACAAGCTGGACTCATGTGCTGTTACTCTTGCTTCCTGTTAATTATTTCACTCAGATTCATGATGGGTCACATATTAACATGCTATGAAAGTACGGAAACCCAGCACTGAAAAGGATTAAAAACCTGAGATTAAAGAAGGTTTTGCAATAATAAACATTTGTGAATTGAATTTCTATGTTGAATGGACTCAGCACCTACAGCAGAAGCCAGCTGTGTTACAGAAGCTCTAAGAGGTGAAGGTAAAAGGGGGCTTACCACTCAACCCCGCATCAGCCAGCTGGGCCCTCAATCTGTTCCCCATCTCGATCAGCTGCTCCTTGTCGCGGGTCAGCTGAGAGATGTAGCGGACAGCTTGTTTCAGTTTGGACCGCAGCGCGGGCACGCTGACTCTCTCTTTCCCAAACAACCCTGCTTCAGGGCGCTCTGCCACAAGAAGCTGCCTCAATCGAAGGTTCTCATCCTGTAGCTGTTTCACCATCTCGCTCTGCAGAGGCAGGAATAAAAACAAAACAAACAATACACACAAAGTGAGAATACTGACAACCAACAGCTGTCATACAGTATGTATACCACTTTACACCACTGAATATAACGACATACTGGGAGTAGACTTGAATGATCAAGGTTTATCCAAATTATGGCTTAAATGGCAGTGACTATCTAATGTCAAAGACCTGGATTGTTAATGCTATTACTTATTTTTGCTCTTTTTGAAAAAAATAAAAAAGAGATCTCTGTAACTTTTTTGACTGACAGATTGTTCTCTACTATATTTCCATTATTTTCTTATTGTATTAAGACAGCGGTTTTTGATACCTGTTCAACAATGATAGGCTCTCTCCGGCTTGCAATGTCCAGTTTCAAAGCAGAGACCTATGGCAAAGGATGAACTTTAAAATACAAAAAGCTCATTTTTTGTAAAAAAAATTGATGAATAAATAAAAGCCTATTAGAATTTTCTAGATTAGCCCGATGACACAAAATTAAAATTACATTTAAATACTAAAGTCTTTACCTTCCTTATCCACATTTCTCAAAGCAAACAACAATAATCTTGATCATTCAAATTAATTTATTAATTATTAAATAAACTATTTCTGGTTTTATGCAATTATCAGTAAAACAATTAGAAAAGCTTTATGTAAATTAACAGAAGAAAGCACAAAGTGAATCCCGATATGTTTGCAATTGGATCAGATTATCCACCTGATAAGAGACCTGATAAAATCCAACATTTATGAACCCCTTGGAGTTACATAACACAGTTGTTGCACGAAGTACTTTATCTAACACTGAAAAAAACACCTTTCTAGATTTCTGCATCCTGTATGGTGTTTCAGATAAAACATGTGCTTGAATACATAAAGAGAACTGTAAAGAAATGTACATGGGAAAATATTAATAAAACAAGAAATTCGACATAAAAATGCACAGCTTTCTGTAACAAAATATTTTGAGCTTCACTCACAGAGACTTAGTAGATGTTTAACAGAGACGTGAACAGCATCTCATGTAACAATCACAAATTTATCAATATCCTACATTTAACAGCTACATTTTCCTAATTGGTTTTAATGCATTCTTTATTTTTTACTTCCATACTTTTAATGTCATCAGAACCTCATGTGAATTAGGCTCATTATAGCCTAGATAAAATGTCATAATCTTCATTATGGATGAATAATGTGCAATAATTTATTCTTAAAGATAAGAAATGAATTAGTTTGTTACATTAATGTGTACTATATGCTTAATGAATCAAGACAATTTTAAAGGGATATTAACTTACATAGTTGAGCATTTTACTTATTAATATGTACTGTAAGTAAAAAAAAAATGTATTATGAATTCTACAGTACATCTACACTGATATGAGTTCAGAAGAGGGTAAAATATTCCACTATTTTGCAACAGGAATCTACAGAAACAAAATAATGGATACATTTCTCCTCTCTCGAAAATACTTTCGATCTTCTAATATTTGAGGATAGAATATATTGTGCCATCAGATCCTCTAAATGACCCTGGACTTGCTTTCCACTGCTTTCGGTCTTCCTTCACCTGGTTCCCCAGGGACACAGCTTCCAGGTTCTGCAGCAAACTGCCCCTCTGGTACTCCTCCGCCTCTCGCCTCGCCTCCGCCAACTCCATCTCCACTGCGACCACACGCTGCCGTAGCCCCGCCTCCTCCGCCCCGCTCCGCTTCCTCTGATTGGCCAGCTCGAAGCGCAGCTCATCAGTCTCCGCTTGCTTCGTGAGGAGCTTAGACAGAACGACATAGAAATCTAATCCCCGCAATGAGACTTCTAAATGGAAAATCTCGGATTGTTTAAGGATGTTATCTGCAATATTTTTACACTCATTTGAAAAAAAGGCAAAAACAAAGTCTTGAAAATGTTTGCTTTCAGAGTTTTCAGAGTACCAGCCAGGATGTTTTATAAGAAACAACCTGAAATATTGTCCTACTCACAATTACAATATAAGTTACAAACAATTGATAATATTGTTTCACACCTATTATCAATTATCTGTATTTGAAACCTGAATTAAAAATAGATAATAGCTGTCTAGATAAATGAGGGACTCAACAACCTGTAAATTACAAACGCAGAATCTGATTCTGCTTTTTGCTTGTCTTGAAATCCATGCTTCTACCAAGTGCAAGCGCATAGTTCTAAATAAGTGTTTTATGGTGTTTGTCTACATTGGGTATTTTACACTGAATGAGAATATGGAGAACAGGGGAAGGAGCATCAGTAACATATCAAAATTTCATTTAAACCTTCACAATGCAAGGGAAAAATAATTAATGTTACATAAACACCTAAAAGGAAATATCTAAGATCCTTGGAAATTATATACCTATGTATTTCAAGTTCTACAGTTCCAAACAATTATTTCTACTTTACAAAAGAAAAAAAGACTGGTAAATTGGGTCCTCTGAGATACTAGTTTTAAGCTATTGATATCTCTGTCAGAATTGTATCAACAGTGCTCGAGTGGCCTGGCCAGCAAAGGCACTCAGAACACAGGCTGAGCCCTGCAGCTCGGACATTGATGAGTCTGTATGATGTCAATAAGCAGCTATGAGCAGGAAACCCTCAAGAGGCAGCACATTGCCAGTGCACGTCAGGCATATCAGTGAGAAACGTGCCACTCCTCAAATCAATACTAGTTCTCCTTTAAGACATGGTGGTGTTTGCAGCATGTAAAATATGAATGGCACAGTAGTGGTTCCTAAAGGCACTCTGTCCAAGAGCGAGCTGAGCCCTCTGATTCAGCCATTGCCAGTTCGAAACTAGGCCATGTCTCAAGCCAACTCTACCAGGATTCCAGAGGGGTACAGCTGGTTCAGCGCCACAGAAGTAGGTTTGGAATTAGTTGTCCAGGCCTTTCTGAACTCTTAGCAAACTATCAACCCCCGCTGCTTGCTGGACGCCTACCAGCTTGTAAGGGACATGCAATCAGTGCTAACCTTCATGTACATTGCTGTGGGGTTTGTTGCTTGCTACAAGACAAATGTGTCAATGGGTCAGGGAACTGGAGGAGCTTCTTTCTCCTTTCTGTGCTGGTACAGGCTCACTCCTGGTAGGTGTTTATCTTATTTAATTAAGTAAAAAACAACAAATGGGGCTTTAAGAGGTGGAATTTACAGATGAGCATGTCCTCCCAATCCATCACAGGAGTTGTAACTCTAGCATCTTAAAAATCATTTTCATATCATTTACAGGGGAAACTTAATGAGTATAGGAATGTTTCGGGCCCATTAGAGACATGCTTGAATAGCACTGGATGTTCAGAATATTAGTAGGAAGTTTTTTTTTAATTATTATTTTTTTATTGTTATTGTCTAATAAGAACAAAAATGAGAGAGTGAAAAATAAAAAATAAAGAAGTCCTCCAAAGATGGGGGTGGTGGAGGTGGGTTAAAAAAAATCATTTTGCGACTCTAAATATAATAAAATATTTTAGGATAGAAGATTGGGTTTCTAATAAAAGATAATTGTCTTCTACTATACTATATACAGATTGTGTGGATAGCAGCAGAAGAATTGAGAAAAGCTGTGCATAGTTAACACACAAGTACCTGCTGTGTGAGCTGAGAAATGGCAGACTCCAGGTGGGCTACCCTCACCTCGTGCTTCTTCAGAGCTGCAGACCTGGACACTTTCTCTGCTCGGAGCCCCCCTGACACACAGGACAGTAAAACATAATATTAGCTGATTCATCCCTAATGAGATCCATTAGCAGAAGGGCAATGAAACATTCTTTAGAGATGACTAACGTACTGTTAGTATTATACATGCTATTGCCACTGCTTGGCAAATTTAATTCCCCACTTATAAAACAAAACAAAAAAAACATTTGCTTCAGAGCTCTTACTGAGCAGCTATACAGACCCAAACTATATTTCAAAACAGAGGGATAATTTAAAAAATAAAAGTCGCACATTTAATTCTGCCCATTCTGAATGTATCACATTCTAAATCCAGACCTGACAACACAACATTTAAGAATACTGAATTTGAATTATTCACTCTTACAGTAAGAGCTTAAGAATTCATTGTATTTTCTATTGACCTATTAGTAAATCTTAGCAACTCCATTGCCTTAGATATATGGGCACATCTTTATACACATATTACTGAGATATGATTATAGTGTTAATGCATTATCAGATGCTGCTGAAATATTCCTTTTTTTAAAGGTTAAATTAGCTATTAGAAAGGTCTGCAGCTGAGGCTCTTACCTATTATTTCATTAAGAGTGCGGATGTGGTTTTGGAGATAGGCATTATCAGCACTCACTGGAAGTGCCAGGCCAGGGGCTGGGGGCTGACTGGGAGCCCTCTGTGCCTCCTCCAGCTGTTCTTCCAAACTCCTGTATTTTTTCTTCAGCTCCTTTACCTCCTCCTCCAGTGACTTGGTGTACTCTGAGGCACAAACACCAGCTCTGGCTCATTACAGTACAATTATATAGTATGACGGGTGACTTGAGCAGAATAGGGCTGTAATCAGGTCCATGTGCGGTGAAGCTATGTCTTATATCTTGAAGTGTAAGGCAGTGTCTTTAGCCTCCACTGTGCATTTGTCATATGAAGAATAGAGAAGCTCAGAAGTTTTAACGATTCTGTTTAGACTAGCTGAAGGTTGAATCACAAGAAAAAAAGAGTGTCATGTTCTTCACTTATAAACGATTGAAAACCAGCTTTTAATAATTTACTTTGTTAAAGATTTTTCTAAAATGCAATCACTGAATAAGAAAAAGGTTAAAGAAGCATTACACTTGCTGAAACGGGTATGTTTTTCTCTGTACCCGGAATAAACGGACTCCCTGGACTGTCTGGGCTCTTCACAGGCTCAGTGCCACGTGGGGTCTTGGGAGCAGCAGGGGGGACAGGTATCTGCTCACTCAGGGCCTCCATGTCCTTCCTCATCCCAGCAATGATGGCACGCAGGCTGGCGTTCTGCTGCTGCAGCCGGCGGATCTCATCCGAGGGGAAGCTGCTGCCTTCTCCCGCCTGCAGCTGCAGAGAGACAGGCGCCATCAATCATGAGAAGGACAGCAGCTTTCGTACAAGGCCTATGAACTTCATTCCATAGCATTACAGTAGACTGTGCTTTGTATCATATTCTACTGTGCTTTCCAAGGAAGCAACCTTTAATCCCATTGCTGTGGTTTAACATGGCTAAACTGATCATTACAGAAATGCTGCACGAAAAAATATTCCATGGTTTTCAAAGCATAAACAATCGTTTGGATGTTAAACAGACAAAGTTTATGTTTGTATTCTCACAATCCACATTTTTTTCACTAGTCCACATTTCTATATATATATTAGTTGTAGTAATACTGTTGAAGCACAAATGGGTTGCTGAACTTTGGGAACAAACCGCATTTAGAGTATAGATTTATATTTATAAAACCAAAAAAAAATCACAATCAATTTCAAATCTTATACTATAGTCACATCCTGCCTTGGCGTTTGATTTGTAACTACATATCGTTATATTCAAAAATAGTTATATTTAAAAATATTTTTACAAAACAACTACTTGGTATCCTCACTGTGCATCTTTTGATCATTTTAGTAAAACAATTTAGTTTTAATACAAATAATTTCACAATTCTGAAAATTCTAGATTGCCTGTTGGGGGAACATATTTTACTGCAATAATAGGTCATGCAAGATGACTGTAATAATCTTCCCATCATTCTAGCCTTTTGTTTCTCCATCTTTCTATCTGTACATTGATTAAATAGAGATCTACTATGATTATGATTGACACATTTATCTGAGACAACATAAGTGTATAATAAATAGCCTTCTTGCCCCGATCTGCAGAATGAAGATATACAACGCTACTGATTTATTCATTAGAACAACATTATGCACCAAAGAGAATGGGTACATTTATATGTAGATTGGTTAGATTTATGGCCTGCATGAACTGACCTTTTACCTCTCAAATCCATTTTAGAATCTTTTTTTAACCTCCGTTTCAATTTCATTACACATCATAAAGCATTTGATTCTTTTTGATGTGACCTACACATTTGTCCTTCAAGATCTTTGTTTTAAAATGGATGCACTTACAAAAGTCAGTCAACAGATGGCAGCATGAAGCAGCTTATTGTCAGCTAATCAGAAGGCAAGGTTACAAGGTGTTTTTATTTTTAGAGATCCATCCATTCTCTAACTGCTTAATCCAGTTTTAGATTCGTGGGGAGCCGGAATCTATTCCAGCAAGCAACAGGCTCAAGCTGGGACACACCCTGGATTGGCCAGCTCATCAGAGGGCACACACAGACATAGACATGCACACTCACACCAGGAACAGGTTTTCCAGAAGCCAATTGACCTACTAGCTTGTCTTTGGAATGTGGGAGGCAACTGGAGCACCAGGGGCAAACCCGTGCAAACACAGGGAGAACACACAAACTCCACACAGATGGAACCCCAGGTTTGGTGTTGTTTAATTTTTAAAAAGCCAGTACACATAATCTGTTTCATCTATGGTTGGGCTATAGTTTTAAGCAGCTTTATATCAGGAGAATGGTAGGCAGGATGCTATCGAGTCAGTTACAGGTTAATCTAAGTTAAAACATACAGAATCATATTTACAAATCCATTACAAGACAATTGCTATTGTGTTCCACAGACCTGATCAGGTCAATACTTCTTTTGGCTATTTAGCCATTAAATTCCTAAAGCATCGTATGGAACTGATTTTTGTAAGCCCAATCAAATCTAATTAGTTTTTTTTTTTCAGCCAAGCTTCACAGCAGAAAAAAAAAACAATAAAAAGCTATTGAACCAATGACAATAAAAAGATGATGATGCATATTCTGCAGGTAGCACTACGATACAATAATAATGATATGCAAACAATACATGCAACAGAGCATACAACAATCAGACCACAGAAGTATGTTTTAAAGTAATTAATAATTTAATTACTACTAATAATAAATCAGTAATACGTCAATAAGGCCAGTAATAAGGCCAAGAACTCAAATCTTTAGACAGGTTTCAGAAAGGAAAGCATTCATGTCTTCTCTACCCACTAACTTTCACATTGAAACAAAACCCTGGGGTGTTGTGATGTGCTGTAAAGAATACAAACACTTCACTGGTATTGACCTGCCCTGCCCTTCTGGCCCGAAGCCACAGTTTCTATTTCCAGTTGGTTTCTAAGCAGAGAGCCTGAAGCAATGCCAAGCCACCAATGTCACAGTCTTGCTAAAATAAAAACCATACAAGGTCAAAGATTTCACAATCAGTACGGTTTCACCCGGGTTAGCCTGGACGGTTTTTCATATTGTGTTGCACATCATCCAACCTGCTCTTGCACACTTCCTCTATTGCACATCGCAGACTGTCAGGAAAAAAAAAAGTTCAGCTTAAAGCAGCTCAACAACAGTATGAAATCACGTATAGCTGTACTGACTTCACTGTTGTGTTCTGATACTTATTATATATACAGTATATATCATACGGCCCGATAAGTGGTGTGTAAGTGACAATGTAATGATTAATATAAGCAGAACAATTACATTTCAAAATACAATTAAACAACAGCCCTGTGATTGGAAATTTGGCCAGGACACCAGGGTTACACCCCTACTCTTTTCGAGAAGTGCCCTGGGATTTTAAATGACCACAGAGAGTCAGGACCTCGGTTTTACGTCTCATCCGAAGGACGGCGCCTGTTTACAGTATAGTGTCCCCGTCACTATACTGGGGCATTAGGACCCACGTGGACCGTAGGGTGAGCACCCCCTGCTGGCCCCACTAACACCTCTTCCAGCAGCAACCTTAGTTTTTCCCAGGAGGTCTCACATCCAGGTACTGACCAGGCTCACACCTGCTTAACTTCAGTAGGTATAATAAATGTGCTTGCATGTAATGCATTCTTTAAAAAAATAATATGACCTCACATATACAGTAGATTTATGCAATTTATGCATGGTTCACAGACTCAAGAGTCCTTGAAAGGACAAAACAAAAACTGCCAGTTGAACTAAATCAACTGAAGGAAAAAACAAACAGAAACAAGTATACTGTCTCCCTGGAGACCCACGCTGGCAAGACATATCTGTTTGTGAACCTTGCTTTGAGAGTTTCCTCCAATGCCTCTGAAGAGAATGCATTTTTTTTACACACAGAAAATGCTTCCAATTCCTTTCTACTTGTTGTTTTTTAAAGTATATGTCCAACAATGTGCCCAGAATAAAAAAAATAACCAAAATGACAAATCATGAAAATGTCGTCTTAGTACCAGACTTCAGCAAGGATCCCTGTGCCTTTTAATTACTGAACTCAAACCTATGATAAGGAAGCAGCCCAAACCCAACAACTATGCAATTTCAATCCAACTAAAAGGGGCTCGTAGTTTAAACTCCTAGTCTGCTGTAAAAACGACATGTCCCAGAATAGGATCTTTAATTTAACCACTAACAGAGCAGAGAAAAGGAACACTGGATAATAAAGACTGGGAACCTTTTCTGAATATTGAATTTATTCATTATTTTTATTCATTATTTACAATTGCATTAATAGTTTCACTTTAGCTGACTCATCTTGTATGTTTGTCAAGAAACATTAAGATTTTGATATAACTACATAACATGTGGTTTATTTTTCAAAGATAAATTAATACTAGTATTCCCATAAAAGCTCATATTCAATTATTTGCAGGGACTACCATCTATTATTTAAAATTACAAAACTTCCTTGCCCATCAAACAGGGGTTATCAAATAGAAATTAACCATATACTGTATGATGAAAAGGATAACATTATAACATTAAATTCTATATGAAGGAAAAAACACCATCACCTTCCATACCCACAACTGACTCAGACCACTCCTGATGTATATGATTAAACCAAGACAAGGATAGATCTTCTTGTACTTTCCAGTTTATTTCAGATCATCTGACAGTGAACTAACGTCCTCCTTGACTCATTATAACAGTAAATTACAAAACAGGCAAGATGCAATAAATTGGATCAGTGGATTCCTTCAGGCTGTCATCATCTGGAAACCACAGTACCTCCAAAGTAAGACTTCAGATTCTGGAGAAATGCATCATGATTGAAGCGTGTTTATAAATGATGATTTAATCAATAATGATGGTGTATACAATGCCATCGTCATGAAGCTGTCCCCATTGTTCTATGAATTTCTCAACCCACGCTCACATACATACCCTGGGATAGTAAAACAAGCACCACCCAAATATTACCCAGTTTCCCTGCACCAAATCTGCACACATGCTAGGCTTTTGTGCAACCATCAGTATCAGCCCTTGAATTTTACAGGTATTGCATTGTTTCTTTTTTGGTCAATTCCATTTCATGCATGTTTAATGTTGTACACATACTTTTGCCTATGTCAAAGTCAGCCCCACAAGGCTGCAGCAGGTCTTGGATAGTTAGGAAGGGTATCGCCCACCTGTCTCTCTCTGCTGGGAAGCCCATTCTTGCTCAGGGCAGCCAATGCTTGGTCTCTCTCCAAAGTCACACTGCGCAGAAACGCACTCATATCCTGCAGCTCACGTTCCTTCTCACGCAGCTCAGCTGTTACCTAAAATGCAACACCCAACTCGGAGCTTTCAGATATGAAGCAGGTTTTGTAAGGTCTTATTCCTCTAGAGTTTGAAATGCGTGTTCGCCAAATCAACCCCACTTGCAAAATTATTGGTTAATCCAAATGTTCTAGGTGCGTGGTCTTTCTTTGGAATATTATGTAATTCTAGAACATAAAAATATTTTTTAAAATTGAGTGCTGAGATGATTATGGACATAGGTGGCAAGTCCACAGTTTTATGCAGGTAAATATGTGGCACTCAAAACCCTTCACAATAACAATAATAAACTAAAGTACAGTACCTAACCCTTGGGTTAATGCAGCAGTCATTCGGCAGCACAGTGTACCACCACAGAATACTTATGACTGCTGAAAAAGATTATACCAACGGGGGCTTTCAGGAGGCAATATAGATAAACTCACATTTTACACAAAATATTTTTTGCAAATTTGTGTGTAAATGGTCTATAAAATCAAATGAAAAATCCAAATAATGTTGGAAGTTTAACAAATTCAGATCTGGCACCGCATGCACTTGAGCAACTCTTTGGGAACTTGTTACATGGTCTACAGCATGCCAGCTCTTTCTTTATCACACTCAATATGGCTCGTAAACTGAAAACAAGCATGAAAAGGGAAGAAAAAAGTAAGAAGGGGAAAGGCTAGAAAAGTGCCTGATTTGGAGTTAAAAATTGCGATTTTGGTTGCATTTTCATTGCCATGGTCTGCCAATCCTTTCGTAGTCATCATCACTATCATCATTAGGAGATTATTCTGATTGTTCCCTGCATTTTATTAATATTTGATCTATTCTGCATACTATACAGTACTGTATTTGCTGTATTACTGGTTTCATAATACTGTACTTTAAACTACATCAATGCACATACTAAAACACTTAAGACTGATTTTACTTGTTTAAGGGAGGGGACTAAGAGAGTCTAAGGGGGGTGTTCTGATTATACACGATTTTGCATACATACGTGCTATGTCAGGAACCTAACTACCGCGTAAAACACGAGTCTGCTGGAATACAGTATAGGATCTTGCTATGATACCATGGTGAATACTCTCTGTTCTTATGAAAGGCATCTGCAATCTACAGTGTTCCAAGCTTTAGGTATCAACCAAGAGAGAAAATAAGACAATCACAAAATATATTTCTAATCCCCACCTGGTCTCTGGCTTGAGTTAGTCCCTGAATCAGCTCTTCATTTTTTGCGTATTGCACCTGCTCTGCATCTTCACAGCGCCTCTGCCAGTCCAGCTCAGCCTGGACCCGGGCCTGCTCCAGGCCACGTTCGCGCTCCACCCCGCGGGTCACCTGCTGCTTGTACCTGGTGCAGGGAGACGCCACAGCCTTCTCATCCTCTCACATAGCAACATGCTGTATTAGGACAAGGCTGACGAACTTCAATGTCAGGGACTCAGACACACGAATTTAAAGCCCCTGGTGCAAGGTTGCTCCTGTGCCAGGTTTTTGCTTGAGGGATGCTTGCTGGATCTTTTTTAACACACCTAATGAGACAGGCTCCTCACCTCTCCACATCCTCCTTGTATCGCTGCAATTCTGTTTTCAGCCTGGACTCCCTTTCTCCCAGGGCCTGGAGCTCCATGTCCTTAGAAACGGTTTCCTTGGAGACTTGGGCAATATAGGCGTCCCATCCAGCTCGTGTTGTTTCCAGCTCCCCCCGAAGTCTGATGAAAGACATGTTATACGCGAGTTCTTGGTTTTTCTTTTGAAATGGGTTTTACTTGCTAAATATTTACCACTGTAGCACATGCTCCCCAGAGTTAAAGGCAATTTAACTGTGCCAAGTCCTCAAGCATCTCAAGAGCTACAAAAAGCTAATGATTTCTCTGTAAGGATGTGAAATTCATAAATCCAACCCATATCCCAAGACATCTTTACACAGATTATGTGGAGTCCCACAGAAGAGAACAGTCCAACTCATTCACATAAAGTTTGTGGCTACCTTGCATTAGACAAAAGACAACACAGAACGTGATCCAGTAACTTTCTATGGTTCCAGAATAAACAGTTGCCCTGTCCAGTTGCTATAAAGGGATGTTTGGACTCCTTAAGGGAGTTTTCCAGAAGTATTTAATGAACTGTTAAGCAGAGTAAAGCAGGTTTAGGCAGGAACCAAGGAGACCACCTGTAAGTTGGTACAGCGGGAGTCTCAAACTCAGTTTCTTGAAGGTTTCAAGTTGTCTGGTTTTTGCTCCAACCTGAGCATTCAATTATACAATTAGACTAATTCTTTTCTTATTTAGACATATGCATGACTTTATTCCTAAGGGCTATTAGCTGATTACTCATAAAATTGATTTCATTAAAAGTACAATACTACAATCACATCATTCAATAACTGGATTATCCAAAATCTCTGCGCAGCTGAGAGCTCAGATAAAACAAAGCTGAGAGTCAGACAGATTTGGTCTTACTTCTCGATCTGGTCTTCTTTCTCCCTCAACGCATCAGCATGGCTCCACTCCAGCCTGCGTTTCTCCATGAGCAGGGTGTCCAGGTCGGTCTGCAGCTCCCGGTTCTTGTTCTCCATGTCTCGGAGCTGCTCAGCATGGGCCTCCCGCACCGCCACCAGGGCTGCCTCCCTCTCCCTCGCACAGCGATCCAGCTCCTCATGTCTGCAGCACACAGCTAATTCTTGTCAATTCCTTTCTGCGGGCACTAGCAACACGTCAGCTTCCTATGATTTCTGGCCTCACAGTGGTGATACATTGTTAACTGTTGTTATAGTAACATATGGTCTGGTGTCGGGCAGCCCATTGATCCCAGAGTTCAATTCCAGACCAGGAGTGTTATCTGCGTGTTGTTTATATGTCCTCCCCATGTTTGTGTGGGTTTCCTCTGGGTACTCCACTTTCCTCCCACAGTCCAAAAACCTACTGGTAAGGTGGCCTCTGGAAAAATGGGCCATTGTGTGAGTGTGTATCCCATTGAGCCCACTGTTTGCTGGGATAGGCTTGGGCTCCACCACAACACTGAAGAAGTAATTTAAAAAATGGATGGATAATCTGGTATCCCTCCTAAAAGTAAAACGTATTTGGTGAACTGTTCTAATTTTACAAACACTTGTAAATAACACTAGTTATTTATACAGAAATTGATTTTTAAATTGCTTTTTAGCGGTAAAAAAACAGCATAATGAAAACCTTCAATGAGGTTTGTTCATACCAGTTCTGAATCTTTCATACCCTCATTTAGATCAGTGACAATTTACTTAGGAAACTGATGAAAATGCATATTTTAAAAATTATTTTTCATTTTGGGTTTTAGGTGGCTGTGTACATGCATTGGTATGAACAAACTTTTTTACAAGAGTGCTTAGGACACTGAGACTTACTTTCTGTTGAATATTTCTTCTTCTTTTTTCCGGTTCATTTCCATTACACTTAGTTTATCCTCAAGCTCCTTCAGTCTTAAAAATAAATAATGATGTACAGTTAATTTCTAACAGAGGCTCCGAAAAGATGGAAAATCTGAGGTTTGTCACTTTCCAAAGAATAGAAACGATTCTCTATTTCAACACATACAAGTATAAAAGACTAAAAGGCAAACAAACATTTGAATCAACTTTGTTGTTTTCTTTATTCCATTTCATGCATGCCTCACCATTTAAGTATACACAGCTATTAAATCTAAGTAGTGCCAAAGTTGAAAAATTTGAAAATGTGTTCGAACAGAATAATCTATCATCTGTAGATGAAAATTCCTCCTTCAGTGAGCCTGCAAGCCCAGAGGGACACACTTTTCTTCCCATCACAGTCTGAACTGTCAGGAATGATCTGGACTGGAGAATTCCCCCAGAGCTCAGCTCCTCTGATGGAAACCTGCTTGAGCAGTGCTATTAGGAACGGTGAGAAATGGGTTGCCACAATGTTTGACACTGGTATCATTTTAATGTATTACTAAAGAGGTTATCTATATTTAAAAATGTTGAAGCAATACCAATTTTTCACACAGCTAAGAAAAGCTTTAAAATTAAATAAACATGAAGTGAAAATGATACAGGCTGCCTAGTTAATTAAAAAACAACTGAATAGGTCTCGCTGGAATGTTTCAGGAAGAGAAAAAGTCTAAATGAACCTAAATGAACGATCCTTTTCCTATGCTTCATGCTGTACCATTAAAGCTGTAGTTATGATACTACGGTGATAAAAGCTTGAGCACATTTTGTAGATATTACAGACATGATTCACAAAAAGTATGCGAAAAGAGAGTAAGAAAAAATAAAAACAATAAAAATGGCACTGATGTTCATGCATCTTCAAGCTGCAAAGCCACACTGCATGTCAAATGTTCTTGAAAACCACAGGAGACGGCATACTCTGCATTTTGCAAAAAGGTGTTGTAAATATTGTTAAGATATTGTTACCGAGCATCCTTTACAGCAGAGATGTCTTTGATGTCCCACTCTCTGCGCTTGATCTCTTTCTGTGCATCCCGATAGAGCTCCTCTGAAGCTTGGAGAGCCTCCACTGCCTCGCTGTGGGCCTTGGTGTGCACCTCCAGTTCCTTGGTCAGTAATTTAACCTGTGCATTGCAGTAAAACAGTAAAGACAGAGCAGTGGATAGAGGTATCAGGCAGCATGCTTTACTTTATTCATAAAACCATAGAAACACTAATTATGAAAACTTTACATACATGCCAAAGTACATAACACCATTAAAGGTGTACTACAAATCATCACCTGTAATCTTGTGAACTTGAAAATTTGAAGTTAGCTGTTTTATAACTATCTTTAAAATATTAATTAATACAGTGTTAGTGCTAGTGTGCCATTCTATATTTTTCTATATATAGTTTTCATGTAAGGTTACAATTATGAGAGTTTGGTTTGGTCTGTTGTTGTATTATACAATGTTACTGCACAGTAAAGCATTGATATGAAAAAAAAGTTATTGATGTTTCACAGACCTTACCTTGAGTTCATGAGACAGAACAACGTTGCTCATCTCATCCATCCTCAGAATGAATTCATGTTCCCTGCGTTTCATTTCACTGTCAAACTCCACCATCAGCTCCTGATAAGGAATAAATATGGGACACTTATGCAGTCTTACTAAAATGCTACCAGCGACATTAGGTTCATGTTTATTGGGGTGCAAAACTGAATTTTCAAAAAATCTGTATTCTGTAAAAAAGAAAGTCATTGCTGATGTAGCTTCTTATGTTCAAGATAAAACTAGAGGTCCCTGCAAAATATGTAGATACATTGATGCCAAAGCATTATAAATCTGATAATACACTGATTTTACTATGGAGAAAAAACAGATCATAGCACTTTATTTTTATCTGTATCTGATTTGCAATTCCTTTGCAAGTCATAACAAAGACACAGCCTACCAAAGGCTGACTTGGGAACAGGGAAGCAACAGCCAAGAAAAGCAGACTTGGAATTGCTGAGATAGTGATACACGTCCCGATTAATTTAATCAGATAACAAACAGATTATGCCTGTGGTGTGAGTAGAAGTGAAGCACATATGGCTAAATTTGTATGGCAGTGTATAACTCTTTAAAATTCTAATCTACTACACTGAAAAAAAAAATTTAAAAAAATAATTTTGAATTTTCTAGACAATTGATTTTCAAAAATATATATATGAGCTTTGATTTTATATACTAATGGATTTAATATGTTAACTGCATTGATGTAAATTTATTTTGAACTGACATAGCTGGTTTAAATAAGGATTATTGTCAATACTACTGTTCCTATTTGTTTTTATCAGGGGCCGGATTAGAATTAGTCAAATTAGCACTGAAACATGAACAAGAAGACAGGAAACTAAGTGAACATATTTTCAAAATTCAGGGTAGTAGATATCTGTTTTGCGCAAAGTGTAATCAGAATCTGGAACAAGCTTGCCAGCTATCTTGTACAAGCTGATATGCTACCTTGGCTTATCTTGAGAAGTGGCTGGATCCTTGACTTAATTAACTACAATGTACTAAATGAGCTAGATACATGAATGGCTTCCATTTGTTTCTAACCTAATGTTCGCCTACTACTAATTGGATTACTTGACCAATTAAAGAGACTTATTACCAACACAAAACACAAATATATTACACAAACACCATGCACAAGTAGCAAGATAGAGCAAGATTAATATATTAATATACAATGGTCTCACTTCTGTCTACACTTCACAAGCTCATGTTTCTTTCATACAACTTTGAATTAGCAGATATCCATTTTAATATTGTTGTGCATCACAGTTATTATGGATACCTAGGATTATTGTAAGGCCACCAAGCATTCACATTATCACTCATTTCAATACAGACAAAGGAGATATATGAAGCGTTGATCTACTAGGCCACATTTATTGATAGTTCTTTCAGTGGGAGGCACAAATCCTGTAGGTGGAGACCTGTGTAAGAAGTAAAGGAATCGTGAGCTAGGAGGTGAACTGGCAGTGCAGAAGACCCAGCACAGTATTGGAGGTTCAGGATCAGATTTCCAGCTGCACCTTATTTTCATTTACTTAGATCCCATAATTTTTATTGGCAGCAGATCTCATCTAACACCGTAACCATCCACCAACCCAGAACCTCTGCCCAATTTACTGACCTTTGCAGACATCCCACGTTAAATTTAGTAGCGAGATCTGAATTCAGTTAAGGGCCTGAGGTATTAGCGCCTTCTCTTCTTACTAAACAAAACCTTACGGAGGAGAGGGAAAGGAGGTCAAACCTTTCCTCAACAGGACAGGTGACAGTGCTAGGAGAGCACTGCAGCCAGCTGAACCGGAGTCATGAGCTGATTGATTTCATAAAATGTCACTGGGTCTTACCTCTTTGTAAGCATTTAAGCACTTTCAGCTTTGCAGCCATTAGGAAATCAAAGCAGTTACAGCCTAGGAATTCAAATACATTCTTTTTTGAGTCTTTTGTATCAAAAACAAATAAAAAAAAACCTATAAGAGACCTGTATTACTTAAAACTTAATGTGGCGGTATTAAAAGGAGCATAGCTTTTGGGGCTTTTAAAGCCAAGTTACATTTTAGCACCAAGTTCTGCATGCATCTCTCAGTGTGCTGCTGCCACAGTAAATGGCTCAAGTGTCTTTGTAATGGGTTTCTAATCTGCAGAGGTCTTTCATACTCAAGAGGTCGAACATACCAACAGTTACGGTTTTGGTTCTGTCACACGACTAAGACATGAAGCCATTAGGGAAAGAAGAGTTCAGGGGGTTGTTTTGAAAAAGCATTATGCTGGACCACATTCACCATCTCTTATAAGCTTACTCCCTTTATTCTTAAGAATAAAACAAAGGATTATACGAAGATATAAAAAGAAAATCACTGAGTGCTCCTGTTTCAGGACTCCTAGGAAAAGCTTTCAATGTTTGCTTGGCAAGGAACTGTTTACAAATTAACAGTCCATACGTTTGCAGTAAATACTTTAAAAATATGCCCAGAGCATGAAGTGCTCTGGCAAGAAGCAGTGAGTGGGACTCCTAGTTCAGATTCTTGGCAGGTACCTGTTTCTGTAAAGCGAGCTCCCCTTCCACTTCCTGAATCTTGCGCTCAAGCTCATGTTTCAGGCTTTCGTACTCCTCCCGATGTCTCTCAATTTCATGGCCCTTCGCGCTGAATCACAGGTAGAAAGAAATTAAATGAATCAGGTGTCAACCTGTTGGCAATGGAACTGTTTATTTCATGAAGCTGATATTTCTCTTTTACCTATTCACAACAACATGTTCAATTACAACATTCCCCCTATTTATACTGGGATTTACACGGACAAGTTCTAACTGAATTGTCGTTGGAATCAGCCAGTTAACATCCACTTGACCAGCATTCGAGCAGTAACATCGGCAGGTTGATTATGGTTCTCTAATCTTATCTGGCCTTATCAAATCATACTGAAAAACCAGTCACAGAAAGCTGGGATTACCTGCCCCCAGGTAATCCCATCCCAACCACAACAGAGGATACCTTTTCCCTCCCTTACCCCAGTGGGTCAATACATAACACTAGAAGCTTGATCAGGCCCTTTCCTGGTGAACTGTTCACAGTGACTGAGTAGCTGGCATTTTTATGTTACTAAAACCATTATCAGTTTAAAACCACTGAGGGAAAGACATAAAATACAGTTCCTATAAAATCATTAATTATTCAGTTTCTCCATTAAGTATCTGATCTACAAACTCCAGTTGAAAATGGGTAACATTTTTTAAAGTACATTAGTGCTTATAATGGATGATAAGGTGCTATTTTTATTTTTAAAAGATAAGCCGTTAAAAATCATTAAGCAACCATGTGTAATTGGAAATAATGACTCATCACACTTCTAAATGCGGGATGGCATTTCTTCATCTCTTGGTAATATCTATTTGCTGTACTACCTCGTAATCATGTTTGTTAAGACAGGCTTTATTTCATTTGTTGACTTTAGCTCATAGCCTCCAGAGCTCAGGAACATATTTCTTATAGAAAGCAATCACTCAAATTCTATTGAGTGTTGAACAATTTATCATATCGTGATGCTAAAGAAAGGCTGAAATTATTCCCCAAGTCCAGTCTGGTCCAAGTGTTCCTCACAAATCTCATGTGACTGCTATATTTAGATCATTATTTTGATGGATACACAATTTTTTAAAATGCATTTTTTTTAACTTTTTTTATTTGGCAAATCCATTAAAAAGCCCTGGTCTTTAAGATCCCCACTCCCCAAGAGTTTCTTCTACTGGGTGAACAAAAAAGTTAAAATCAAGCATCTTAATTATATCATTTGGCGCTACAGGCTTTTCTGATTTTAACATTAATTCACCATAAATGTTTCTGTAGTGTAATTTCATATTAACAGTATGGTTTTTCAAACAGTAATGGAAATGTTTATTCTTCATAAAGAACGCAATTGATTATAAGTCTTAAAGAATGCAAGTGATCAGAGTGGACTAAAACACATTTTAAAGCCAAGAGCTTTAGAAACAGCTTAGGGCCTCTATTCATTTTTGGGCTGTGCACTAACTGTACAGACCTATTCTCAATTAAGTAATCACAAAGCATTAAGGCTTGGAGCTAAGCCTCAAGAGGAAATACAGTGGATCACCTCTGTACTGTCTCCAGCTGGAGGTGCTGTTCAGCAACTCTCTGTTGGTACAGCCTCTGCAGCTCCTCCCGTTTCCTGGCCTCGGCAGAAACGGCCTCCTGCAGCTTGTCGATTTGAATTCGCAGTTCGCTGGTTTCGGCCCGCCTGGCGCTCTCCACAGAGTGCAGGCGGGCGGCCATGGCGTCATAGCGCTCCAGCTCCCGGTCTCTCTCCTCCAGGACCCGCAGGTTGAATTCAAAGTCCTCCTTCAGTCGCTGAAACACTTCCCCCTGCGTGGTCAGCTGAGCTCTGGTGTCCCGCAGTGCTTCCTCCAACTGCTGAACGCGCTTGGCCTGCAGCTCCTTCCACTCCCTCTCCTTAGAGGCCAAGAGCGCATCCAGGTCCCCCTCGTCCAGCATGGCTGCAGTACCTCCCAAAGAAAGATCAATTAAATCCGGAGGACATTCCTAGAAACAGAACACACGATTTCAGGAAATTCCTATTGTGACTCTTCGAATCAAATCTCTGTGGTGGCTACTCTTCAACACCAATATTTTTTGTATTCAAGTATACAATTATATAAACAGACAGCACCGAATGGAAGACGAACAGGGTAAACGGTAGAAAAAATAAACTCAGTTTGCAAACTGCACAGGTACTGCAGGCAGGTGCGTAAGTCACATCTGCTCTAACTTTGGCTCCTGTCCAGACACTTCCTGCAACACCACAGCCACTTGGAAATATTAATGGAGAGACAGGTAATGACTCAGAGGTGGGATTTACTGGAAGCTGTCAGTGACAGAATTGAGATGTATTAGTAATTACATTAGATTGCATTAGTAATTGTTGTGATGCTGTTGTTGGCATCCTTAAACACAAAGGAAAAGGTAAAAGAAGAAGCTAAAGCTATACTGATTGCAGTATATCTCTTCTGAACTTTTACTGCTTCTATTCTGTTGCGGTGCTGTGGAAAAGACCAATCGGCACTTCTTGAACTGCCCAGGCAGTAACAGAATACAGATTTATGTGATACTTTGACTTCGGTCCACAGTGGCCAGGCAGTTTTTTAAGGTGCCCGACTGGCCCCTGTCCACACAGACAATAAATTCTGTACTGACAGGAAAGGGGATGCGAGTCACTGATCATTTGTGACTACGAACCAACTTCCTCCTCAGCAGACAGGAGGCAGTGAGTTGCGATTTCCCAAAGATAAAGGCCTCTGATCAGAGTGCTGTGAGTCAGCACAGAAGGGCTGTCTCTTCACCTAACATCTACAGTCTGTGTTTTCACTGATAATCCTGTCTGCTGCAGATGAAAGCCCGTGTCACCAGTCTCACCCACTGTTGTTATAATGTGGCAGCTGTGTTCATTAGACACCATGAAGGACCCAGCCTCGAACTGAAAGGATTTTGCTAACCATTCATGCCACTCCAACATGAAATATCACGCACAAGATCACAGTCCACACAATGCAGAATTCTGTAGGTATAGTGTTATTAAATACTATTCTTTTAATTTTTGAAAAAAATATACTTGGAACAAATGAGCATCAAGTTCTAGATATATAAGGGAGTTTCTACGCATGTGTGGTATTTTGAAGAAAAAAAAAACTCACTCTCCAAATGATTATGATGCAAAGAAAAGACGAAGCCGACGAAGTGACCCATTTGAGTGAAATCACAATAAATTGTGAGAATAATGCATTTTACACAGCACTGAAATGTTGAAATGTATTTATAAAGGTCGTTTTCGTGCATGACATTTAAACAATTTGAACACTAGAAGAAAAGGTTGGGTCACACCTCCTCAAACAATACATTTTAAACACTGTAAAAATCAAAATGATATTAAAGTTTTATTTAAAATCTTTGGAACAGAATCAACATGACGCAATAATGACTTTTATTGCACTTGTTTTCCTTCCGACGTAGACCCTTGCAGTAATGTAACTACCACATGTGACTGATGGATTTTTAATACATTAAATTAATACATTAGACAGACAATATTCAAGAGTTAAAATCGGATCATCGTTTTAGGTTCTTTTTTTAAATAGTGTTATTCGTGTTTGTTGAACCGCTGTTTATGTTTACGTCTTTCTAGAAAAGCTGTAAATAAAATGGGTTTTGAAACAATCAAACGAAAGACAATATTTAATAAACTTACCTTATTTAATAAGCAAAACAGAACAAATTTGGCTTTACTTGAAATTTACTTCCTGAATTGGGTTCAAAGAAACCGCCTCCCTATGCGCGTACATGCGGTCCCTATGGAAACCCATCCTCCCCAGAGTAACAGTTAAAGTAGTCCGTGCAGAACACTATAGCAGACATTTTAAAAAGGAGGACGAACAAAAACATTATTTTTATTAAAAATAATAAATTTAAAGAATCATATTTAGACAGGTGGTTGTAGAGCTCAGCTAGATTATTATCTTAATAATTAGATTTTTAATGTTAAGAAATCTAACTTCTACACTCGATTGAAATGATAGAGATATGGTATTATCAGAAATAATACTATTAAAAATAAGAAGTGATTATTAGTACAATTTATTGAATTCTACATTTACAATAGGGTTCTGATGAAGAAAAGAAATACAGTGCATGTTTTCAAAAATGGCTATACATTCTGGGAAGTATGCAAATCAAATTGCTTTGACTATCCATATCATTTTCCAGAATGTCATAATGATTCCCATTAAATTTTATCCTGTTTGGAACTGAAAAATATATGTGACTATACATCTATGAGGTAATGAGACATTATAAGAAATTCTACATTTTTACAATAAGTCATTATATCCTCCATATTTAAAGCAAGTTTAATAGATTAATATATTTTGAATTGAAATTATTAGAAATAATAATAATAAACTTTATTTTATATAGCACCTTTAATGGTGGCTTTTCAAAGCGCTTTACAGAATGAGAACAACAATAAATAAAAAGAATACAGAAGATAAAATACAATTACAATATACAGAGGAGACTGTGGATGGTGGTACCAAGAAAAGCAGAGAGTTGAAGAATGGAACCAGTTCACTAAAGGCACTAAAGGTTCACTAAAGGGGACTCTCTGATATCCTTGGGCAGAGAGTTCCAGAGCTTGGGGGCATAACAGGAGAAAGCCATGTCACCCCTACAATGTAGACAGGCTTGGGGGACAGTAAGGAGACCAGAATTAGAAGAGCGAAGGTTGCGAGGTGGAAAGTAGGGTGATAATAGTTCAGACAGGTACTGAGGTGCCAAGCCATGCAGAGCCTTGTAGGTGACCAGGAGGATTTTAAAGTCCACATGGAATTTGACAGGAAGCCAGTGCAAGGACTCCAGGATAGGAGTAATGTAATCATTTGCACTAGACCTGGTCAGGATTCTGGCTGCTGAATTTTGGACATAATGCAGTTTGTTCAAAGTAGATTTAGATACCCCAGTGAGTAGAGCATTCCAATAGTCAATTCGAGAGAACACAAATGTGTTGAGCAACTTTTCAGCCACAGTTAATGATAGCATAGGGCGTAGTCTAGCGATATTTCTGAGGTGAAAAAAAGATATTTGACAATATGCTGCTCATGTGTCAAATGTTAAGCCATAATCGAATATAACCCCAAGGTTTTTCAATTTAGATTGAAGCTCAAGTACAGAACCATCTACAGATAGGGTTACAGGACTGGCTTTACGAAGTTGATGAGGGGTGCCAATAAGGATGACTTCAGTCTTAATTCAGGTGGGTAGCTGCGTCAGCATGCGTAGGCTGCAAAGGAACAAGTAATAGGTTTATTCCATGCTTAAAAAAAGAAGAAATAACATATGTAGCATCTTACTACATACTATACATTGAAGGACCTGAGATTCCTCAAGAAGTAAAGTCAGCTCTGACCCTTCTTGTAAATGGCCTCAATGTTCTTAGACCATTCCAGTCTATGGTCGATGTGCATTCCCAGGTACTTGTATGAGTCCACCATCTCCATGCCACTCCCATGTAGACAGGAGTAGGTTTGTCCCTTTTCCTCCTACCTCCTACCACCAGTTCCTTCGTCTTTGTTACATTCAATTGCAGGTGGTTCTCCTCACACGACTCCACAAAGCTGCTGACCAGTCCCCGGTTCTCCTCCCGCCCACCCTTGATCCCACAATTGCAGAGTCATCTGAGAACTTCTGCAGGTGGCATGACTTTGAGTTGTATTTAAAGTCCGAAGTATAGAGGGTGAAGAGGAATGGAGAAAGAACTGTCCCCTGAGGAGCCCCTGTGTTACTTACAACCTGTTCAGACACTTTCTTCCAGAGCACAGGGACTCTCTCCAAGCACAGGCTCAGGTTGAACAGTCGCTGGAGCACTCCACTCAGCTGATCACCACAAGCCCTCAGAACTTTGGGACAGATGTTATCTGGTCCTGTGGCCTTACCCTGGTGCAGCCTCTTCAGCTCCCTCTTCACCTGGTCAGCTGTGATTGTCAGCCTGGCCTGGTGGATGGTGCTCATAGCACTGTCAGTGCTGCAGGTGTTAATGGCGGAGGTGTTGGAGAGTGGCAGCTGTGGGGGATGGGGGCGTTGGGTGTTGTAGCTGTAGGTGGCCATGATTGTGGGGGGATGGAGGAGTTGTTGGGCAGTCGCAGCTGTGAAGGCTTACGGAGCGTGTGGCAATGGGAGGATGGGTGTTTAGCCACAGAGGGCCCTGAATCAAACCTGTTAAAGAACTAGTTCAACTCGTTGGCCATCTCCAGGTTCCCCTCTGTTGCACCCCCAGCCTGTTTGAAGCCAGTGATCTCTCTCATGCTCCTCCATACATCCCTCACACTATTCCTTTGCAGCTTGTCCTCTACCTTCCTCCTGTAGACGTCCTTGCTCTCTCTTAACTTCTGCTTTAGTTCGCTCTGTACACGCTTGACCTCTTCCTTATCCCCCCTTCTAAAGGCTGTCTTCTTGTCATTCAGAAGAGCCTTAAGGTCGCTGGTGATCCAGGGTTTGTTATTGGAAAAGCAGTGTACGTCTTTGGTGGGGAAGTTAATATAGTCAGTGACACAGTCCACCATGCTGTCTATGTCGTCCCCATGTGGTTCGCACAGCACATCCCAGTCGGTGGCCTCCAAAGCACCACGTAGATCCTCCATAGCCTCCTGAGACCATCTCCTCACAGTTCTCATTGTTGCAGGTTGGCGCTGGACAATAGGCTTGTATAGTGGTGTAAGCAAGACAAGGTTGTGATCCGATCTGTCTGAGGTTGTTTTGGTGATTTTCATTGATGTGAGAGAAGTAGGTTGATCTAGCAGACTCTATAGTAACCTTATATTTAGACAAGTAATCTCTCCAAGCCTGATAATGTACATTTAGGCCAGAAAGATGCCACCTACGCTCAAGTTTGCGAGAGGCTGCCTTCAAATTTTGCAGATGGTCGTTGTACCAGGGGGCAGGGCGAGAGAAGGAGATGGTTCGAGTTTTTAAAGGAGCAAAGGTGTCGAGGGTAAATAAAAGAGCACTGTCACGTAACTGTATTCTGTCCTCTAGAGGGTCAGTGGAAGAGAAACAAGATAAGGAGGACAGAACAGAATTTGAAAACCTTGGGTGATCAATTGATCGCCAGTTGTGGAAATTTATAGAGCATGAGGGGGAAGTGTTAGAAACAGGTAATTCCAGGTTGAAAAAAATAGCTAAGCGGTCAGAGAGGCCTAGATCAAGGGGAGAGCAGTGGGAGACAAAAGAGTCATCTGCAATAATTAAATCTAAGGTGTGTCCTTTGTTATGTGTAGGGGTACAAGATCAAGATCAAAACATCCCAATAGATAAAGGAAGTCTTTAGCCAGACTAGAAGACCTTGAATCGATGTGTATATTAAAGTCCCCTAGAATAAGGATCCTTTTAAACTTAAGGCATAAAAATGAGAGTAAGTCAACAAACTCACCTAAGAAGGCTTCACTGGGTTTGGGTGGTCTATAAACTGTGGCAGTAGTAGTAGATTGGGGGATAGAAACATTTAAAACAAGGCACTCAAAAGAAGATGGAGGAGGTATAGTAATAGGACTTAGATTGTAAAAAAAGGTTGTAAATACATGTAACAATGATGCCCCAGAATTAGCAGAATGATTGTTAAAACTATATATAGCCATTTATTTACGTTTTACCGCAATGCACACCAATTATGATAAGAGTTTTAGTCTTATTGTGAGACCAATACATATATTTTTTTTATATTTTGCAGGTCTAAGAATAGTCTGTGCTTCACTGTCCTATCCTGTGGCACATAATTGTTGGTTTATTTATACCATCTATTATTCATAACATCATAAACCAAACTGAAAGCAAAGGTTTACTAGGTAGTAACAGAGTGGTGTGGGGGAGGTTTCTCAAAGACCAGATGTACTCAGTACTCAAACCAGCTCTGAGCTCCCTGAAAAGATGTGAGAATCTTGTGAAAGCTTCTGAAATCCACAAGGAATCCCACTGTGTGAGTACAGGTGTTAATTGGGTATCGATTGCATGTTCAGTTTAGACTTTATAAGCCTCTTTCATTTCACCTTTGCTTGTTAAACCAGGCAATACTGGGCTTATTTTCAAGGCATCTCTGCCTGTATCAGATTACAGTAATATTCACTCCTGGTCCTGAAAGGCAGCGGTCCATTTTTATTGGTTTTATAGTTCTTAATGAGTAAGGACGTGGAAATATTTTCATGTTAGTAAAGACCAATTAAGCAAATAATTGGTTTAAATAATGTCATTAGGGTTCCAGGAAGGAATTAAAACCAGCAGCCATAGTGTTCTTTCACGACCAGGAGTGAATAAATATCAGTGACCTTTCACAATGGTTCCCAACACTTGTCCTGGAGAAACATACTGTAGCGTCTGCTTGTTTTCAACCCTGCTGAGCGTCAACTCTCCAGTGCTAATTGATTGCTTAATTGATCTACTCACTTGTTTAGACTTTTATTTAACTTGTATCTTCTGTCAGTCCTGAATGTCAAAAATACCATGCTTCAGGGGTACTATATCTAACAATTTTAGCATGCAGAATTTTACAGTTTCTTGCTGACCATTATTTCTGACTAAATGGCCTTTACTAGTTGATCAGTTTATAGTTAATAGACAAGAGGGAGTGACACTATGTTTTGTCATGGATGTGTATCACAACAAAGTTTTTTTTGCATCTCAAAGCCAAAGAATGCCCTCATTTAATTATTTTGATGCTGCAATCCTAAAAATAAAATCAAAACACTTATTCTAAATTACTGTAATGGCATATGGTTAGAAACAACTCAGCTAC